GGAATATCCTCTTATAGTCCATATCTGCGGCCGCCGTTGCCTGGATGCCCAACAGTCGTCATCTTGCCGAGTCTTGTGACAAGGTTTGTACAACTTGCCGTTCGGCATCCAGTTCGCCCACGACTGCGACAACATCAAGACAGGCTCGTTTGGCAAAATTGTTCCAAGGACACGAACTCCGAAACCCTCAACCCTGATACCCTTCTTCCTTTATACCCTAAACCCAAAGCATCTGGCTGCCAGATGAGACTTGCACCGTCTCCTGTGCTGATGGCTTCATCGGCTCTTCCACCGTGCTGGTCTGTGAGGGAACGCGGGGCGTTGCAGGCGCTGCGGAATGGTTGAAACGGGGTGCGCAGGTTCTGATATGATGCAGACGATTGCGACAGAGAAGGTTTGTAGTTCTGGCTCCGACCGGCATAAGTGCATGTCCCCTGCGAGGTGATAACAGGTTTCCACCTTTCGTCGTTCGACAAAATCTGCTCGGAATGACGGCTGCTCTTGCCAGGTACACTGCCGACGTGTGCAGTCGAAACCGCCACGGCGCCTCGCCAGCCCTCGTTGCACATATTTTTGCTGCGATGCCCGGGGCTTCTCATCCTTGCCACGCGGGTTGTCCCACACTAACATCCAGGCTGGGTTCAGGCGGCTTAGGAGTTTGGGGTTTGGCCATCGTTTAGCCTCGACTCACCAACCAAAGCCTTCCATGGTGTGACATGTAGTTCTGAAGAATCAGTGCGACTGAGCTTTACTCCCGTGCCCATTTGAAACTCGTCTCCTTCGCTATATGTGCAGTTCTCCAAATGAGGGCCTCTTTTTAGGGTCCTTGTTAACTATATGTAAGGGTGCTGTAGCAGTTGGGACCTCTAAGGGGTCTGGGCCTGTCGTCCAACCCAGGAAACGTCAACTACAGTGACTTCCACTGTATCGACAGTGACGCTGACAACTTCCGACACTTGACTTCACTACCCTCAAGCTTAAACCCTGAACCTTACATACCTTACACCCTAAGCCGTTTACCGACTCCATGAAGGATCTTCGAGGGATACACGAATCCCTATCCCCCACTAGTCACGCTATTGTCTTAGGGTTTCTGAAACCCTAAACCCCTAAATGCTACACCCTAAGACCTAAACCGTACGCGCTCAAAAGAGCCGCAGCAACCTGAGAAGATCTGATTTTGGTTTCGGGCTTCTCAGAATTATGGGGCATGTGCACTTGCTGATTCATTCCGCTCAATCACCGCTGGGGTCAGTGCTACTTGGGGATGTAATTGGAACCGCAAGCAGCATACTGCTTTTTGGACGCTCTATTTCGAGACTCCCCTGCCAAAGCCATAAGGGCAGGGTACCTGCTAGGGTCCTTCTTATACTCGGTTCCTGAGTAGTACCCTTTTGCCCTTTTTAGTTTGGGGTCTCCTTATCAAACCTGAATATTAGGAAAGCGGGTACCCGTTATTACGGGGCTGACCTAGTATAAGGGTGTCGTCTTCTTCTGGGTTCATAAAAGCGGTCTAATTCAGGGAAGTACACATCTGTATGGAACAGCTCGGCTGGCTTGCTCCACGACTTAGAAGATCGGATGTCTTACAAGAGGCATTTGCTTGAGTTCTAGCGAGTAGGACACCCCCAGTAGCTACTAGTGGTAGGTATTGCATGGGAATTACGAGCATTATTCCTTAGAGTTCTTCATTGGGATAACGGTATCTTGCCAATTTCTAAGCACTACGGACTTCATATTAGAGCCTACAGTGGCAGGCTCGGATCCTGGCTATGAAGATCCCGAAACAGGCTTCCAAATGTTAGGAAACCCTTACATGACCACAGGCCACTTAAGCTCGAAGCTGGGGCTTCTAGGGGAAACTCCTTTGATAGTGCCGGAGGTTTAGGGATTGGACTATCATCTTCATTATAGGAGTTTCAGCGTAGTTTATGCCTCCAACCCACACCACGCGCCAAAACCTCGAACCTCTCGAACTTCAAGCTGTAAATCCGAAAACCCTACATGTGGCGCAAGCTTAACCGGCCTGAAAGAAAATAAAAAGGTGAAACCATGCAGTAAGCAAACCTTAAACTTCAATCCCAAACCCACCAACCCTGATTGTCCGAGTGTGAGCGCCGAAACCCCAACCCCGAAAAGCTAAAGCTTCTGAAGGTTACCGTTGAGCCCGAGCTCCCGAACCTATGCCTTGCAGAGCTCATTCCCTCGATTGAAGGTGCCGGCGATTTTGGCCTTTGATGGTTCGGCTTTCGGGTTTAGGACACATACCTATCCCCCCCAACTACCCTGTAATATACCCAAATACCCATGTTTAGGACCAGAAGGGTGCTTCAGGGTACAACGCCGAATAAGGCTTCGAGCGTCTGAGTCTTGAAGGATTTACGGAGTTCGGGTGTTTTGGGGCTTGAACAAAACAAGTCTCGTGTTGGGTTATGCCATTGAAATTGAAACTGCTTCCTTGCAGCATGCTTCACAAAACGTAGGTTCAGAACGTCTCTGGAACAGACTGTGACAGATGGAAAGAAGCCCGCGGCACGTTGAGCCCAGAAAACGAGCTACCGAGGTGGCAGTTTCCGAAAAAAAAGGGACCCTTATTTAGTACCCTAGATAGTAGGATCCATACAGTAGTTATAAGGACCCAAAATTAAGGTACCCCTAGTTTTCGGAAACTCCTACCCAGCTGTGCAGTTTGGAACCCTTCACACCAGGCGTGTCTTAGATGCCGCATGACAAAAACCATCCTTGAGGATCGGGTTTAAGATTTTCTACTTGGAGGTTCATGGGTACAGTTATGATCAGGGTTGTAAGTAGGGTAAGTAGAATGATAAGCCATTTTAGCGGACTCATAACTCCACTTATAACTACCCGTGAACCTCCAAGTAAGCCAGCCGAAGGCCCTCGAGCCGCAAAAGGCAAACCCTCTTGGCATTTACTGTGTCACTGTCCCCAAGGGTCCATGTATCCGAAAATGTATGTAAGTACCTGTGTCGGGACAACTTTAAGCCCCAATGTATATACTATTTGGGTACATGGACCCTTAGGGCTTGTGTGGCAGCACTGCGTCAATCAGAGACTCCTTGTTCCAAGTGGTGATTTGCGGCCTAAGAGCTAAGCTTTCCGAGTTCCGAAGCCGTGTTGCTTCCTGTACCGTATGTAGTATGAAGTATGAAGTCGTCAGGTAATAAAACGGGAGGGTTTAGGATTTGGGGTTGAGGATACGTTACTTGGGCACTGAAGGAACCCAGAGCCCTGTACCCGAAGCCTTGAAACTCTTTGGAAACCCCTGAACCCAGCACAACATATGTAAAACCCCCAATAAAGATTGCTGCAGAATGCTTGTAACAAACGCCTGTACACTCTTATTTGCCTACACCTTGAACCCGTGAACCTTTGAACCCTCAACCCTAAGCGCACAAAGACCAAGAAAACATCTGTGAGGCGCCCGGGAGTTCGTTTGTACCGGCGCTGAGGGCGTTGGCCAGCGCTGCGCAGCGCTGTGCGAAGCCGGGCGAGAGCTTACAAGGGATTCAGGGTGCCTGGTGTTAAAGTGGGATTTAAACGCGGTTTTCTCGGTTCATCATCTTCTTGTTAGAACACTTCAGGCAGGGACCGTGATGCGGAGAGCAACAAGGTTGGCTTCCAAGTTCTAACCTGCATTCTAACCTATTGAGGTTTAGTTTTGAATGTTCATATGCTTCGCTACAGCACCCAATCACTTCCTGTGACGAGTCTTTCTGTGTGTTCTGAATTCTGCCTGTGCAAGCCTCGTGAGACTTCATCCCCAAAGCTACGACACAGTTACACCAGTACCCTCTCTTCCAAACAGCCGTCGAACCCCCAACTATCCCCCTTGTCGAGGGACGGCCCAGCGTGGGCCATGTTCAATTCCAACATCGGATCGCCGGACCGTCGGCTGACGTCGGTCCTCCCTCCCAAACCCAAACCCTGAAAGGATCTGACAGAGTCTAGGCTTTAGGAAAGAAGCCACGCACCCTTTAGAACATAGGGCCCGGAACCCAGGACGAGGGTGGCGAAGCGGCAGGGAGCTTAGCTCTCGACATGACGGGAACCCCATTGGCCCCTATGTCTGGGGCCCTGGGCTTAGGCAGTAGGACTCTGAATCTACGCCACCGGGATGTCTGAACCCTTTTTGCCAGTTTACTCGGTTTGAGGACTTAGGACCATCCGACCGGAGGGGGAGCTTGGGCTGTTCGGGCGGGAGGCATCAAGCCATTATGACGGTTTGCAAAGCATTGGTGTCAACAATAGAGGGTAAAGCTGGCCAAAATCTCGCCAAGGTGCAGAACGACGCCATGATGGCAGCAATTGAAGATGCGCAGACTTTGAACCCTATAGGCCCTAGACCCCTACACCCACAAACCGTCCTTCGGACGCTCTCTATCGGTCCCGAAAGGCGATATCTTGGAAGATGAACGCCTAAAAGACCTGAGCAATATATGGGAGTTTCCAAAAATTAGGGGTACCTTAGTTTGGGGTCCTTATAAGAAGGATCCTATCATTTAGGGATAGTTAGGGTATTTTATGAGGGTCCCTTATTTTCGGAAACTCCCATAATATAACCTGAGCCCTATGTTTACGTCTCTTTAGGCCATCACCTGCTGGAGCGACCGGCGGTGGCGCGTGAACGAGGCCTCGTGAAGTCCACTTGTTGTTTCTTAAGCTTCGTAGGGCTATGAATTCAGGCGTTGAACGAATCTGTAGTTTTGCCTTGAAGAGACTCTGGTGACACTGGTGGGGCTGCTAGACGAGGTTTTCCGTGCACTCCCTACCACGAGCCACTAAGGTGATGGTGCAGGGTTGTCGGGCTTTGTCGTGTAGTCGTTCGTTCATCCGGGTTAGCATAGCCAGTCATGACCGTCACATATCGTCACAGCAAAAAAGGTCAAACGGGCTTCATGTTTGGGGTACAGGTTGCCATTATATCCTGAAACTCCGAGATGCCGCAGCAATCGGGGGTGTCCTCCAAATTACGGGTCATTGGAGGCAGGTTCAGGATGGGCTTACGTTCATGCGAGGACAACTGGCCGCTGCCATCAGGTGATCCCAAGCCTGGCTTTTTCAGCCTCCCATTTGACCTGTCACCTGACCGGAGGCCTGCGTCACACCTTCGAGCGACCAGGGGACACTGATTGCCATTTTCGCGGTAACGATCTCTGTCTTGCAGCTTTGCATGCAACAGCTTATCTTCGGCAGGCTTGCTGAGGGTGTAGAGATCGCTTCTGCGTATGCCTGTTTGTCTGCCTATCTGTCAGCCTGCATGTACGCACGCATGCGAAGAGGTGCATGTATGTCAATGTACACATGACATGCATGCTTGCATGTTACTCAGTCGAAAAGAAGTTGCATGTCTTAACAAGGCAGTCATACGACTGCAGGTCCTGTATAAGAAATATGGCACAGTGCCTAAACCAGCACACTAGAAGCCTGTGAACTAAGTGCTCACATGGCTAGACAGTTCAAGTAGGCAAGAGGTGTATGGGCTTACCTACGTGTATGACTATCCCAATATTTGCATGCGGAAGCAGGCTGCTCCTCGTTCAGCTCTTTGCCCCAACACTGCTCTGTCGCACATCAACACACAACCACGCCCGAGGTGCGCATTGGTTGCGGTGATCTCCGGGTATTTATTCTACAGCCAGACAAAGGTCACTCCAGTGACTGAATTGCCGCTTGGAGGAAATTGGGAGTGTCTCCATGGAAGATACCAAGTCATTGTATTCATAGTACCCTTAGGAGTGTAACTTATGAGTTTTCAGATTTACGGATGTACATCGCGTGCAGTGTGCACGTAGATTTTCTGGCAGGGTTCAAGGTTATGCCCCTACAACTTAACATTCTACAGCAGTACAATCCCCACGATCTCCACGATTAAGTGCTCGAAAGCCTGAACCCGAAATACGACCTTCACTCTCTTTAGGTCCCATAGTATGAGGCAAGGCAATCTTCTAGGAAAAGGAGTGCGCTTGCCTGAACCCCAAAGCCGTAAGCCACAAAAACCCGAAACCCCTAGATCCCAAGACCCAAGACCACAACCCTAAGCTCCTAAAGCCATAAATCCTACACCCCGAAACCCGAAGTCACGAGACCCTAATATGTCGGGCTCCTGCAATGGCCAAGGACTCGTAGTTGCCAGGAGCCTCGATCCCTACTTCCCTAATCTTCCTTAGGAGTTTGGTGTCTAGGGTTTGGAATTCAATGTCATCAAGGAGCCTGAATCCTTATACTTCTAGCATTATTCCTTAGGGCTCTATAGTGCAGTGCAATATGACAGCTTGAATGGTTGATTACACATAACTTATACTATTCTTTGCGGCTCCTTCGTGTATTTATGTACAATAGACCCCAAGCTAATACAGAACCCCGCTCCAGTTGATCGTGAAGTGGGATTCGGTTCTTGACGATTGTAAATCGACCCTTAGATACCTACATGTCTAGCATATACTGGCAACAAGGCTCCTAGGAAAAGTGGCCTTGTGGTGTTCAGGGTGCAGGAATCAGGTTTCAAGTTTGAGCGCAGAACTATCGACCTTAGTCTCCGGTAATTCTCCGACAATCCTCGCGATCTTGGACTCAGGACACCTTCCAAAGTGGCAGACGTGCCAAAAGGACGTTTTGCAACGCTGAGGTGTTTTCAGAAGGTCAGAGATTGCGTTTAAAACGTTTCCCTATCCGTTTCCGTCTTGGTCTCTGTCTCTACGTTTGGTTGTCTTTGTGTTCTGTGCGCTTGTGTCTTCTCATGTCTTCTCGTTTGCGCGCGTCCTTTCCGGCTTGATGACGAGCTGCCATGCCGAAACCGGTCGGCATTGTGGTGCATGTGGTTTTAGCTCTCATGCCTCCGAGTGCTTAGTGAGGTTTGCTCCTCTGTCTGTGTCTGAGCCCTGAACTTCCCTGAACCTTTCAGCCAGAAGCCATGGCCGAGACACTCTGCACCACAGTTTGCACGGATTGCTGGATCAGACGCAAGAACCCTAATATAGGGGTCTTAGTAATTACCTATGCTATTTTGGGGGTTCCTTTGTATAATTGCAGTATCAGATACCCCAAAACGCCATTCTATTTATTAAGGCCCCTATGCCAGACGCCGCGCCCAAAGCCCTGAAGGAGAAGCTGAGAAGTCGCCGCAAGCGGAGAAGTCGCCCAAAGTGGAGAAGTCGCCGAAGTCTGCTTCGACCCCTGCCATCGAATGAGGAAAGCTCTATGAATCAGCCACATTTGCGGTTTGAGAGTGCTCAGGAGTTTGGTCTCATGCGTTGGGCTTTGTGTAAACTCCCGGCGACAGTGCAACCCAAGGTACGCATGTGTTTTTGTCTTTTAAACCCATCCCGTGGTAATGTAGACCACCGACTACCAAACCCTCTTTCTGCAGGGGGGCTTATTTTCGGATCCCTTTTGTAATCCTGCATTAAAGGAGCGGGCTTGGATTAACCGCCCGCATTGCGGGAGCCTCAAAAACCAGTAATTCAGAAGCATATAGATGGCTAAGATATGCGGGCCCTGTTGCATGTGTGAAGTCAGATGGCATATGGGAGTTTCCGAAAACAGGGGACCCTGATATAGTACCCTAAATAGTAGGATCCTTATTATGAGGACCCCAAAATAAGGTACCCCCGATTTCGGAAACTCCCATATGGGTGCTACGGACACCTCAACAACCAATGATTCAATGGTACACGCGGCAGTCGTGCCTCGCAGGCGCCGAGATAGAGAGAGAGAGGGAGAGGGAGGCATAGATAGGTGGATATATCGATCGATCGATACATAGAAAGAGAGAGCGAGAGAGAGAGAGAGAGAGAGACAAACAACAGGAAAATTCATATATGTTTGCAGAGGAGAGGAGCAGCGCAGAGGAATTGTCACAAACCCGAAAGTCCTCCCGGAGCCAAATGTCATGTCAGTTCAGGCATTCACCTCTCCGGGCTTCTAGGGACTACGGGTGGACGGTGCAGCCGTCAAGGCCACAGGGCTTTAGGCTTTACCCATAGGCCCATTAGTAGTTCCGTTTTGGGATTACCTTATAGAATCTTAAATATGAACACCGAAAAGGAACTACCATGGGGGCCTTAGGGTAAGGTTGCAAGGCTTTTGGGACTAAGTGTGGATCTGTGGAGGTCGATGATGTAGGTTTGAGGTTTTAAGGGACAAGGAGTTTGACTGTAGCGCGCTTGGTTGTGGACTTGGCGCTTCGGGTTGGGTCTTCAAGGGTTGATGTGGAATGTGCGTTTGGCGCCATCGTTCAGATACATCGAGCGGTTCGCCGCAGGTCAAGAGGCGAAGATACCTCAATCCCCCAAGGCCTCAAACCCCCAAATCCCAAATCCTGCAAGGTCTACAGCCTTAAACTAGCGTTTCGAAGAGGGCTCAACGCGTTTAGCAGATTGAAAGCCCAGACACCGCTATCCGAACCGTTATAGAACCCTTCATTGGTTCGTTACAAAATCTTAATGACTTGGCAGGTCCCTTAAGCCCTAGGGTTAAGAGTTGAGGGGGTTTTTCAAACACTAAATCCTGCAACCTAACTAAGCCATAAATACGAAGACCCTACACCCCAAATTCTGAGATCTTCCACTTTGAAGAAAAGTGAACCTGACGCTTTCAGGGCCATCGCACACCCCTGGGACATGGACTTCTTTGCTGCGGTGGAAGCCTCAAAGCTTGCTTTGGGGCTCAACCTTGGGGTTCAGGGCTTCAGGCTATCTGGGGGTTTCAGAAAATAAGGGGTACCTTGTTTTGGGGTCCTTACAATAAGGATCCTACTTGTTAGGGTAGCAGATTAGGGTCCCCTATTTTCGGAAACTCCCTTCCGGGAACGGGCTTTAGGGCTCTTTGGGGTTTAAGGGGGCACTTAAGATCGAGCGCAAGGTTTGGGAGGGAGCTTGAGGCTGACGTCAGTTAGCAAGGTCTCCCGAGACCCCTGTGTTTCAGTCTAACATAAAGGTCTGAATAATTACCTATACTATATTGGGGGTTCCTTATTATGTTGAGAGTATTAGATTGGACACCCCCAAACGCTGTTCCATATTCTAATTATAGTATAATGGGCCCCAAAACCGTATTCTAATTATGGAGGCCCCTATATTACATTGGATCTATAGGTGCAAGTGCGGTCGTGACTAATTAGTGTACGAACTTGACAAGAGCCCGACTGTAGAGCAATCCGCGGGTGGTGCCTTGATTCACATCCCCTTGAGAGGATTCCCCACCTTAACCCGGAAGAACCTACATTTTTACGGACTTATACAAAGAAATCATAGTAAGGAACACTAAAAAGGTAGGTTATTCAGGGTTAAGGTAAAGCCTACACCCTAAACACGAAAGCCTAAAAGCCGAGCCGTGCACTGCAGAGCTTCTGGATGTAGGGCTGAATTAGAGCTCATCGTAGGGTTTATAAAGGAACGGCAAGGAAGAGAGATTGAACAAAAAGGCGGTCTCCGGGCTCCCTTTTTCCTTTCCCACAAATGTCACGGCACCGTTATCAAAAAGAAGGACCTTGAAAGGGACCCCCCCCCCCCCCATTTTCAAGAACCGCCCATACGCCATAGTCACGCGCAAAGAGGCGCTAAACCCGTCTTTGGGTGCCAAACAAACCTTCATAGAAGCCTTAGGCTTTATGGGAATCCTGGGAGGAAGGCTGAAAAGTACCCTTGAAAGGTGGCTTCGTCCTAGGTCCTAGCCAAGTAGGAGAGAAGAGATTTCAAACGAACCCTAAACCCTTGCACTATCCTAAACCGCAGACCGTTATTAAACCTAAGTCTAACCTAACCTAAACCCGCTGCTGCAACAAGGAGGCTGCGCTTCGCCATACTGCGAACGCAGCCTGGATGGCCCCTCCGCAACTGGCTGCACATGGAAATCCCTAAGTGTCCATTGTTCCTTTAAGGGTACTTAAGGGCTCTATAAGGGTTCACTAGGATTTCGGGTTAAGGGCCCATGTACCAGAATAGTATATACTGTTTAGGGCCAAAGTAGATACTAGTTGGTCACATGCACTCTCTTAGGGAATTTGTGGTGTAGGGCAGGGTGACTGTCAGGGCGTCTAACAGGTTGGGTGTTGAAGGGATGAGGGGGGTAGGTTGCTCTGGACGTGGGTTCGTTTGAGGTATGAAGGTCCGCCGATTCAGCACTAGCCTCCGAAGGAACTTGAGCTGCATAAGCGGTACATGTGTGAGAGAGAGAGAGAGAGAGAGAGAGAGTCATGCTGCAACTTGCTTTGGATGTGCCAACTTGCGAGGTCTGCGACGAGAGGACGAGAGGCATGCATGCGATCACCCATCGCCACCCTTCCGAGACCCTGAACCGCCCATACGCCCCAGCCCTTTCTAATCCTATCACATGCATTACTTGAGGTTACCTGCTGCCGTGCCGATGAGTGGCAACGTGCCGTCACTGTCGGGCTTGGATCCATGGCCGGAGGAGCTAGGTTTCTTGAGGGTTTATGGGTTTTAGGGTTTAGGGGAGAGAGAGAGAGAGAGAGAGAGAGAGTTTAGGGTTTCTTCAGTAGCAACAAGGGTTCTTTTGCTAGGTTTTGCCAATACCCTTTCGTTCTTTGAGTTGTGGGGTCTGTTTCTCAACCCGGAGTAGACAGGAAAAGGGGCACCCTTAGTTTCAGGCGGCTTCTTGGGAACGTAGACAGTGCCCCTGAACCATCTCGTATCGGAGTAGCTCATGAGTTTGGGTTCAGAGTTGGCTTAGGGTTGAGGGTTTAGGCTTTAGGGTTTAGACTTTGCCAGGTAGTTCCGGTTCTGGTTCACCGCCGAATGGTTAGGACGGGTTCGACAAACAAAAACATGCAATCAAACAACCCTTACTTTACAGCAACCTAGACACGTAGACTCCTACACAATATACCTACGCCTGTTAGCAGTCATGTTTGTTCATGTCGCTGCACTCATTTGTTGCACACGCAGGCTTTTTCCATACGTTTGTAAACTGCAAGTACATACACGTACAACAGGCTCATTCGTTAATTCAAAGCAAGCACGCTAATTACACATATTGACACATGTATGCGTGTAGAAAGGCAAACATACGGATTATTGTGTTTGTGCGTGTGTTCATACTTGTGTTGTTTAATTTGCCCAGTATTTAACTGTGTCTCTTTACATTTGTGTATTCAAGTATATGTTCGATGTGGACAATCTACACATGGTTTTCAATCAGTAAGTTTGCAGATTTGCCAAAGCTTGTCATGTATTTCCCTAAACCTGAAGCCCTGAAGCTCGCAACCCTGCAGCCCCAAACCCCAAGCCTTGAAGCCCTAAACCTGAACCGCTGAAGCTTTCAAGCCTTCCTTAAAGCCGTAAGCCCTCCTCCCTGTACCCAATCTCACTAGACTTACAGATCCCGCATAGAACCCCTAAAAGAACCTTTAAGGCCCTTAAGGAAACTCTTAAGGGAACCTAAAACCCTAACCCTCAAGGCACAAACTCCCAAACCCTAAACCCTGGCAAAAAAAGCAAAACGCCTCAATCCCTGAAGCTTGAGTTCTAAGGATCAGTTTGCACTCCGTCAGAGCCCGCCGCTGCTTTACACTTCACTCACGAGGTCGAAACTCGAGATCCTTAAGGTTTGGGGTGTAGGGTTAACAGGATGCAGAGTGCAGGGTGTGGGGTTTAGGGTGTAGGATTTAGGGTTCAAGGGCGAGAATATTTGGTTTCCTGGGCTTAAGGTTTAGAATTTAAGGGTTCAGGAGTTCCTATCAGGTTTCCATAAGGGTTCAGGATTTTCCGCTTCTCTCCGTGTAGGACAGAATCAGGGTGGAGGGTTTAGGATGTTTGTTCGATTTAGAGAGGCTGTGGGGTTGTTGTACAAGGCTTCTAACAAGTTTCAGAGTTTCGGTTTAAGGTGGGCTTCTGATTAGTCTTTAGGGCTTACAGGGAGAAGGCTCATACTTACTGTTGATGATATAAATCCTGCATTACCTCAAGGACCCTAAACTATGGGAACTATGGTGTATTCCTTGTGATGGGTAATGCAGGGTTTCTTTTTGGGAGAACCCTAAACCCCAAAGGCCCATAATTAGTCTTTAGGAGTGAGTTCGCTTTAGGGAGCCCCTAACACCAGGAGGACGGCGAACAGTACTGCGAGACACTGGCAGAGACCTTTTCCCCAGGGCTGAAGGCAGAAATGACTGTAAAAGAGAGACTTGAATAAATACCACCAATACTATTCTGGGGTTCCTTAGTAGAAGTATCGTATAATTCAGCCCCAAACTCTATTCTGCTTATTCAAGCCCCTATGGTACTCCAACTCCGGCCGGCACTATTAGATAACTTGTCGTAAGCTTGGGCCTCCGAGCAGGGTTTAGGGTTCAGGTTTGGAGTTCCTGGGGAGTGGAGTGCTTATGTGTTGAAGTTTTCGGGCCTCAGCTGAAGACCGGCAGAGGAGCAAGTGCTGGCAGTCATCAATTCCGGTTTCAAAAAAGGTTTGGAGTTCGACTTCTGCGAATTCCTATCACTTGACACTCACACTTCCGATAGAAGGCGCAGGAGAAATCGCTACCTTCAAAAGCCTTCTGCGGCTTCTGTCCGGCAGACTTGTTGCACCGATTCAGGGTTTAGGGGATCCCCTAAGCCTCCACGTTCAAGCCCTCAAGCTATGACCTCGTGACACCAGGCCGACCCCTCCGGAAAATGCTACGACTGTTCTCCAGGCCGGCCTCGCTTTGGGGATTTGTTTCGGGGCGGAGCCGAGCATGCAGCACTCTTGTACTTCAGTGGTCAGAACAATTACAGTAATCCCTGATCTAACGATTGAGGCTTTTTTTGGGGGAGGAAGGTTATGAGCAGTCTATAGGAAACTACCATCTACGGTGTCTACATCGCTAATCCTGAGTGTCGGATCCACGTGCCGCAAGGTCTTGTGAATCAAGGCGATTTTCCATGCGAAACTGTTGAGGGGTAATATCGGGACCTGATTAAGAAACCTTGGGCCTTTATTGGGGTTCCTTTTAAGGGGTCCTTCAGGGCTCCTATAAGGGATCTATAATAAGGGTACTTTAATAGTGTAGGAACCTGATTAAGACACCTTGGGCCTTTATTAATGCTCTGTTTCTAAATTTGGTTCCTGCATTATTTCACACACCGGCAAGATTACAGCGAAAGGTTCTTCCTAACAGAACCCCTCTCATCGTACCATAGATTGCCAACCAAACCTACTATGAACAGTTAGCCTCCTCCAGCACTTGAGGTTTAGGGTTTAGAGCATGGCTGCTTAGGGGTCGCCGTTGCATTGGCTACAAGAGTTCGTGGGCATTGATTACCTTGGCGTTATGTTCTATTTTCTTGCAAACATTACGTACTACATACACCATCAAGTTCCATAGTATGCCTCCATAAATACGCCTGCATATTTGTCACCAGGGTTATGCGAATATGCTTTGTGCAACACACACACACACACACATATATATATATATACATATATATACACACATACATTTAGTAGGTGGTTTTTCAGTAGGGCAGCAAGCTTTCTGTAAGAGAATAGTAGAGCTTACTTTTTGGATACCAGGTACCCCAGTCAGAAACCCAGTCCGAGTCCTCAAGGTTGCTGGCTCAGGTGCATACAAGGTTTCTCGGTTTGCCATCTAGTCTTAGACCCTTGCCCGACCTTGACACGACTTCGAAAGCCTATGGCGGAATGAAGGTCGAGGAGGATGCGGCATTCCGTGCAGCTTCGCAGCATTTCCACGAAGATTCAGTGGTCCGTGGGTCTGTCCCTATATAGACCCCTGAATCTTGTTGATTGCCTTGAATCGTAATTAAAGCCTAAAGCATGTCAGGAGGTGGGTAAGCGGCTTGATTCCTGCATTCGATACGTGAAGATTGGGACCAGGGTTCTTGGTGCACAAGAAGCAACATCGTCTAATGGGTTTGTTTGTTCGGTCATTTGGGTCCACTTAAGCTTATTTAACTACTGTTGTGTTACTCCTAGTCCTGTATTGTTGTTCACTGCTGCGTAATACGATTTGTGTACTTTTTGGGATGGAAGCAAAGAAGCCTTCTGACACAATTGGATGCATGTTGACGGAGGCGGAGCAGGCACGTCCCATGTCAGTTGCAACCCTAAACCTTAAACCCTAAGCCCCTTAAACAACAAACTGAAGTGCAAAGTTCAGACTCTGAAAACTAAACCCCAAAGCCCTGGACAGTGTAGGGTTACGCCATGGCATAAGCCAGTTTCTACTCTGAAAAGTCGAAGCTACGCCGCTACGGTTTCTACGGTGCAACGGCCGCTTCTGATAGGGATGGCATAGGGGGTTGTTGGAAGGTTACTACGGTGGTAGCTGCAGAGGTTGCTGGAGTCCTACGCAGCAAGGGTTACTCCAAGCTACAAAACGGTCACACGTTACAAGCTGTGTTCTGTTCCAGAGTGCGATTGAAGCCCCAAGGGTAAACCCTACGAACCTAAACCTACAAAATCCAAGTAAACCCTATAGAACACCTACCAAAAGCCTTAAACCCTAAAGACTGTTCTAGTTCAAGCCGGTGGCCCCAAGTGTTGAAGTTGCAGCTGAGGTGTGGGTGCAGCAGGTCCCACCAGCCCCTTAGATCCCATGTTAGCAGATCTGGGCTTTGGGGTTTAGGACTTTAGGGGTTTAGGGTTTAGGCTTAGGGGTTTAGGGTTCGGGGTTCAGGGTTTATGGCTGTTCGGGCGTGACGTTGCAAGCCAGTTGAAGAAGGGTTCGTGGTCAGGTTCGACCTTTTGAGGTTTGCAGGCTGGGTCTTCAGCGCCCGAGGCGTTGAGCTTCGACGGTCAGCGTTGCTTGGCCCCAGGCTTTTGGATCTCGTGTTTAGGGTTTAGGGTTTTGGACCTAGTCTGTGGGGGCCAGGGAAAGGCAAGGCGCATTGCTAGGTTTTTGTTGATGAGTCTGGGCCCCCACCCTGTAATAGTGGTATAATAGGAATATAATAGGGCCCGAATATAATCCTTATAGCCTTATAGTCACTATTACAGGCTGGGGGCAGCTTCTAAAGTATGGCTGCAGAGGTGATCCTGCACCATCTTAGGCTCGAAGCTCAACACGCCAGCCCAAACTCCCAAGACCCAAAGCCAAAAAAAACTGGGAATCCCTTAAGTAAGGAGTACAATTCAGTTCGTAGGTGCTTTCATATTAGGTTTTAGTTTAGCGTAGATTCCTTAGTATATAGTTGCCTCTTGTTTTCGATTTTTTCTTTCGTATAAGACCCGAGAGAGAATATTAGAGATTGTGTTTGTATCACGGTTCTGAGGGCGGGGTAACAAAGGAACCCTTATGGTACCCCATAAAGGAACCCCAGGGTAACAGGGACCCGTATCGGGACCCCCTCCACTGCTTCAGAAGTCTCCCATCCGAGGCCGAGACAGAGACGCCGGGAGCCGTTGCTGACAATGTTCCCTGAGCCGTGGAGTCCGTGAAGGTGGGGACGCGGGAAATGGGTGTACTATGGGAGCCTTAATAATTAGGGTTTAGGATTCCTTTAAAGGGCTCTGGTAAAGGGCGTATAGGGGTTACTATAAGGGCTACTATATGGATAGGTTAATTACTGTAGAGTCCTTAATACTGACCCGTACTATTTTGGGGGTTCCTTAGTATTGTAGTAGAATAAGGACAGGGAGATGTGTGTGTACTACAGGGAAGAACTACGGCTTTGTTTGGCTCCCCCAAGTACATTTTGATAAAGCCCTTGTGGCGATTAATAGAGGGTATATGGGTAGTTGGAGCGTCTACTATAGGGACCTTAGTAATTACCTATACTATGTGGGGGTTCCTTAGGAGAACATTATGGTATAATGAGGACGGGGAGATGGTGTAGATAGACCGACAGATTCAGGGTTTAGGGCTCGGGGTGTAGAGTTTAGGGTTGAGGGTTCAGGATGAAGCGAGATCGAGAGATAGATAGATAGATAGATAGAAGGATCGATAGGTACGTAGATCCATAGGCAGAGAATGAGAGGTAGATAGATTGATTAGTTGAATGAGCTGGTCGAATGATAGTTTGAAAGACGGACACATTGAGAGATGGACAGCTGAACGGATTGATTTGTTGATAGATGGGGAGATAAAGAGATAGGTAGGTAGGTCGGTAGATAGATAGATAGTTGTCAACTCATGTATTAGATATTTGGCTTAAGCCCTCGCCTGGAAATCCCGAGCCGTGGAGCAAATCCGCAAAGCCAGCCTTACCTACCTAAGCCCTAAGCCCTCAAACAGCTAACTCACAAGTCCTAGCAGAATCGTTTGTCGCCGGGGAGCCAGCCAAAGCTAAACCCTAAACCCGCAAACCCTACAGTAGAAGCCCAAAAGTTGGAAACCCCATAATAGCCTCAGTCCTTAAGAGTAATGTACAGGGAATCCCAGCACTATTTGGCCTTAATCCGGTTTCCAACTTTATGGGGTCTAGGGTAAGCTACACGCCCAAAGGCAGCCAGAACTCTCCACCCTAAACCCACGAGGCTTCGAGAAATCCTAGCAGGCACCATAAGGGTTTTTTGTGGCTTTATTTGGTTTTTAGGGTTTAAGTTGAGGATTAGGTGTTCTTTAGGGCTTTATTTGGTTTTAGGGTTTAGGGTTTAGGATTACGGGTTCTTTAGGGCTTTGTTTGGTTTTTAGGGTTTAGGGCTTAGGATTAGGGGTTCTTTAGGGCTTTATTTGGTTTTAGAGTCTAGGGTTTAGGATTAGGGGTTCTTTAGGGCTTTGTTTGGTTTTTGGGGTTTAGGGTTTAGGATTAGGGGTTCTTTAGGGATTCATTTCGTAGTAGTAGAGTAGGCAACCTTTAACCTTGTTGTTTTGGGTAGTATAGTCCCTATATAATAACCAAAAAGGCTAACCTTTAGTTCCCCATGATACCCGACAAGTAGGATTTGCTTTTAGCGTTTAGGGTTGAGGGTTCCCAGACCTTCCAAAATCCCTTAATTAAGGAATATACCTTAAATTATAGTAGGATCCCTAATATGATTTAAGGCATATTCCTTGATTAAGGGATTTTGGAAGGTCTGGGTTTCCCATCTCTAGAATGCCATACAGGCTTGCAGCGCTTCGTGTTCGCGTTTTGCTGCATGGGTGCGTTTTGCCTCCAAAACCCCCTAATTAAGGAATATACCTTAAACTATATTAGGGATCTTGTTATGATTTAAGGTATATTCCTTAATTAAGGGGTTTTGACGCCGAAAGATGCTTGAAAAAGGAAATGCAGGTAAAGCGAAGTGCAGTTATGATAGCTGAAGATTCAGAAACCCTCAACCCCTGAACCCCAATCCCTCAAACCCTAAACCCATAAACACGTACGAGTTGCCTTTCAGTCAGGCTGGCTGCCGTGAAGGAGGGCCGTAGGTGCGCCCGTCACTCTGGGGCAGAGAAATACAGTTTTACATGCACGGTCTTTGTATCAAGCAGGCCAGCAAATTGAGGGGCCCAGTGGCAATGATGAGTCAAGCTCTAAAGCCCCAGGCCCCACGCTTACAAATCCATGGTAACTAGCTACGTACTATTGGGGTCTGAAGTAAACCGAGTTATTCAAATCCGAACTGAACTTTTACTTTGAATAATACATGACAGCGACATGTATCCGACTTTGGATCCAGCAGTTTGCCAGTGCCCAGCTACCGGCCGTGACGCTCCTAAGGAGCACCGGTTTTACATGTGGTCTGCAAATTCGCGCCGGACATCTTCTCTGGAGCAGCCTTAGGCAGCTTCCAGCGCAATTGTAACTTATACACGTAGCCACGCACCAGGTATGGCAGAGAAGCCTGCCAACCAGAAGCTGCGAGGTTCGAGCCTTTGACTGTAATTTCGGCCCACAACTCAGAAAAGCAGAGTTTGGGCCCTACTTACCTACTTAGAGCTTCATGGGTAGTTACAAGTGGCCTGATAAGTCCTCGAGTATGGGCTACGCTTATGGTCACCTGCGCATAACCCCACATATAACTACCTATCAACCTCCAAGTAGACCCTAAACCCTATACCGCCTATACCCTTATAGAACCCCTTACAGAACCCCTATACATCCCTTTAAAAGGGACCCCCTATGATTACCCAGCATGTGCAGCACCTCCCCAAGCTCCAGCCTGCCACTGGCATCCGCAATTTCTGTCACGCATCCCTGAGGCTACCTATAGTCTCCATCGTAGCTTCTTCGTGGCTTAAGCTCCCTACGGCTGATGATAGAAATCCTGCATTACCCATAGTAGGGAATACCTGCAGTCTCCATTGTAGCTTCTTTCTGGTTTAAGATTGGCCAACTTGAATATTCACACGGGAACCAACCCAACAAGGAACTGCAATGGAGACTGGAGGCAGATTATCAATCGGGTCTGATTGTTGAGGAATGACGGTTTAGGGTCACTGATCTGCTGTCGTAGCGGCAACAGCCGACAGGAGCTACAGGCGGACGTTTGGTCCTAACTAAGCCAAAGGGTCCAAGTGCCATAATAGTCGGTACTTAGTAGGTATTTGGGCCCCCAAAGTATGTACTATACTATTACTTGGACCCTTTGGGTAAGCTTCGGGATCAACCGATTTACGGGTTCATGGCTCAAAGCGGTTTTGACAACGCAAAGCCAATCCTGCAACCGAAGCCGCAAACTAAGGCCTGCAAGTTGACTGTAAGAGTTTCTTCACCATGACCAAAACAGGAGACGTGACATTTGGCGACGGTTGCTTTCTGACCAGGAGATATCCACGGCCTAACTCCGACACTCCTCGGACCCATTCTTCTATCATTTCGCATCTCAAGTCACTACACACCCCTAGGCTCCATAGTAGTTCCTTTCAAAATATGAACCCTAAGACGGACCCACTATGGAGCCCCTAGGGACTCTAGGCAAGACTTCACTCTGAACCGATTTGTCGCAGCCTTGGGGAGTGCAGACTTCGTTCGGCATGCCGGGGCTTTACAGAACCAGCCTGTGTCGGTGAGCTTTTCAGAACCCTTATCACACGACCAGTGGTTTCATGGTTAGGGGTTTTCGCATGTGCCAGATGCTGTGAGAATTTATTCAAGCGTCAACCTGGCTAGCATGTGACGTGCAAGGTAATTTGATACTTCTGGGCACGGTCTTTGCTACCCTGACATGTCACGGAACTACCATCAGAATCAGGTCCGCTGATGCTATTATCGCAACTCGCACTGTGCCGCTTGCCCCCCCCCGGCCCCCACCCACACTTTAAGCTAACAGTCATCATACGAAATTGTGTAAGTTGAGTTTTTCTCTCCTGATTATCTGATTATGGTCGGTTGAGTTGCTCTGATGGGCCTGATTGAATCCGTACCTGCCCAGTGCGAGTGTGCGAGTCGAACCCCACAGCTCAAAATAGGAAGATTGATGAACGTGGCAGCATGAGCCGTGACTGAAGCAGTGGAATGGGCCGGATGGTTTGCGCGTTTGGTGATTTGGTGAAGGACTGTTGCATCATGGCCTACCCTATATCCTCCACCCTCAGCACGTAAGCTTGAACCCTACACCCCAAACTGGGCTCTAACTTGCTTTCAACAGAATATTTTCTAGCGCGTAAACTATGAACTCTGAACCCTGCCTGGGCCCTCTAAGCGTTTCGCTTATATACGTCTTTCAAAAGGTAGGTTGTTTGGTTCGGTTGGGAAAAAGCCCTAAACCCTCTACCCTACCCATATGCCTCGCCTGGTTCGCCCGAGTGTGAGCGCAAAAAGCCCTGACTAAACGGTGCCACTAACCTCACCAGGCTTGTCCCGGGTTCCTGAAAGAGGGCTCAGGGTTCTTTTAAGGGTACTATAAGATAGTAGAAGGGCAAAAATAAGGGTTCCTTAAAAGGGATCCTTTTAAGCGTGCTAAGGGTTCCTTTAAGGGTGCTATAAGGTAGTAGAAGAGTATATTACAGGGTATTATAAGGGTTCCTTTAAGGGATCCTTTTAAAGGTGCTAGGTGTGACTGTCGAAACCCTGATCCGGAGATCTATATAACTCGGAAGTTTTCCACCCTTCGACCCTGCACTGTCCGCGGCCTTCATGATTGCGTATAGGGCTCCACCACAACAAAGGCTCAGGGTTTAGGGAACAGTCTACACAGAATATGGCATGGTAGGTTATGTCGTATTCGGCCATAGTAAAGTTGTACAGAGCCTTGAAAGAACACTCTTGTCGCTTATTCCTACCCCTATACTATATTGCAATGAAGGTGTGCTCACCGAACCAGGATAGGGCCTATAGTGACCGCACGAGTTTTTTTCTGCAAAGGCTTTCGCTTTCGAAGGCCTCGGTCCGAAGTGCTGGGATCACAGCGCAAGCCCCTAAACCCTGAACCCCAGAACCGGAAAAGCTCGGGTCTAGGGCTTACCCTAAGGGTCCAAGTACCGAATGACCCTCGACTAAACGCTAACCTGCATTGCTACTGATTATGCGAACCCAGGTACCTACAATTATTTTGTCCTTTGAGTTATTGGGTCCTTTGGACCCTTGAGGTTAGGGCTTCAGGGATTTAAGGTTTTTTTGGGTTTTTGTATTTTTAGAGCTTAGAAAAAGCTCATAAGCGGCAAAGGCCAACCGGCTATACACCCTGCAGACCGGAACATTTAAGACCATGGACTCCTTAAGCCTAAACCCCAAACCGTGAACCCAAAACCCTAAACCCTAAACCCTGTCCGAGTGTGAGCGCCGAAACCCTACCCTAAACGTGGACACCGTAGGCAAACGCCAAGACTTTGAAGTCCCAACGGCTGCGGGTTGAACATGTGCTATTGATTCTAGCTGTTCTTTTGCATTGTCATTTCAGATTAAGATATATACACATGGTGTTTCGCACCCTCTATGTGATGCTCTATATGACTTTCACAATGTGTTATACATGGTGCATATTGTGCTATCTGCCTGGCCTTCTCTTCGTTCTGTCCCTTCCCGAAGTCTCCAGGCCGGGTGTCTTGTCTAAGACCCAGAGTAGGTCAATATTCACTTTTTTAGGATTTGGGTTATCTTATAACACCCTTTCACCCAAAAAGGGCCCCCTGTTTATTCCCAGGTTACTCTTGCGTCTAGTTGTCGCACATGTTCTATGACGTGTTTTTTATCGTGTGCGCTGACCCTAGGCGGTCCGGTACATTGTATTTTGTATTTGTATCATAGCCTATAAGGGCCATGTACCCAAACAGTATATAATTTCGGCCCAATGTAACATTGGGCCAAAATTATATACGTACCTATTATATAGGGAGTACTTTAAGCCCAAAGTATACACTATTTGGGTACATGGACCCTTAGGGATAATCATGGTGTGTTCGAGTATATTGTAGTTCAGTTAACAATCAGCCAGGATAAATGCTGACCTTGCGGAAGCTTTGGCAGGAGCGTTGCGAGTTTCAGGACTTTCGGCGTACCGGCGGGATCGAAGAGCGCGAAAAGCAATGACCTGGTGCCTCAGCAGCTGCAGTTTTTGGGTAGTTCCCTCAGAGTATAAGGTTTGGGATTCTGATGCGGCAGTCTGGCTCAGGTTGCACTGGCATGCAACGTCGCAGCCAGGTCTACGTGACCCTGGTTTTCTCTGCATTCCCTGCAACGACAGTTGACGGTTCGAGCGCGTGCACATGTGACGAGAGCAGTGCGCGTAGTATCGGGCATAGAATAATTACTGCTACTCCCCAGAGTTCCTTGGTATATCTATACTGTTGTGTACCCCGAAACCTTCTTCCAAAATGTTCTGACTGCTAAAACCCTCATATTTGCTTCGCGGATCCTTAGTTGAAGCCTTCCTTTTCGTCTCTTTCACGTTAAGAGATCGCTTGGTGCCGTCCGATGGCGAGAGAGCCCAGACCTTCATCCCCACAGGCCCTGTGGTCACCCTACACCCTGATCTCCAACGAGGAACCCCCAAGGGCCCTTCAATAGAGTCCTTATGGCCGTTGATAGTGATGGTAATTGGGGTATATGGAGGTAGTTGGGGGGGGGGGTCTCGGAATATTTAAACCCAGAGTCCACTCGATGCTCTGAAGGCTAAACCCTGCTCCCCAAGACCTACACCCTGAGTTCACTCCATGCTCTCTGAAGGCTCAAAGTATAGATGAGGGCCTACCGCCCTTGAGTCGTACTGTGGACTCAGACGCGGGGTCGGGCCACCAAGTCAAAGCTCAGCGACTGAAGCTTTTAGCCTTAAGAGCTTATCTAATTTAAGATTACAAAAAAGCAAAGTATAATTCTAGCATATCATATGCAATATAAATTATGGGGCCTGAGACTGAACAACGCTTGGCCAATCCCCGCAGAGGCTGCAGTAACACCGAGGTAGTGCGAGACTGAGTCGGAGAAGTACTAGAGTCGTAGAGCTTGCTTAGTCGAAGGGTTCCTTAAAAGGATCTATAGGGTTCCGTTAAGGGGATCCATAAAGGATCTATAGGGTGTATAGGGGTTTAGGGGTTTCTTCCACCACACTTTCTAGGATCCCCGTAGGGTTTAGTAGAGTTTTGAGTGTCGCAGTTGCTTTGAATCCGGCTACGGTGCTCGCGCTACTTCGTGTAGGCTTTAGGATCTGAGGTAGCCACAGAAAGCCTCCTGCTCTGCGTAGCATCCTCGGAGAGCTATATAGACGCTTCAGTGGCCTCCAAACCCCGTCGACCCCCAACCCTAACGCCTAACACCCTCAACTTCGTGTACCCAGCCATGCAGGAGGCAACAAGAAACAGGCACCCTAAACTCTTCAGGATATCCTTGCTGACCCTTGGAGTTTAAAGGAGCATCTTAATTAATTCTCGACTCACCCGGCCGTGGCCTGCTGCTTGGCTTTCTGAGTTTCCTGATTGGTTGAAGGGCTTGCGGGTTCAGGCGTTCCTTTAAAGGGATCTACAAGGGTACCGTTAAGGGGTTCCTTTAAGGGATCTATAGGGGTACCGCTAAGGGGTTCCTTTCAGGGATCTATAAGGGTACCGTTAAGGGGTTCCTTTAGGGGGTTCAGGGGTTTACGGTTCAGGTCAAAGTTTCGAGAAGTCTGACGAGATAAGATACCTAGAGGCTCCATAGTATTTCCTTTTTGGGGTTCATGTTTAGAATTCTATAAGCTGATCCCCAAAAGGAACTACTAGAGAGCCTATGGGTAGTTCATGGAAAGGTCGCCATATTGCGTATCCTTGCAGGACTCAGGCTCTCAGGAATTATTCATGTAGTGGGTGTATGTGCTGTTTATCTCGATGCTTACACGTGATGTCAAGTCCTGAAGCTGTCCCCAACTGCTCTAAACTCTAATCATGGATGCCAGGACTGAGTCATGGCGAGTCGAGTGCAAGAGAGAGATAATCATGGAAGCATTGTCGCTTGGTTTCGGACGTCGTCACTCACACAGTTCGTAAGACTACGACGACGTTCTGCTTCCAGCTTTCCTCTTTTCGGGAACGGTTTTCTCGTACAATCCTTGCCCCCCGTACATACATACACCCCCCTCCCTCAAGACCCCTTCTAATTACCAAGGTCCCTAACTTCGGTCACGGTTCACTGGCCTCGAGCCTGAAAACACGTAGGCGTTTGCAACAAGCCTTTTCAACGCAGGCAAGCCCACAACTGAGCTGAAGCAAGCTTGGCCCCTTGTACTGCCAACTAATATCTGCCAACTAATATAGAAGCCAGTGTACTTGAGACTGATTTTCCGCAAGGCTGCACGATGTAAGTGCTTTAATTATAATGAACCCCCAAGTCTCCAAGTTCCATTCCAATTGTTAAGGTCCCTTGTACTATGCTCCAAGTTCCAAGCAAAGGACGACCCGAAACCCCTAAACTCTAAGGACCCGTGTGTGATGCGATCATGGCATAGCATCATCGCGGCAGTCGCAGCCTTCTTGAATGCCCAGCTTGTCCTCTCAGAGGACTGAGCGCTTCGTAGGGTTTAGGGTTGAGGGCACCAATCCCCGGGCGAAGTGGAAAGCCTGTTGCAACAAGGGCACCAACATACCACAGCGGGCGGAATACTTCGTAATAGTACCCCCCCCTTTTTACAGAGCTGATACAAGCGCATACTGATATCAAAGTCTGCCTTGATAGTAATCATTTAGCGAAGCGCTAATAGATAGGAGCCCTTTTCTAATTTTCAAGGCCGCTACAGTGGGAACCTGATGAGGGTAGAGTTTCTGCTCCATGGTGAAGCCCTGAAGCCACAAACCCCGAACAATAACTCTCCGAAATCACTAGACCGTATACCCCATAGTCTCAACCCTAAACCTCCATTTCTGTAGCCCCTAAACCCCAAACACTGTTGTGGCCCTACTAACTAAGCTAGAGTTGCCTTCCTGGGTTACTACCCGGGTGCTATAAGGGTTATTTCAAGTGTTTAAAGTGCCTTGACAGTGAAGCTCGGGATTTGGGATACATTGCAAGGTATTCATATGAGGGGCAGCAATTACGGGGGTGATATTTCCATTTATTCCGAGCGCTATATTAAGCCGTCCATTACAGCTACAGGAGCTGGCCATCGTTCGCACCTACGCAAGCACCTTCGAGGTTAACGAGTTGGAGAACTCACTCCGGTCGCTGGCACAATTTCAGGTCTCACGGTTTTGGGATCTACAAGGTAATGTAGGGGCCTCAATGATTAAATAATGCTTTTGGGGGTTTCTTATAATAGCTGGAGTAAAGTATACCCTCAAACCCTAGTCAAATTACGAAGGCCCTGCGTTATGGGTTTTAGACTTGAAGACTTGGGATGGGAGCCTAGTGAAAGCGCAATGCAGGAGCATGTTGTAGATACATGTAGACGCCAACCACGGACTAAAGTTCCTTGCTGGCAGTGAAGAGCAGTGCGAAGCTGTTTGCAGGACTCCTAGTATGACGTGGCGCAGCATTTCAAGATGCGTATGAAGCTGACTAACTTCCTGTGAAAAAATGCAGCTGACATTGATTTTGTGGTCAACCAAAGGCTTTGGAATGATGTCCTCCCATGCATCTTGGAAGCATCCGCTCGGGCGACGCCGCCTGCACGTTCCGTAAAGTGGATGTTTGTTTTTAGACTGAGCTTTTCGGGTGTTTATGGATCAGAGAGCAATACTGCTGTTCCGGCACCTATGATCGGAAAGGTTTACAGATCGGTCTACCCGAGACCCTAGACGAGACATTGGATAGAGGTGCTCGGGTCTGTACCTACTTGGCATTGAGTGAATCGCAGAAACCTGTTGGTGCTTTCTGAATTGCGTGGCTGCTGCAAGCTTGGAATCAGGGGCAGACGGTGTCTGGCCCAAGGCAAGCTACACTTCAGGATGCACGTGCTTAGTGAATTAGTCCCTGGTCTACTCGGGCTTTCGATAGGATGCACAGTATCTCTGTTTCAGGTGCAGAACGAGTAGAGGAGGGGGGTGCAAGCTGGAGAAGAATGTGGACCATGTCTGCTCTGATTTTGAGTACCCTTTTTCCCCGCATGGTGTATGTATGGTACCGTGACAAGTAAAGAGACGGGGGAACCCCGTAAACCCTAAACCTTGCACCTTAAAGCCCGTTTCGAGACCAAGGCCATATGGCGCCACCCGTCCCAGTCGACTTGATTCTGGCAGCTCGCCGAAGTAAGACCAAAGCCTTCTTTGCTTGGGTCAGGTTTTAGGGTTCAGGGTTTAAGATTTTTAGGGTTTGGATTCAGGGATGTTTGCCTTTGCCTCTCTTGAAAGCTAGAGAGATTGATAAAACCACACTGCTGGAGGCACTTCGGAGAGACCTCGTTCAAAAGCGGGGTGCTTTCGTTATTTGACCCGTTTGGTCTTCGTGATCCACGAACCCCCGAAATGGAGCCTCACATGGAGAATCACCATGTCTGCAAACTCAGAAACCCTGAATCCTCCAACCCCTTGAGCCTGAACCCTATATAGGAAACTCCAGAAACTTGGAATATGGTTTCATGGTAGAATACCTTATAATTTACCATAGAAGGGTTAGGATAATCATATTCCAACTTTCTGGCTTTTACCTTAGACTCAACACCCCCCCCCCCCCAGTACCGTGTCCCATACCCGAATGGCGATCAGTTATAGTTTTCGATATACTATGTTTGCGAGGTCTATGAAAAGCGCTGCAAGCCCTTCTCCACGAATACGGGGTCTGAACATTTTTATCTGCCATGTTTCTAGTGGTGCCCATGTATGGTCATGTTATAAGAGGCCTCCTTTTCAAGCCTAAACCCCGTCTTCCACAACCACATGCGCTGAACTGTGTCACGGACGATTTCTCTCTCCCTGGCAAACCCCATGAATTACCCAGAAGGTCCTACGAACAATGCATAACAGTTTAGGTTTAGGGTTTAGGCTCTTGCGTAGTTTAGTTCCTAAGACTCCCCGGTGGAAGCCACCTTAAGTCCAAGGCGCTTCAGCAACATAAAGCCAGTTGACATCAAGTGACGACGATAACAAGGCATTCGGCTTATTGGTACAACTAGAACTTGCAGTATTTTGTTGGCATGCAGATTGAATAGAATCTCGTCGCCACCCTCATCATCATCGCCATCGTGTGATCGTAACTGTCATGATTTCGAAAACCCCTTTATCCTCTTCGATCCCGAGTTCCAAGCTCTAAATGTCTTCTCGAGAGCTTGTGACAGACAGGTCTACAGCCAATCCTATGAAAACAACAGTCAGGCACTGCAGCTCGCCCTGCACCAGTCGTTACGGCGGGCTTTATAAGTCTATTGCCTGATATTGAAGGACCAACAGCATCCCAAACGCACGACTTTCTTCAAATACTCTGTCTGAGCACTGAGCAGCTCGACTTTGTCATAGTTGGGTAGCTTTGTACCTTTTGTTGTTATCGTCAATTGGGAGTGAAAGTTTCAGAGTTTTAATCCTATCCTAACCATGAACTAGTGTAAATGGTATTCCCAAGCATCCGTGCCAAAGGAGTTTGGAAGGGCAGGGGACTTAGTAAGTAGGTTATAAGTAGGGTTATAATTGGGGTAACTCCATTTAGGGTAGTTGTAGCTCTACTGATAAAGTCCCCTGCCCCTCCAAGAGGTAGGATCTAAGGTTCAGAGGCTTGGAGCTTGTCAGCTCAAGCCTTCAGTGCTTGAGGCGCTTAGGCTTAGGCTTAACGGTTTAGGGCTTGACGGTTTAAGGCTTGGGGGTTTGGGGTTTAGGGTTTAGGGCTTAGGGTTTGACGGTTTAAGGTTTGGGGGCTTGGGCCTGACATTCAGGGATTACTGGTTTAGGGCTGTTATGGTTTGGGAACTAGCAAGTTACTTTTGATGAAGACGCAGTTGCCGGCCCTCTCCAATCCGAGGTAGGCATGAGATCACCTGCTGATTGAAGGGTCATGTCATGCTACCTCGTCGTAATCTACTAATGCACGGTTTTTAACCATGAGAATACAGTTTTGGGATAAATTGTCATATGCTGTCAGGGCTATACTTACGCTTCTGCAGGGGCTTAGACAAGGTCTAGCTGACAAAGTCTTAGCCAGTCCCAGTCGGCCCTAAGCAATCCTGTTGACACCAAGGACTGTGGCGTGCCCTGGCAAAGTCACCAGAGCTGTTGTCTTGTCGGGGTAGTGCTAGTAGTAAAGGTACCTCACGCACTGCTCCGAAAATCCCGAACTTTGTCATAGTTGGGTAACATTTTAAATTTTTGTGGGTACTTAAACCCAATAAGGAATAAATATGTACATCCTATCCCAACCATGAGCTAGTGAACCCGAAAGATGAACAAGGACAAAGGACGTTTAACAACACAACCCTTCACCCGGCCTAGCAGTTGTCTTCATTCAATGAGTGTTTCAGTTTTTGGTGTATTGCGCAGTAGTTTGGGATGTTGTAGGGTTTATCGTGTTTAGCCGATTATGCTTTTTAAGGTAATGTAAAGCCCCAAAGCTTCATATCTGCGAATCGGTTTTTGACTTCTCAGACAAAACATCGCCGATGCCTTCGCCGTCGGCAACGACACTTGGCCGGCTTGTGGCCAAGTGTTCCTCTGTAAACTAGGTGGGGTTTGGGTTACCGGTTACCTACAGTAGAAGCCAGAAAGTTGGAACATGAATATCCTCATGCCCCTAGTATAAACTATAAGGGATCCTAGCACTAATCATCCTAAATCCATGTTCCAACTTTCTGGCATCCACAGTATACTGTTTTGGGGGTTCCTTATAAGGCATCCTGAAGGGTTCCATCAAGGGATCTATAGGGTTTAGGGTTCGGGGTTCAGGGGCCTGAGGATTCCTTTTAAGGGTTTCTTTTGAGTTTTAAAGGGTTCTATGAGGATTACTGTAAAGAGTATTATGTGGGTTTAGTATATAGGGGCCTTAATAATTACCAATACTATTTGGCAGGTTCCTTAGTACAACTACAGTTTAATGGGCCCCAAAGCCCTATTCTAATTATTAGGGCCCCTCTAGTATCTTGCTGCAGCAGAGATTTCAATCTGCTACTACTCTGTCTTCTCATTTTTTGACATAAGCCCTCAGCTCCAGCTGAAGACCATCACTTCACCCAATACCTTCAGTCCGTACACCCAAAAACCTGCAACCCCGAAGAGTTAAAAGAGCCCAAAAAAACCCTAACACCCAAAGACCCAAAGCACAACCCCGTAGCCATTGTCATCCTGCACCCCCCAACCCTAAGCGCCTATACCCGAACTTTGAAACATATGCCCTAAAGCCGAAACCCTCCTGCACCTAGACCCTAACTCCGAAACATTAAAGCAGTAACTCCTAATAATAATTATTACGGCACCTATATACTAAACCCCCATAATACTCTTTACAGTAATCCTCATAGAACCCTTTAAAATTTAAAAGAAACCCTTAAATCCTACACCACCACCCAGGAAAGCTGGCATCACTGTTTCCGGGGGCTGAGCTATCACTCAATCAACCTGTTCCCCGGCTGGGCCTTCGGAAAGGGGAGGGCTCTGTGACTTCGGGGAGGCGTTGTGCTTGGGGACCTTCACCTAGGCGTTGTGTGCTTTTCATTTTTTGCCACATCCGATCGAGGGCAAACAGAAGTTGAGGGCTTAAGCTTGCAGTATCTCACGGGCGCACGGTGCTCGCAGACCAATGTTTGGGATGCATGGTTCGGGTTGGGGGTGAGAAATGTCTGCGAAATGTTGCGCACGTGTGTAGACCTGCTTCATGGATAAATGGATGGACGGATGGATGGAATCACACATGTATGCTGCGATTTACCGTAAGGTCATGCATTGAAATAAATGTGTTGACATGGAATGCAACGTAATGCCGTAATGAAGTTATGCATGCCTCATGCACACATGCAACTATCTACTCGCGGATGCTTGTGCGATTTTAACTATGCATGTATGCATGCATCTATGTACTTCAGACTTCCATCGTTGTGCACAGGTACCCGCACGCTTGCACACGTGATGCGCGAAGCATCTTTGGGGCAGTGAGGGCATTGACAATCACGCCACAAATTGCCAGAAGTCCTAATAGTGGAATCCCGCCGCAAAACTCTAATCCCTAAACCGCAACTTTGGGATCTGCATCCTCCGCCCCAGCAAGCTCGTGTCTGGACTGGGTAGGTCCAGATGCTGCAGGGCTGCGGGCATCAAAGTGTCGGGAACCGGGATTAGTTTGAGAATTTAAGATTTAGCGGGTGTGGGGTCTAACCACAAGGTTTTGTGGTGCCTATCCCAGGACAGCCGAGCAGGACGTGTATGATTCGCGAGGCTGGTTGTCTTCCGTTGTCTTGGCATTCTCTGGGATACTGACACCCGTCGGTGTATCTGAGTGGAGATGCTGCAGGTGAAGCATACCTAAACACTAATTGGCCCTGAACCACAAACCGTGCGGAAGATCTCAGTACGAGCATGACCAAAAACCCGGTATGTTGGTAGGTTGCAGTTGGTAGGGTCGGGTTGTTGTTGTTGTTCATAGCCATCAGCTCAGAGTAAATTGTCTCACTTCCAAAGCAGGCTTCGAATCACATGCCTCGAATGCCGTCCGAGTGCAGGGTTGTTGTTCATAGCCATCAGCTCAGAGTAAATTCTCTCACTCCCAATGCAGACTTCGAGTCACATGCCTCGATTGCCGTCCGAGTGTGAGCGTCGAAACCCTAAACCCTAGAACCCTAGAACCCTAAACCCTTAACCTAAACCCTTAAAGCCCTAAACCCGAAACCCTAAACCTAAACCCTGAAAGCCCTAAACCCTATGGTGTTCATGTCTCCGGCCGCTGATGCAAAACAGTCTAGAGCCAACTCGGCGAAATGCCAGCGGAGGCCATTGCCACAAAACCCAGAAAGCCCGCTACAGGTATTCCTCAAGAATAAATGCCTCAAGTTATGCCAATACAGGGGCCTTATCATAACAGCTGGTTTAAAACATAAATGAAGAGTTTGCGCTTTGGTTACCTTTGCCTTATTATTGTCAGCCAGCATTAGCAGACCGTTGGATAGCCGATGTTAGCAAAATGCAGGGGTCGTTTTCCGACCTCCAACCGTTTACGGTCTATTCCACGGAAGCCAGAAAGTTGGTCATCATCCTCGTGCAGTAAATTAAGGTACAGGGAATCCCAGCAAGAATCATCCTACATCAATGTTCCATCTTTCTGGCGTTCACTATAAGGGGTATTGGGCTCTCTGGGAAAGGCAACTACCAGTACAGCGATCACAGGCAAAGCAATGGACCTTAAAACCTAAGCAGAGCATGAACTTCAGCCTAGATGTCTGACAGCCGCAGATGTCATCGCCATGGAGTTTAATCTAGGGGCCTAACTTCAAACGTCAGCCGCATCAGCCGTTTCAAGCATCCCACTTGTATCTGACGCTCTGCGGGGCTACAAGTGCAAGTGTATAGGGCTTGGGGTTCAAGGTTTAGGTTTTGAGGTTGTGTATATATATATAATAATAATAATAACAATAACAATAACAATAATAATAATAATCATAACAACAATTACCATTACTGTTTGGGGGGTTCCTTAGTATTATGATAGAAAAATGGGCCCCAAAAGCCCATTCTAATCATTAAGGCCGCCGCGGTAAGGTTCAGGGTTTAGACCCCAGGGTTCATCACTGAAAAAAGCCCCAAAGCCTTCTGTGGCCAGGCTATTCCATCAGGAAAGATTGGGTGAATGGGCCCAACTCCGTCTTTCGATCAGTTTTAGGCCGCTGAGCTGCGAGACTGGTGTGTTGAATGTGGCAACCCTAAACCCTAAACCCTAAACCCTAAACCATGTCTAGGTCGGCTAGACTGGGGGTATGCATGTACACGGTCGAGCGTGCGTGGCAGAAGCGGCTTACGTACTCAGTATCTACATGTATCTGCAGCGCCCCAAACCTTAAACCCTCATTATGTTGGCATAGCCGAAGTCCTGCGAGTGCTCGCGCCTTTGACCTAAGGTGCCTTTCTTAATCAGAGTTTTGAAGCGGACTACGACGCATTCTACTTCATGGAGCTCTCTGCAGGGCTAGGTTCAGAGGTCGGAGATACATTCCAATGCACGGCATTCTTGACTTTGCGGCTTGGGGTGACATGTGAAATATACCAAGACTTGGTGTGCGTTGTCGGATGTGGCACGTAACTTCCCGTGCTTCGCTTGGAACTTCCTGAGTGAACTTGTTCGAAGTGCTTGTGTCCGAAAGGAGATTGATGCCGTGCCCGTCAAGGAGTTGTGGGTGAACCAGCTGATTGCCGAGGTGCAGCCAGCAACAAGGGTTTGGGTTAGCTTCGTGGGCTATACTCGAAGCTACTGAGTATCTGGATGTGACGAACTGGGTGCGCTATTCTACACAGCCAGGGTTTTCGGATGATCCGGCGCATCACTGGGCACCATTCCGATGCTAGGTTAGGACTTGAATAGGTTGCCTTTTTAATGCTCAGCTCTACAGTCTCCGCTTCCCCCTCAATGTAGGCACCTCGCGCGCGCGCACGCGCGTGTGACAAGGCATTCTATTATCCTCGGGCCGCCATCCGTGGCAGTCGCTACCGAGGCAATCAGGGCTTGAGTTCAGTGCAGGCCTTGATAATTAAGGGTTTAGGGTTTAGGATTCCTTGGAAAGCACAGTCGGCGCCTCGGTTCCTGGCATATGCGTAGTCCAGGTGTAAGAAGGACTCCTTGGGCCCCGTAAAACCTTCCTTTTAGGGTTCCTGGTTATGTTTTCCTCAAACAATCCCCAAACCTGTAGGTTATTTGCGGCCAAGGTAGGGTTTACATGGGGTTAAGGTTGACGTGTTGATTGGGGGTCCGCTGTGGTCGTAATGCAAAACTCCCTGCTGCCAGGGATCTCTAGCCTACAACAACTCGCAGCTGCCCTAATTTTATATACGATTATATATATATATATATATATGTGTGTGTGTTTCCTATGTACATACACACGTACATATATTTGTATATATATATGTAAGTATGTATGTAGGTGAAATGTTATCTTATAGATCATGTGAGTCGTCTTGCACCCACAAGTGGGCATTTGTTGATCGAATTCCGCGCGACTCTTGTTCTAAGATGACGGCTCGCCGGCGATGATTCAGATCCCAGACACTGGCGACACAGAGCGTGAGCACCGAACCCCCTGAGATGGGCTTGGAATTGCTTGGAGGTTCATGGGTAGATAGTTACAAGTGGGGTTATAGGTAGGGTAACTATACTTATAACCAATATTAGGTATAACCCTACTTCTATCTACCCATGAACCTCCAAGCAGGGTTCCTCATGTCTTTGAAGATCATGAGATACAGAGAGACTTCAGCCGCATTCCAAGTATTGACTATTGGAGTTTACTGTATCAGAGTTTACTGTATCAAGCCCCAACCAGAAACGAAACAGATGAACCCGCTCATGAATCTGGACAGTTTTCGGATCTCTTGTGTGGGCCTGATGAAACGAGCGTGATCCGGTTTCGGCGACCACATACAGTTCGCTAAGTGGACCCTCACTTGTGGAACTACCCATATTCCGACTTCATAAGCTCGGGACCTTTTGGCCTCAATCAGCCCTGAAGGCCTTAATCCCTCAAACCATCCTGAAGCTTTCATGGGCTTCAATTTATGGTAGAAGCCAGAAAGGTGGAACATTAGTATCCTCATGCCCTTAAGGTAAAGGATAAGGGATCCTAGCACTAATCCTCCTAAACTCATGTTCCAACTTCCTGGCTTCTACTGTAACCTCTCAAGTCCTCCAGTGCGGCGGAAGCTCCTACGCCCAACTCCCAGCAAGCAGCATGATTAGGGCAGATCTCTCTTGTATGATACAGCTGTAGTCCGTATGTTGGGATTTGCAAAACCGGGATGGCAAGCTGCCCATATATCGTCTATACAAATCTGTATATTCGTTTCTTTTAGCTGGTTCTTTGCCACACGCATGTTTTCCTTCTTCAGAGTTGAGTAGGCTGCCTTCTGAGAACGCAGCAGCAGCCCAGTTCACTCCGCAGGTGATGGATGGGATGTTTTTCTTCAGCAGATGCCCGACGACCTTATCATGCACATAAACGGTCTCTTGGCTCAGCCCTAAACCCCACTAAACCCCGCCCAACCCCTAAGCACCGAAGACCCTAAACCCCAAACTTCTAGAACCCTTTTGGTGTGGGAGCCTCAGAAGTCAGTAAGGTCAGTCATTCATATTCAGGGATTGGGGTGAAGTGTTGACGGTGTGTGCGGCTATGCTAACATTCGGCATGGGTCCAGACATAGGTGTTCTGAGCGCCTGTGTAAAATGTACAAACCTATAGTCTTGTAGTTTTTCACAAACAAACCGATTTCTGCCTCACTATTCCCCGGCAGGTCCCCAAACTCAGCACACCTGATTATCGGTCCTCAAGAAGAGGATCCGCGGGGGTAGGACGGAGGCGCTCTACTACGGTGCCTAGGTCTGCGCGCATTTGGAGTACAATCCGCCACTTGTGAATAGTAGCTTAAGCTCGAAATCTTGAATCCACGGCCTAAATCGTTGCTCGATCAACGCTCCACCCTCCAACCTAAACTGTACAAGCCCCCAATTCCTGAACCTCAAAACTCTAAACCCTAAACCCTCCAGAAGCGTCAAACCCGCAACAGCAGACAGCCGTGGAAGGCAATGCGATTTACAACCTCCGGCATCCATGGCTTCGGTGGCTGTATGATCGCCTTGAGGAGGAGAAAGACTCGGTTCCTAAGCGCGAAACCTTTGCTAGGGATGTGGGCATCATGTCGGACAGCATGCTCAAGGTTTCAGGTATCAGGCTTTGAAGGCTTGCAATGAAGGTATAGGACTCAAGTATTCCAAAGTTTAGGAGTCAGGCCACAGATTAACGGCTGCAAACATATGGAAATCGGTTTTAATCGTTGGTCGTGGCTGTCCTGCTGCAGATCTGGCTTCGGGCCAGATTCATTTATAGTTTATGCACAAGGTTAAGGGGTCCTAACTCCTAACTTACATGTTTGTAAGATCTCTTTGTTAAAAGAGAATTGCTGCGACAGTCGTCAACTTGCCGGAGACCTCTGCTTCACATTAGTAGCGGTAGCAGCAGCAGTAGCCGTCGTCATTATGACTGTCTTTACTATCCGCTGGTTGCAGTAGTAATAGTTGTAGCTGCAGTAGTATCAGCAGCAGCAGCAGAAGCTGCTACGACGACACTGCTGCTAAAGCCCCAGGATAGTTTAGCTATCTTTATGCCTAGGATCTAGTTATGTCAGCAGGGCCGTTCATTTCGTGTGTGCAAATCACTGATGCACCTCGTCGGGCAGATTGCAGCTTCTTGCTACGATTCTGGGAACTTCCGGCTTCCTTTCATACAGGAACTGCACTGTTGCGAGGGTAATGGCCGTGACGAACGTCACAATCGCTATGATGTCGGGGTGGTGCTGGTTTGTTTTTCTTCCCGCTGTACTGCTTGCATCGTCAGTGGGATTGTTGTTGACCATGAACTTAGCTCTGTCCTTCCGGCCCCGGAAGCCGAGGATAACAACACCGTTGCCTTCGATTTGCGCATGGCAAATTTGACCATGGATGCGAAGACAGGCTCAGCACTGTGCTCTGAGAATTTCATCGGACATGCTACGCTGCGCCTGCTTCAATGTAGCCGTCGTTCCAGGATGCTGTGCGGGAGCACTCTGATTCTTGCATAGGGCTGGTAGATTTGTGATTAACACTCTCGTGCCGACGATAAATCATTTGATCGTTCTCCTTTAGGGTTTAGGGTTTCGGCCTGTCAGCTAGCTGAGTCCGTCACAGAAAAAGAGAGAGAGAGAGAGAGAGAGAGAGAGAGAGAGAGAGAGAGAGAGAGAGAGCATCCCATTGTGTCAAAGCCCCGGAAAGTACCGGGCCCTGGAGGCCGGGTGATCTAACCAGCCCCGTACACCTTCCTAAACCCTAAACGCTAAACCCTAAACCCGAGGAAGAAGAGCGAGAGAGCGAGAGATAGAGCTCGCGAGAGCCAGATGCAAAGCCTAAATCCCGAGCTCGGGTTTTGAACATCTTTGTTCTAGAACATCTGCTTTGCGCATCGGCCTGTTTGCTTACGGCCACGGGCCTGGCTTGTTGATTGTCTTGTGCTTTTTATTTCAAACTCCTCAATTAAAGCCAGAAAGATCCAGAAAGTAAAGTATGCCGCAAAATTCAGCCTAGTCATGTTCCAAGTAGTATTCTAATGTCGTTAGACATAGCAGAACTCGATAAAGACTCGTAAAAGCAATTCCACAAAGCCTGACCAAACCAAGTAAAAACCTGTAGGAACACGGTGTTTCGTGTTCTTGTTACCGGCCTGATTTGCAGGGGCGGTCCCCGAGTATGCAGATGCATACGATGTGCTCGTACCTTCCGGGGAAGACCCGCAGCAGAGCCGCAGGAAGAGGAGTCGTTTATCGTTGAGGGTGGGGGATTACTATCAAACAAACCCTGTAGACTGTAGACCCTTTAATTAAACCCTCCATGAACCCTTTCAGCTGCAAGCCGTATCCTCCAACAGCAAACCCTGTGAGCCCTTGAAGTCTTTACTGGGGGGGGTGTTGTCTTGGAGCTGAAAGTTTCAAGGCATTCTGCGCTCTAAGGGGCCCTTGGCCGCGAATATTCTTGGCTTTTCGATCTGTTGTGTTTCTAAGATGATTGTAACACGGCCTCCACAAGTCAATGAGGGTTCCGACCTGATTTAGGGTCTAGAAGCTTTCGCGGTCTTGGGATTGAGGGTCTGGGGATGTTTAGGGTATAGGGAAGTCTTGGCTGAAGGACAGGGGTTGTCCAGAAGCAGGCTGAGATTCGTGGGTGTTGACCCAGACAAAGCACGCTGTTTCCCAAACCCAACAACCCTCAAACCCTAAGCCAAAAACTGCCTTGTGCGAGTGTGAGCGTCGAAACCAAAAACCCTTCATCCTTTACGCACCAAACTAAACCCTAAACCGTGATAAATATGTAGCTGTTTGGACATGTTTCGCCCGCAGGTATGCGTCCGACTCCACATTGATCGGAGTCTGAGCCGCATATTTCGGAGACAGGATGTCCTGAGAGGGATCCCCTGAAACACTCATCCGCCAATTCTAGTTGACTGTTAACCATTATTTACAGTATGTATTATACAAAATTTATGTGTGAACTCTTGCACCTGCTTGTATTGTGTATATGTATGTACGTACACCTATCTATACCTGTATTTATAAACTGCACTGTAACCCAACCAAACCCAAAGATACAGATGGCAGAGCAGCTAGTCGCCTGTGTGTCTGTCTGCCCAGGAAACTATGCCAACACGCTGCTCAACGAGAGTGGCTCGGATTCGAAAATCTGTGAAGCCTGGGGATTGACGGCGTAGAAGGGTTTGGAAAACCCGAAGCCCTAAACTATCTTAACAGTCCAGGGTCGAGGGTTTAGGGTAAGTTTAGCCGGTGTTCAGCAAGTGTAAAGACGACTCGCTCGGACCGGGCTGCTGGACAACGAGGCCTGCTGCAAAAAAGGGTTCAGCCGGTGCTCTCGTACTGTTGTCACCTGCGTCACAGCACACAGGCACATGCTTTCTTTGTTTCAATGTGGACCTAGATCTGAGGCATCACTGTTTCGTGGTGGTTGCGACAAGCGTTGCTGAGATTTCCTAAGCATAGTCATAGGGTTTGGGTGTTCAGGGTCTTTACTGAGAGACGCTACACTCCTACAGAAGGTTTCTATTTATATGGCTTGAAGGGGTTCAATTTTCGGGGTTCCTAAGGCGAAAGATTCTCCTGTCTCCCAATGAAACTGCCTGAGGCTACGAGCTGGGCGTTTATGTGCGGCACGGGCAGCTCGACAGAAAGGGCTGCAACATTCTTGGTATTCTTACCTTTGGTTAGTAAGGAATGGAGGAATGGGGTACAATTATAATTACTATTACTACCATTCTTCCATTCCCTACTAACCAAAGGTAAGTATTAGTACCAGGATTTCAGCATGCGGTCTACGGAGCTTTCAACTTGGCTGGTTGGCGCTGAAGCTATGCAGCACACTTTCGGCCATGTTGCATGACTCGTTCAGGCTACTGTGCCATCAAAGTAGTAGAGTCTGTCACGACCCACTGTGCCTGATGTTGTCAACAATCGTGGCCCCATTGTCCGTGCCGAGAACGCAAGTGTCGCCGCAAATAATTGCCGCCAGCCGTCTGGAGTTTTCAGAGCTTCAGCACGAAAGTCGCACCAAGCATTAAGCAGAATGCTGTATGTCCGCTGAACAAGACCATTTTGTGCCGAATATGCCCTGGAGCTTCACGATCGAGGTCGATGAGCAACATCTTTGTCAATCTGCAGGACGGTATGTCTTGGCACTGTAGGTTCGTATCACAACCTTGTCAAAGCCTTAAAACCACCTCTGCAAGAACGATCGAGAGAGGTCCGGTGTCCGAGTTAGGTCTGGGTTAGGTCTTGCTGTAGGTTAGGTAGGGGAGTGTGTCAAAGGGGAAAAGGAGGTACCCTTAATGGGGACCCCCTACCGCATAATGGGCTATATAATGGGTATATAATAGCTATATTAAGGGTAAATACCTAGGGGTCCTTATCAAGGGTCCCTCCTTTTAATCTTGGAGTGTGTTATTGGCTAGACCGGGCTGCTGGACAACGAGGCCTGTTGCAAAAAGGGCTTCTGGATCCGCCGGCCCCATCTCCCGCCAAGTTGTCGAGCCCACAACAAGTTTATCGCCTAAGCCCTGAGCCAACAAATACTGGCGAAACTGAACGGAGGCCTCGTTATGAGGTCTATGGCGTTTATGGCATTAAGGGATGAGGTCTAGCGGGTTGTCCACCGCAAGAAGCATCAGGTCCGAAGAGCAACTCAAGGCTCCTATTCGCTCGAGCAGAGCGTTCTCAGGGGGTTGCGTTTTGCCAGTGTTGCAACTGATATAGCGAAGCTTACCAACCCCAAATTCGGAGAATTAACAGCTGACTAACCCATAATTCGGAGAAAGAGTCGCTCTTGCCACACATCATAAACAAGCTTGAGCCCTACATTACTTGGAGGACGACGTCACCCTTGGAGTGGCCGCTTACGGATCTTCGCCGCTCGGCTGGCACTACCGGCCCTTCAGGTGCTTCGCCTCAGGAGTACACGGATCAAGGCTTCAGGTTTAGGGGTTAGGGTTTAAGGTTTGGGGTTTCGGGGGCAAGGCGTTAGGGTTTGGGGTTCCATCGGTGAAGCATTGTCAGATGCAGTACAACTTCCGTGATTAAATTCAGTCTCACGCAACATCATCTTGATTTAAATCTTTCAGTCATTTCGAGAGTGGCGGAGGGACTTCTAAAGTTGTCCACTGCTACATCAACATCCTTTGAAGTCATACCTGATGAGTGGCACGGCAGACTTGAAGGTTTGCTTCAAGCGCTCATTTACTTCCCAGCAGAGCCTGCATCACATTTTTCTGGGTTCCCTATAACAAGTATAGTAGAATGCGCCCCAAAACCCATTCTATTTCTTAAGGCCCCTATATCAGTTAAGGGTTGGTCGTGGCGTGCCAACACTATGCAGTTGATCTTCCGGGCTGCATGTGCAAGATGGGATGCTGTCGTCACATTGCATCAAGAATCCGAGCTGGCTTTCCACCTTTTCGACATCCAGAATCAAACCACCGTATCGAGAATTCAGCACCAGCTTTGTCGGGTTGCTGTATGTGCACCCTGCTTTGTGTCCGCGATGAAGCCATCCACACTTCCTAAACCCCCAACCCCTAAACTTCCTAAGCCCTAAACCCAGAATCCTGAACCTGTGAACTCGATTGCGGCCAGATTTGCTATCGCCTGCAGGAGTGCTGACCACAGCTCCTACAGTTTTGTTCCCTTAGGGTCGAACTGCGGCTTCCCACAAAGCGTAGCTGTTGCCGTTGTCAGTGCATCAGCTGCACATGGAGTTCTTGAAGTATCTTTCGATATATTTTTCGATGCCGAAGCCGGACATCGAACGGTACCATATGCCCAGTATGTGCCAATACCAATACCGCGAGACCTTATGCCGCTAACCCTACCCACCAGCTGCTTGCTCAGGTACGACATGTTCAACCAGTCCATCAACTCGAGTCATCCTTTCAGGCACCAGTTTGCTAGGCTGAAGGTGATACTGTTGATGATATAAACCCTGCATTACCTTAAGAACCCTAATCGGTGGGAATTATGTTATATTCCTTGTTGCAGGTAATGCAGGATGTATATCATCAACCGTACGGGTGTAGTGGGCTTTGCTAAATTAGGTTATTGCAGTTCGAAAATCATTCGGCAAGGCTTTTGAGTCTTTGATAATGGTTGTATCAGTGGTTTTCATACAAGGTCTTTCCTTACTTGGGCTATCTGCGGCCCCTTTGTTGTTATTGAGATTCCAACTGAGGGATGTGGCCTTGAATCTATTGAGGAACTTTGTTGGCTTAACGGTCTAGAATGCTCAGGGTATTGGGTCGTGTCGGGCTAAGAGCCCGCGTTCGGTTGGCAGTCTTGCTTCCTGCCGTTGCTGCTTCTTGCGATGCAGCGCCAACAGTTTACCCGTGATTCGCGCGCGATTTCGGTTTGAGGTTTCCGAAGAACACTCAAGAGACTCAACAGTCGAACGATGCCAGCCGCTGCAGCTGCAGGGAAATCATTGTTCTGTCTGGCAAGTCCGCCACGCAAGTCATGCCGAATGGGACGGAGGACTTTAACGTCGCAACATGGGGCCGGAATAGTTCGCAGTCGTATCCCCTTGTGGTCCCTCATGACAGCTACAGTAGTATAATGTATACATATGTACATCTACATACAAATCTGATACAGATCTATGTACACACGAATACACACAAACACCAAGTCCCTATTCTTTAAACTTCAGGCCCTTGATAGCATGAGGGTTCATTCGTGAGAGCCAGCTACCTTGAAAGTCGCTTTATCATGAACCAAACCCTGACCTGCTAATGGAGCCGCGATTGAGGCTTGTGCGTGTAGTGCGGAAGATCAAGAACTGAATGAGATTGTCGCGCCTTTCAGGTGATTTGTGCTTGTTTTGGCTATGAGGTCTGGGTTCTGAGAGGAGAAAGCCCGTCGAGCTCTTGTGCTGTAGGGCTCGGTGAGATCTTCACGACAGCCTTCGAAGACCCCACATGTTCTCCAGGAGTTCATTGATACTCCAAATGGCGAGACGCGTGTGCAGTTCCTCAAAGCCGCTGAGCACCAAACTAGAAAGGGCTCAGAAGCATTGCTTGACGGCCTAATATAGGGACCTTAAGAATTAGAGCAGGGTTTGGTTTATTACGCTATACTGGTATTTGGGTCTATGGGGGAAGAAGATTGTTACTTATCTAGCCTTCCATATTACTTGGCAGGACTCAGCCAGCCTTGTTTCGCTTGCAATTTTCAATATGTCTTGTTCAATTCAAGCAAGCGAAACGTGGTCTCGCCATCGTACAGCCGCAGCCCAACTTGCACCTCAAAACCCGAATCGTAAACCAGAGCCAAGAACCTCGTCTGGCAAGTCCGAGTTGCGAGAGCGTAAACCAGAGCCATTCGCAGTAAATCAATCCTAAGGCCTGAGGTAGCCAGGCATGGGGCTTTGTCCTTGCGAAGTAGGAAGCAGCAAAATTCAACACGGGCCGCCGAACATTTACTGCGGCGTTTAGAGGGCTGTGGGATTTAATTAGGGTTTACTGCCGGGTGTGGGGGGTTGTGGGGTTTAGGTTTACTGTATGGTATAGGCCGGCGTTCAAAGAGTTTGGCACCAAGGCAGGCCCCGCATGCGAACCTTCATTCGACATGGGTTTTGGAAGGACACTGACCACGATGGGGGGGAGAGGGGTCGCGCTCCCGCCCCTAAACCCCAAACCTCTCCATGGCAGAATTTCAAGAAGCTTTCATGCAGCGCCCACGTCATGGCATCTGGCATGAGGCCAAGAAGCGACTGTATTACGTGACTTGGCTGTTTTTGGGAAAGATTACAGCACACAAGGATATACAAATATGCTGATACAACGGTTTTGATACAGCGTAGTATTACATACATGTAGCTAACCTTAGGGTTCACAGCAGAGTCAGTTGCAGGCTCGATGCAAGCAAAGGTCTAGGCTGTAAACAGCACACGGGTTTCTGATTCAGACCATCGCTGTGATCTAAGTCTACTGGCTTCGGCAACATCCGAGAGTTGTAGAAGAGAAGGGACACCTATGTAGAGTTCATCAGTAGGAGGACAACTAGTGAAAAGTACCCACTGTGTCTCAAACAACCCACTAAACCGTACACCTTAAACCCTAAGCCCATCCTGTTCAAAAAGTCGGAGAAATCGAAGATCCGTTAGCTGTTAGATTCCACTGCCTGTTGTTGCTTGATCACGGAGTTTGCGGGTTTAGCATTCAGAGTCAGAGACCCCTTGTAATAGCGCCCCGTCTAGAACACATAGAACCCCTGCCGTGAGAAGAAAGCCCTTAAAAGAAGCCTAGAGGAAGCTCTATAAGAGCCTATACAGTTGCTCTACCTACCACGAGCTCCACAGAACCTCTCGTAGCACAAGGGTTCCAAGTTGAGAAGCAAAGGCCATCAAGAAATCCCTGCTTCCATGCTACGAAGTCCGCTTCTGCATGTGGACATGCAGAACAAGTCGTGTGTGTGTGTGTGTGTGTCTGTGTTGTCCAAAAAATACAAAACTGTTCAATCTATCTACGATCGCCCAGCGCCCATCAACGTACAAGAGAAACACCCCATTACGAAGGCACGTATAGTAGATTGTGCGACACTTACATACATGTACAGCGTCATGATTTTCGAGAGTTCATTATCTCAGCGTCCTGCATGCAGGCAATGTGTGAACTGGCATCCCTGACGACGACACCATACTTCGTGTCTTGTCTGCGAGTTTGAACCCTCAACTGACCAACCTGTAAGGTACCGTGGTTCATACTCATCCTTGTAGACGGTAGACCGTAAATCCGAAAGCCCCAAAACTGTAGTAGTGAAGAACAGATCGCTGACTGTGCTCTTGTTTTCAGCGGCTCGGGTCACTGTGCATGTAGTGCCTCCTGAAATGTACTTTGCCGGCAGTCGCGCTGGCAACATCTGCAAACACAACGCAAATGTATGTGTGTGTGTTCTTGTCTATGCACAAGTTTTTCATTAGACAGTTATAACGACGCGCATTCAGACATGCCTTAGTACATGCTTACCAATACACAGACGCACACTCGTAGTTGCTGTTGTTACCCATACTTTATGACCTCGAAGCGTTGCTATAATAATGGGCTTCTATGAAGCACTACTTACAAACGGTTCCATGGTTCACAGGGTGTACTTAAATTAAGCCGTGATGAGAATGTTCTGAGAAAAGGATGCGTCGATGTATGTAGGTATGAATATGCACAAGCAGAACTATTTGTATGAAGCATGCGTGCGGATAGGTGTAGCTGGACCACTCCAAACCACACATGGCAACTCAAGTACTCACCCGCTTGACGCAGCATGCATTCTTACATCTTGACTTCGTGCTGTTGATCATTATGTCACGGACGTTTTAAATTTTGCTGCTTGCACAAATGTAGCCGACTTTTGTGCTTGTACATGTTTACGCTCTTTGACCCCCCCGTCCACATGTTGCAAAGTTTTCCTGCACCACGGTTTCGCCAAAGACATATCGCTGCCAAGCCATCCTTGTCATAGCGTCCCTTGTGTGAGCCGGAGAATACAACACAGAACGAGGGGCTCAGAGTTCAAGGTTTGGGGTGTCGGAGTGGTACGGGGTTCGATTCGGGGGTTGTGTGCGGGGCGGGGGGGTTATAGGTTTTCCTTGGACATGTTGACCAAAGCTTTGTAGGGTTCCCGTTCAGAAGTAGGTTTAGTGACATGACCAGGACGCTGCATTTCTTAAGTTAACTATACTACATACCCCTGGTCTCGCAGACTTCCAGCTTAACTCTGATTCCATTCCTGGGACAAGGCCTAGGTTTCGGTGGGCTCCCTCGTGTAGCGTTGAGTTGTCGTCGAGGCACAGGTTCTACGGGAGTTTAATGCTTCGGCTTGTGTCTTCAAGTCGTACTATCCTACTCGGTGACCGAGCCCGAAGACAAACCAAAACCCTCAACGGAACTGAGGCTAAATGGCCTCATAGATGTCTGAGCCCAAAGCATCTTCAACCCCAAGCCCTAAAAACTCTAATCTCCTGAGCCCTAAACCCCCTGTAACCCTCAACCCCTTAATCCCGGACCGAAACCATAAGGCCCCTTCGAAGCAGCCGAGGTTTTTACCGATACTCACCACATCATTTCAGGCCGCTATCTGCTTTAGCAACTTAACAAGACACAACTGCGGTTCTGAAATACAGGGTGCCGTGCTTGTGCTTAGGGGTGTCAGTGGGTAATTAGGGTCGTATGTGACGTTGTGGATTTCTATTTCAACTTTTTAACACAGCTGCGATAGACAGATGGTGCCGTGCCTAGAGGCACGGCTGCTTTGTTTAGGCTTAGGGGTTGAGATGCGCTTCGGGTTTACTGATCATATCTGCTAGGATTACACTGTTGGCATCTCTTTCGGCTTCTCAGGACGACTTTCTTCGATACAGGTCCCTAAACCCTTAAACCGTAAACCCGATACAAGTAAACGCCTACTTCTTCTCGCTCTCGAGCTTCTGCTCAAGCATCTCCGAGATCAAACGGGTCTTGAGGCGAATGTAGGAACCTGACTAAGAAACCTTGGGTCTTTATTGGGGTGCCTTATATGAGCCCATATATATATACATATATATATATATATTAGGGATTATAGGGCCAGGGTTTCTTAATCAGTTTCCTACATTACTTCCCCAAGAGCCGGAAATGGAGGGTCTAGAGCTTAGGGCTTACGTCAGCAGAACTGAGCTTCAGAGCGTGGGCAGACTCGCTGGCTGATACTAAGAGCCCAGCTGCCAAAAGGGCTTTCGCCACATGGCCTGCTACGGCCCGTTATACTTTCCCGAAAAGTAACCCCCCGTAATACGGTTGCTTTTTTTCGTTACAGCCTGTTCAGGTAAAGGGTGCAAATCAACACCTGGTAGGATGGCTTATTGGGGCCTTAATAAAGGGGTCTTCATAATAAGGAATCCCCAAAATAGTATAGCTAACTGTTAAAGTACATGAAGGTCACTGAGCAGGTGTGAACTATTGAGTCGAATTAGGGAAGGCCTGGCTTGCCACATATGATAGGTTTAGGGTTTAGGGCTTTGGGTTTAGGGTTTAGGGCTTAGGGCTTAGGGTTTAGGGCTTAGGGTTTAGGGCTCAGGGTCTAGGGTCTAGGGTTTAGGTTATATTCTACTGCTCTGGACTATTGCCTTCGTGCTAGATTCGATCAACCCGCACAACGGTAAACCTTCGGCACTCGAGCCTGAAGCCCGAAAGCCACAATTCCCAGACCTTCCAAAATCCCTTAATTAAGGAATATACCTTAAACTATAGTAGGATCCCTAATATGATTTAAGGTATATTCCTTAATTAAGGGATTTTGGAAGGTCTGGGTTTCAAGCTGCTTGAATTTGACTCTTTGCGTACAGCCAGGTTTTTGCTTTTTCTCAGAATGCTACGACCAAGTGCGAGGTTACCCCTTCAGGGGCAGAGCGAAAGCCCTAGGAGCGAACCATGAAGGACCCCAGAAGAGTTTCATGTCGTATAGCCTCAACGGATCAGTTCTACCACTCTTCCCTAACCTTCAGATGTCTTCACATCTACTTCTCTTGTTTAGGCCGGTATACTGGTGTTCTGAGCAGAGTTTCGACGCGGCCCTCTTGATAATCAACCCCAAACCCTGAAGTAGCAATCCTAAACCCTAAACCCTTATAGTACCCTTATGGAGCCCTGTAAAAGAACCCTCAGAATCCCCTTCGAAGGAGAGCCCTAAACCCAGCATAAACCGCATAAACCCTGGTCATTCAGCAGGTCCAACCTTCCTATTGGCCAACGCATCAGGTGCCGGGTCGAGGGCTTCAACGTCTAGAAATAGAGCTTGCTTAGTTTAGAGCGAACTTAGTATGGTTTCGGCGGGGGGGGGGGGGGGGGGGTTTGTTAACGACATTATGACTTTTTCGGTGCTTGCAACTTGGAGGGATACCGTCATTGGTGTGGGTGCGAGGGTTGGGTTGTGGAGTTTTGGAGTGCTGCTTCGGTGTTTCGTTGGCCGGGGCGTCATTGGAACACTCCTTTACATGCCATCTGTGGCGAGTGTACGCTCAGAGTGGCCAGACTGCAACAAATTCGTCATTTGTGCGGGTGGGCCAGAAAGAGTCAGTGGCAATTCACAGGTGAACACTCAGGTTTCCCTCAGGTGTAAGAGTCGAAGAATCACACCCAGTGTTGTTGGCTCTCGCAGTCTCTGTTTGCGGCTGCTTGTCGCCGTTTCCTGCGGCTAACACGCGAGATGAGACTGTCCCAACAAGTGTTAACACGCTTTCAGGAGATCGAAGTTAAAAACATGGAAGTTTCCGATACTTATAGGGGTACCTTAGTTTTGGGGTCCTTATAATAAGGATCCTACTACTTAGGTACTATATTGGGGTCCCCCATTTTCGGAAACCCCCACATTGCTTACCGTCGATGACTTTGAGCCTAAATTCTGGACTAGCTGATCAACACTATGTACAGCAGTCTGCCTAGTGATTGACATCTTCAGGTCAGCTTAGTCATATGGATCCTTAGGGGTGTAGGAGGGAGGGGACTATATTTCCTTAAATAGGCCTTATTAGTCCTTATTATGGGCCTTAAGGCCCATGACAGACACCCAAACGGGCGATGCCTGCACTTAAGCTGCCCGAAACCCTCAGGGCGCGCTCGGATAAGAGCCTTCAACACCACCACAGAGCCCTCAACCAAAGCCTAGAATACCCCTAAACCTACTTTGAAGTGTACGTCGCTGGGAGCCCTAGATCTAATATAAGATAGAAGTATAATTTACGAAACCCTTGTAAGACCCCTTTAAGAAACCCCTTCAAGAACCGGACCGGCTTTGAGGTGCACCCGTCCTTCCCTACATCAGTGCGTCCTCCAGTTTCTGCACGAGTCGGCGAGAGTTCCTCGGCGGGCTCCTTCTCAGATGCTTGCATCGGAGTTCTATAGCCTCAGGGCTTTTGCGGGCTTAGGGGTTTAGGGACCTGGGGCTTACGGTTTTTAAGGTTTTGGGCTTCAATTAATGCTCAACTTTTTGAGGCTTTAGCACTTGCAAGCACCGAGGACACCAGTCAATGATACTTTTAATGAAAGCCCCTGAACCCAAGAAGCCATAGCCCAAACCTGAACAGGGCTTGAGTGTAGCGAGCTCCTGGCTTCTTGGCTGGCTCTAGCGAAATCCCGCACGGTTTCGCGCACTTCATCGAAGGTTTCCGAACAACTGCAGGTACAACCAGCCCCTTCACTGGGTCCGAAGACTCAAAGCCAAGTTTTTCGAATCGTTGAACCCCCAAGAAACCGAGAGAGAGAGAGAGAACTGTTTAATGTATGTGTATATACATATATATATATATATTGAGAGGGAGAAAGACACGAGCTCTGGCCTCTTCCGTAACCAATGGTTCTGCACCTGGTTCGGGCATCACAGAGTAGCAACCTTGTGGGGGCAAGTATCTTTATCCGTCTACTGCAGTACCTTTTCATTTTCGTGATCTTTTGGCAGCCTTTTAAGAATTCGGATGTTGGCTCTGGAACAGGTGCATCCTCACATTACAACAAGCCGAAGATCTTTTCGGCATCCAGCTCAACTTCCACCACGTCGTGGCCCCAGTCGCTTGGGTTCCTTGAAAGGGCTTTTTGAGGGGTGCCAGAAAGGATACTAGATAAGTGGTGACTGTAAGGGTTCTATGATGCTGGACCTTCTAGATGCGACGGCAGAGAGAGGGAGAGAGGGTTATATGAACGAGGGCCTTGGATAGTTATGACCGCATAGAGATCGAAAGTGCGAGCCTTCTGCGGAACTGCCCCCCGTAAACCCTAAGCCCTTAACCCAAATGCACTGCAAATCCTAAGCCCTGAATCCTATGCCTCGCCTCGATTGTCTGAGGGTGAGCGCCCAAACCCTGAATCCTAGACGCAAACAAACCATAAGCCCTACTGAAACCCTAAACACTGGATAAACCGTAAAACCTTACGTAAGCCCCCAAAAGGCAACAAAGCACACCTCCAACACTGAACAGCTTAGTGTCCCAGAGCTCGGAGCTTCCCATCAGAAAGGGTTCTTTGCAGCTCTTCGCCCGCCAGGACACCTATGAGGTTATCTACCACACTTCCGAGGCTCGAGGGTGCTTTTCAAACTTTAGGGTTTAGGGTTTGGGGGGGTTTGGGGCTTAGGGTTCCTTTAGGGGACCTATATAGAAGCGTCAGGTTGTTCAGGAGGAAGAGGTCCTCTTCGCGTGTCTGGAATGCTACTGATTTGCCGTGCAAATTGATACTGCCGCGGGTTGTCCCTCCATGATGCGGTTTTGTTGGTATCGTAACCATAGATAGCTACTGTCTTTTCAGTTATGAGCATCGTATATAGGCAGCCGCAGGCAAAAGCAGCGGCACCAGCACCAGCCCTAGCTCCACCTTCCTTCTATTCTGTGTTTAGGGTTTACGGTTTAAGGTTTAGGGCTTAGGGTTTAGGTTTTAGAAGGCTGCTGGACAACGAGGCGTGCTGCAAAAAGGGCTACCTTCTAGCTGTGCGTTTGCGCTGCGAGCAATACCCCGTCGTCCCAGGGATATGGCTGTCGCCACGGCAGCGGCAGCAGCGTGTTCATGCTACTAACCTGTCCTTACACCCACACCCCCCAACTACCCTCTAATATACCCCAAATACTCACTATGAAGGACCATTAAGGGCTCCATTAAATTAAAGGGCCATTGGGGGCGGGGGGGTGTCCTGGTAGTATTCCTTTAGGGTTCCTTTAAAAGCCCTACCAGGTCCAAGCCTTCTGCGAAGATTGGCGCGTGGCGACGAATGCCCTAGGCTTCCGGCAGGGGTTCAGGGTTGTAGGGTTTAGGGTTTAGGGGTTTGGCAAGAGTTCAAGAGGCCTGGATGCAAAAAGGGCTGCAAACTGGGCGATTCCTCCAAAAACTAGCGATACGATAATCATGGATCATGAGGATTGACATGATTACGGAGCCTACGGAAACGCCGATTCTCGGAGCATCGTACCACCCAGACAATTTTATACCCCGCACTTAAGGAATATATCTTAAATCACAATATACACGCCATATTCTCACATTCTTTGTTTATGGAATTGTGGGGTAGTGGGCCGCCCCCCCCCATGTTCTGAAACTTACGAAACTCCGCGGCGCATCTTGCCTACACACGTTCGTGCACGGCACCTAAATCGTGAGGAGGAGCCCTAGTCTTTTCTTCATCGTGGTTCCTTGCCTTGTGGTTCCTACCCTGTTACCTCATGAACTACAGTGAAATTCCAGGACCTGTCCTAAGCCCTGAAATGGTAGGGTATTCGGATGTAGTAGGTAGGCTACTGGGTCGGAAATTGAAGTCGAAGCAGGCCTCGGCTGAAGGTTTTAGCTTTTGGGGTATTTTAATGGGTTCAGGGTTTGGGATTCAAATTTAGGGTTTGGGTATGTCCTTTGAGCTTGACTATACTATGCAGCAAGTTACTGGAGAGTCGTCCTCAAAACTCTCAACTCTACTCCTTCAGTGTTGTTCACTTACGGGATCCTGCGCCGTGGAGGTGTTGGCAGGTTGCGGCGAACAGACTTGGCACCCGAATTCCCATTTGCTTGTCCGACTTGTCGATTTTCAGGCCGAGGGAGTTTTTGCATGTAACTTTGGGGGCCATAATTGCTATGATTATGGCATAACACATCCCAAAACCCAAATCTACTCGCCTGGATGTTGTCTAAGCTGTATATAATAGCAAAAGTATCTTGTTTTTAGGTTAGGGGTCGCGAGCCGCCCGGGCAGGCACATACTCCAACTGCAGCTTCCAGTTCGGGCCGACGGCGGATGCCGCTCAACAGCCGATGCGTGCGGAGTTTAGGGTTTACGGGTTTAGGCTTGAGGGTTGTGAGTCCCACTCTCCTTTGTGTAAGCAGTGCGATAAGGTAGGCTGCAGCAGCAAGCATGATCGTGTCTGTCGTCGCGATGTCCACTGCAGTTATGCAATTTACCCCGAATGCCATTTCAGAGACACTTTCAGATTTCCTGCCAGAGGACGTGGCAAGGATCATACTAAGGTTCTCGCTAGCAACAACGGCTTTCCAACCAAGGTTCTATAGAACTAGTCATGTCTAATTACATGGGACGGTCGTGCAGTAGCTCACGAATGCGGTTTTCGCCCAAGTTGCACGTCCTCCAATTCGGGGGCCGCTTGTTTAGTCATAGTACAAGCGCTACAAAGTTTTCCCCGCAAGACTTTGCACGCTTGTCTTGCACAGCACGAGTTTTGAGAGCCTATGGACAGGTTAGAATTGCCATCAATTGAATATGTGTGCCTTTCACGTGTCCAGATCATTCCAACAAACATGGTGTGTGATTCAGTAGTGCCCTTGACTGTTGCTACCGTCAGAGAGTTCGGCCTGCTCTTGTACTCTTCCAGCTGGCTTGGGTTTGTGGTTTAGGACACAACCTTAGTCTTGAAGTCGCAGAGGGCCTGTTGCAAAGGGCCGCAACTTCCAAGGACTTTTTCGCTTGGCAGATCTCAATGGGAATGCAGCTGAACTACGTGCCCAAGGACACCGAGCACTTCCTGGCTTTACCATGGGGCCTTACTACCTAGTAAGGGTCTTCCTAGGCCCTTAGTTCTTTCTATCCTACAACATTTGCCCAAACTCAATAATAGTTATGGTTCCCGAGTTCTAACTCTACTATGTTACAATATACCCCCCATAGCAATTATGAAGGGCCCCCGCAATCGGGCCTTCTTGCTTTTGACACGACGTTGCTTTGGAGAGACTCAACCTGAGGTGCCCAGAGACTCCAATATCCCTTCATTGAGGAATATGCCTTAAAGCATATAAGGGATCCTACTATAATTTGAGGTATATTCCCTAGTTAAGACCTTAAAGCATATAAGGGATCAGACTATAATTTAGGGTTAGGTGCTCCAAGAAGCCCGGTGCTAAACCCCCCCAAAGTTCCACCTCGTACATTGTTTGGGATGCTGCAAACATTGTTTAATTGTTTCAAACATTGTTTAAATGTTTCGAAAATTGTTTGAAATATTCTTCAAATGTTTCGAAAATTGTTGGAAATATTCTTTAAATTGTTTGAAATATTCTTTAAATTGTTTAAAACATTCTTTACAGTTTTCCACAGTTGGTTGAACAGCTCATAATGGTCATAATGGCCTTAAAATGAAAATGTCTCCGATTACCCGCATTGTCAAAGCAGGAACAGGGTGCCATGCAATCGTCATCATCATCATCATCATCGTCATGATGGTCTGGCAATTGATGTCTGAAGCAGACTGATTATGTGTGGCACTGGAGCAGTATTTATTCTGGCTTTCGGTTTACTTTCTTGTGACACTTGTGCATCATGAAAGCCACAATGACGACGACAACACTTCCAATCCATGCCAATAGGCACACTACGAGTGACCATAAGTCGCCATGAGTCCATGGTAACAATGACGATAATGAAGACAATCACGGGCCCCAGGACAGTAACATTTTCAGTAAGATGAGCTTCAGGCCTTTAGCGCTAGGCTAACTTCCTAAACTAAACTCCCACTCCTACGTCTCCTCCTGCACCGAAAGCCTTGACTTCTCGACTATGGCCACACGACCACGACGCGACGCTGTTGACTTTTCTCACGCTGCCACATCGAGTGAAATCTCAGGCACGATCAAAAATGGCAAAATGCCCGAATCCTATGAAGACCAAGCGGCAGCAAAACCAATCCAGCACCCGGCCTCAGGCCTTGTTCAGGAGTCCTCGTCTTCGTCCTCGTCAGCATTCTCATTTCCCGGCCTCGGGCCTTGTGTCAGCACTGACATGGCGGCCATCGCCGTCGCGACAGACGAGGCGCTGGTCTTCAACCCTTCAACCCGACGGGACGCCAGTGCACCGCGGCAAGGCATGCCTGAACCACGGCCATGACGACGGGAAGCGCCATGCCGTTTCCAGCTAAGTCTTGGAGAAAAGAGTCTGTTGGGAACTTTTTCTTCTTCGACGTCACCTGGTCTGTGCTCACAACGTAGACTTCCTGGGAAAGCATGTTCAAACAAGGTCCGATAGGATACCCTTGCATGAGAAGGGCCTCGTATCCACTCGTCAAGCGTGGACCTCCCGGAGCTAGAGGAGTCCACAACAACTGCCCCGGCAACATGGTTGGAGCCACATGCCGACCATCTGCTTGCAAGGTGCTGCTATTGGCACGGCCGAGACTTTGCGACAGGTTGCGGAAACCGCATCCGGGAGCTTCAATCTCTGAGAGCTTCAGGCAGTCCGCCTCACGTTCGGTGAGGATGGAGTACCATGGATTCTGGCTCAGCTCTTTCCGTGCAGGAGTGCCCCATCGAACGCCAAGGCTGTCGGCAAACTTCATGTGCTGATTCACCCAGTTGTTCTGAGTCTGGGACTTCTTGGACTTCTTGAGTTTTGCTTGCCGCTCTTCCATACACTCTTTCACCGCCAAGTCGCCTTGTCCAACAAGCACTTCCGATGCACACGGTGGTGTGCGTATGCAACTGCTAACCAAGTGGCGAAACTTGTTCATGACAACCTGGAAGGGCCGATCACGGAGATTAAGTCTGGGGCTACGGGAGTCAATGAAGAGGATGTAGACTCTACGACGATGGCATGGAAGCCCGAACTCCAATGCGTCTGTCATCATCGGCTGGCTGTGGTACCCCAGGCTAGCGAACTCGTTCAAGCAAACCTTTAGGTTGGAGTCGTCGGTGGAGCTGAGCTGATCGCCCATCGCGTCCACGTTTTCGTAGATCACGAAGAGAGGTCGGTGATTCCGAACGTAGCCCAAAAGGCCTTGGAAAGTCTGTGCTGAAGCACCGCGGCTGGAGTTCTGCTCGAGGACTGGCTTGTTGCTGTCGTGAGTGGGAGACGTGTGGTTCAGCTTGCTGAGGTCTTTGCAGGAGGTCCCGGCGACAAGAAGGTCGACTGAAGGAATGTCGCACCCAGCGCCATGTCGGCAGCATTTGGCCTCCTTGCAGTGCAACTGCGTGATGTCCTCGAAAATGCATTTCCCACTTGAAAAGCAGTCGCCAATATCACCACCCGCCCCAAGGGCATCAACCCGAGGAGGCCACAAGAGGCAGGTACTCTCGCGCAAGGGGCCAACGGAGAGCACCGCCTGGATCCACTGCTGCTTGTCAGCGTTACCTGGGCACATATGGCATTGGCAGAGGGCATAAGGCATAAGGCATGAGACTGGCATCAGACTTAGGACTCTCAAGACTTAAGACTTCAGACATATGTCACATATATATATATATGTACAGGATAAATATGTCATTCGACCTATGTCATTCGACCAGTATAGAACCGAGATTTCAAACGTTGATCTCGATACCCGAGCCCGAAACCTTCTTGCAAAAACAGCTCATGCCATCTGTCACATGGTTTGCCAACCATATACCACCATATACACCACGTATGCCATCTGCTATCCATAATATGCCACGGATATTTCTCAAATTCTGAACTCAACTTCTCAACTGTCTCAGCTGAACTAACGACTGGAAAACTTGACCTCAGAATTCCGGATAGCATACCTGATATAACCTGCATGTGATGTCTTAAGTCTTATGTCGCAAAGTTCAGCTCACCTCTAGCAAGGATTATTGACGCAAGGGGACTGAATGATCCGAATGCATGTGTGCAAAAAAAACATCCAATAGACTCAATAGACCACTCGAAAATGAAAAAAAGATGCTCTCGCAACTGTGCTAACGATGCAAATGTGAGGGCGAGTTCGGTGGGATGCGGCCGTCAAGGAGGCGCTCCTCATCGCCTTCCCACCCGTCCAAAGGACTTGTGTCGGTACTCTTTGCGTTGCAAAGGCAGCACGTACAAGCCTTCGTCAAGTTGTACACTACTCGGAACTTCCCCAGAGAGCCAGCCGAGGAGCTGGGCCTTCCACACGACTCAGAGGCAGCAGGCTCAGGCGCAGGTGCTTCTGCCCCCTCCTCCTCCTGCGCGTCCAAGAGCTCCTCAAGGTCCTCGTTGTTCATACAGGTCATGACAGGCGGCAAATCAGAGAGAGATGCCACCACACATCTATCAGAATTTGAACCTCAAAGCTTCGGGAGCGCCGGGCCGAATACTTCGCTCACCGCCCACACTCTGCACCCTGGACAGACTGGGACTGTTGGCAATATTTGTGTGTGTGTGTCCGTTTCTGTTCAATGGCTTGCTCCTAATCTTTATTTGTACATTAGTTATAATACACCATGTTTGTAAGAATGTTTCTACGGACTTTCTACGAAATGTTTCTAAGAATGTTTCTATGTTTGTAAGAATGTTTGCACGAAATATTTAAAGTAGAGAAACAACTTTTAAAGTAGAGAAACAACTTTTAAAGTAGAGAAACAACATTTTAAAGTAGAGAAACAACTTTTAAAGTAGAGAATATACTTTCGTAAGTTGATACAAACATTCTTTTAAACTTAGAAACATTAATTGAAATATTTGAAATATTCTTTGGTTTTATGTAAATATTTATTTGTTTGTTGTGAATATTTATTTATTTATGGCTTGTTTGATTTAGTTTATTTAAAAGTTTGTCTATGAATCTAAAACTTTGCTAAAGCAGCACAGGATTCAGAAAGTTAGGTTCCTCACTTGGCTGCTCCTGGCAGTTTGGCGGCTGCTAAACATAGGCCGGGACTCGACTGGACTGCACAAAGACGCACCTCACATCAGGCCAACAGAAGCTTAGACACGCAGTCCGGCACTAACGAAGAGCAGACATCACGCGCTTTTGCCGGGTGAGAAGCTGCTCTCCGGCTGCGTCCCAAGGCCCTGGCAGTGTTTGCCCTGGGGCCTTAGGCCTCGCGTCCTAGGACTTCGCCGTCGCCGCAGCCACTCCGGTATTCGAAGCTGGCCGGACTCAAGGCCCATGGCCCAAGCCTTGGCAGCTCGGACGCAACGATGGCCAAAGGCCCTTTCACATTCATCCTGCTGCACTGTGTTGCACCAGGGCGTCCAACTCCTGCTCCGACAACCCAGCACGGTACGCTCCCAGCTGCCAGCCACCCTGCGACAGGTGGAACGACCTCTTGTTGGCGCCCCAATCCTCATCGTTGAACCCGGCTACAAGCCATCGCTTCAGTCGCAAAATGCACTCGTTGTCCGAAAGGTCCGAACCTTTGTTCACTGTCTTTCGGCAAGGCAGCGCCAAGGCAGCGCTCTGCCACTGGCGTCCGCGTGTCGACCGCACAGTGCGCGCCACCCGATGTGCACACCTTCTGAGTAGATCGGTGCGATCTGAAAGGCTGGCGTCCGTCCCCAAATCGCGGCACGATGCGGCACGCTTCACATTGAGCCGCCCTGTCGTGACAGAGTCTGCACGGATTGCAGGAACCTCAGTAGAAACAACTGGCCTGAGCGGTGCTGGGCCCTGCGACGAAGACGACGGCTCCGGGCCCCGCGACGAAGACGACGGCTCGGGTGCATCAGCAGCCTTAGACTCCACATCAACCGTCGAGTTTCATCAAGACTGCGACTACTCAATGTAATATGAATATGCTCCCTACACATAACTACACCCAGCAACCATGCGCAACAGACCAAAACCAAACTCTTGCTCCGGAGCTGAAACCCTGCATCCTATTGTACTCTTTCGAAGTCTCCTTTTGTGTGCTTTGCCCCTGTAATGAACACCGGCCCTTACTTCAAAGTAGAGAACCCCAAACATTGCGTTGAAATCTGAATGCAACGCTACCGGACACCTGCTAGACTCCTAGACTCCTAGACCCCTGGACCTAGACTCTCTTGGACCCGCGCCGCAAACTACGCGAACTGTCGCAGACCTTATATAGACCTGTGCGCTGTCAACTACGAAACGCTACAAATTGATCTTTACACTCTAGACTCTAATCTAATCAAAAAGCCTTTGTGCCTTGTGCCTCCACAAACCCCTACCAAGAAATCGTGAAGCTAAGTTCATACTCAACTACGTCCAACAAGCCTTGTGTCCGACTAACCATGCGTCCGCTCATTCATAGACACTCGCCGAATGGCTTGGCCTAAGCCTGGACTGCTAAGTTAAGCCAACTCAGTTAGGCTCCAAGTGGAAAGAAACGAAAGGCTCAAGGCTTGAGGCTTTTCATAAGGGTAAGAACAAGGCTTGGCTTATGAATGCCCAAGACTGATATTCAGAGATACAGCCACTGACAACCCCTGAGCCACGGAGCTTCCAGCTCCTCTCCGATGGCCAAAGCTGAGAACACCTGTTGTAGTACGTTTCCCTGCAGCGATGATGGGGTCGACGTATACCTCTTTGAGCTGTCGCTGCAACCTTTCTCGGATCGATGCTCCATCTCCGACGTCGCTCAATGGGAATGAAATGTTCTCAATGAGGATGGCCTGGAGCGAGAGGTGGTAGTGCATAGTGACGGTTGCGATCTGCTCCTCAGACATGCCGTTCAACGTCTCGTTCACGGATTCCAGGGCACTCTTGGTCGTCTGGAAGTTGTAATTGGCGCCACCGGACACCGACGGAGACACGATGTAGATCTCCCCCCATCCATGCATGCCACACCTGGAGGAAGCTGCGCGCACAAGTGCCTCAGCAACTTCAGGTTAGCAGGGCCTGCATCGCATGTCACCAGTACAGCACGAAATTTTGCATTGACCGATGTCACACCCGGCCAAAGACCAGCCGGGCCTGCAGATAAGACCGGCCACATGGCAACAGCTTTCTTGGTTGGCAAAACACAAGGTGCACGGACAGCATCGGTATCAACAACTTCACCATGACCACAATATGTAATCTGACCGTGGGATGCTAGCACTGACCAGGCTGCTTCTCCATGAACCCCCATATTTAGGTCAAGCTCTGTCTCGTCGAACATAAGGTTGATCAACGCGAAATCGAGAGGGTCATCTTTACACAGATGCTGCAGCCGTTGAAGGTTCCGAGAAATATATTGGTTTTGCCCCTCTTCGATGCACTCTGCGACGAACAACCTGGCAGACAAAGTAGATCCAGAACCTGCTCCGTCCACCTGACTTGCCGCATCACGTAAACTCATACTACCCGGTGTGAAACCTGCTCTCAAAATGGCATCTGGGGTCCATTTCCTCCAACCACCTTTGCCTTTGGCCTCCGAACGGCTGTCACGGCTGCTCACTGGCATGATATGATCCTCTGTTCGTCCTCTCCCAGATCTGTTAGCAGACTGAGCTTGCAAACGAAACGAGTCTTCAACCGTGCTGCTTCGTCGCTGTGCACCTTCTGCGCGGCGCAAACGCACGCGGCCTGCGTTCGGGGCAGCATGACCTTGGTGGCCTTGGTGCCGCCGGGCGATCCCTGCTAATTGCTGCAGGTTCATTACAGCAACACAATGATGCGCTGATCATGTTTGAGCCACATGCACAAGTTGTCACACAAGAGAACACGGGCGGTGAGAGTCCAGAACAAACAGCAAATGCAGTCAGCAGCCCCGATAGCGTAAGCTCAATGCTCTCATAAGCAGTTCCTTGTTACTAAATCACTATACATTATTTAAGTTAATCAACATTTCGAGCAGCCGTTGAAACCCCAACAGAAGTGGTTCAAATCGGTGCAAACCATTCGTGCAACATTTGAAGAATATTTCAAACAATTGTCGAAACATTTAAAGAATATTTCAAACAATTGCCGAAACATTTAAGAATATTTCAAACAATTGCCGAAACATTGAAAGAATGTTTGTAACAATGTTTTCCAAAACCGAAACTTTGTAACAATGTTTGTTCGGAAACCGAAACTTTGTAACAATGTTTGTACGCGATTTTGGGGGTTAGTCGCGACCGGGCTTTCTTGGAGCACCTAAATTTAGGGTATATTCCCTAATTAAGGGCTTTTGGAGCCTCTGAGCTCTGGGTGTTTTAATCCGGGGCTTCGGGGCCCAGGGCAGATGTCCTCTTCAAATCGGGCGCTTGAGAGGGTTTAGCCTTCCGGGGTATGGGTTCAGGGGTTTAGGGTTTAGGGGAACCAGCATTGCAATTGTGGGCGGGTCTGTTCTCCTTGTATTCAGCAAGTGTAAAGACGACTCGCTCGGACCGGGCTGCTGGACAACGAGGCCTGCTGCAAAAAAGGGGAACCAGGGTTTAGGGTTTCATGGCTCCTACAGCAAAAAGGGCTTCATGGCTTGCAAAAGGGGTTTAGGGTTTAGAGAGGGGCAGGTTTCAGGGTTTAGGGTATAGGCATTGCAAGTTGCAGGGTGTAGGGATTGCTGTGGGCTTAATTCTTAAGCCCCAGATCCGGAGGTGCTTAAAACCACGGACGTAGAATTTTCTCGTGCAGCCAAGCGAGGACAAAGAAAAGGTCGGCTGGCGCACCTTGCCTACACACCCCGGTTTGGTTTAGGGTTTAGGACGTCTTACAGCTTCTTAGGGCCTCGCGAGATTTCTTTTGCCTCGACGTCCTAGTCAGTGATCGTTGGGGTGATGTGTTGTTGCCTGATATTCCGGCACTTACTTCCCGAATCTTTAAGGATCTTGGAGTTGTAGCCACGTGGTCGTTGCATCCTGAAACTTGGGATGACCAGCTGATCAGTTTTTGCAATCTGGGGTAGCCGTGTTGCACGAGCCCACAGCACAGTCGGCCCCTCACTTCCTGGCATATGCGTAGTCCAGGTGTAAAGGGTGGCTTAACCTTGAGAGTCCAGCTTGCCGGCATACAACCAAAGCCCGTGCTGAAAAAGGATGGTTTGATATCCTAAACCACTAAATCCTAAACCCCTATACACTAAACCCCTTCCCTTGCCTGCCTTGTGCGACGCTCACACGTCGAAACACTAAACCCCTTCTGCAAGCCCTGAAACCCTAAACCCCTAAACGCCAGACCCGATGTCTCTGGCCCCACAAGCCGAGCTTCAGTGTCTCCTCAAACCCGAAAACGACCCGAAAACGACCCGAAAACCTAGGGGTTTATGGGTTTAGGGCTGAAGACCTAACGATTGGGGGGGGGGGGGGGTTGTCAAGCTTTAACCCTTCATCCCGAGGCCTGAAACTCTAAAACCTACACCGCAAAACCCTCAGCCATGGGTTTAAACCCTTCTATACACCCCCCAACTCCCTCGAATACGCCCCGAATACCCACTATGAAGGGCCATAAGGGCTCTCTTAAGGGGCTCTTGGGGGTCCTGGTACATTTTACGGCAAGCAAAACTGTCTATCCTTTTTGTAATAGCCCTTATTTTAGCCCTTTTACGGCTATGGTATAATACACCCTGAAACCCTGTTCTAATTACTAAGGCCCTACATTAAGCCCTTAAACCGTGGCTCCTTATAGAATCCCTAGAGATCCCTTTAAGGGGACCCTTAAAGGAACCCTTGTAATTCGTAGCTCCTTAGGTTCCATGAGCAACTCCTGGGAGCCAGCGGCCGTCGATCTCCGGTCCTGTTCGGCTACCAGCCTCGATTTGGGAGTTTCCGGAAATGGGGGACCCTTAGGGTTCCTTTAAAGGGCACCGTAAGGGCTCCCTTAAGGGATCTATAGGGTGCTATTAAGGGTTTAGGGTTTAGGATTAGGGAGTTTCCGAAAATGGGGGACCCTAACATAGTACCCCGAACAGTAGGATCCCTATTATAAGGACCCCAGAATGAGGTACCCCTTATTCTCGGAAACTCCCATTTGAGTCCCACGGTTAGGGATGCAAAAAGGTTTGGGGCTTGCAAGAGGGGTTTAGGGTTCAGGGGTTTCGGGGTTTAGGGTTTAGGGGTTGAGGGTTTTAGGGGTTTAGGGGTTTAGGGGTTTAGGGGTTTGGGGTTTATGGGTTTAGGGGTTGAGGGGTTTAGGGGTTCAGGGGTTTAGGGGTTTAAGGGTTTAGGACAGTCGGTGCCTCGGTTCCTGGCATATGCATAGTTCAGGTGTAAAAAGGGTTTCATGGTTTGCAAAAGGGGTTAAGTGTTTAGGGGTTAGCGGTTTAGGGTTTCACTTGCAAAACGGGCTTAGGGGTTTAGGAGTTTAGGGTTTAGGGTGTGACCGCTTCTGTGCTCGGTGGGTTGCTGGCATTCATCAATCAAGTCCAGGTGTAAAACAAGGGTATGACCATCGACTGTTTGGTTCGTAGTAGGGATTGGGGAATGGGTTATGGGGACTGTTTTGGGGGATTATACAACGACTACTATAGACAATGGGGATCCATTCCCCCATTCCCTACTAAGCACCAGTTAGATGAGGACCGTGAAATTTTCAGAATCAGTGGAGAGTCTAGGACCACGGCTATTTTGAGGTTCTATAGGGCCTGTGCCTGTCCGACTCTGAGTCATAATAGGAGTCGAAATAATTCGGAATATTGATCCGTGTGATGGTTTAATGTACTCCAAATCCCAATTCTGAGTTTGAAGGTCCCTACATGAACCCTGACTTGCAATACGCCCCAGGTCTATGGGCAGGAGCAGTACGATGAGGTCATGAGCAACATCACCAGCTGCAGCGTCATCATAGAAGATGTCCCTTGCTCAAACTGTCTTTTTGGTAAGCGGTGGTAGGGGTTTGGGACTTGCGACTCGCATTGTTGAGTGAAAGGAATGACAGGTTGTTAAACCGTCCACTAGGATGCTTGGGCCTTGAGTCCAGCTGCTCGTGCTGCTTGCCGGGTATTTGGCTTTTCTGGCTTCTACATGAAAGGTTCCTGCTTCCTGGGCGCCTGTTATGTGTTGCTTACCCGGCTTACTTCATTTACTTCACTGTAGCAGAACGCAATGGCACGCAAGAATGAGAGGTGGCATAGCAGGGTTTCGCGACACCCGGCTCACGTGTCTCATAACTGTCTGATGCTTAGTAGGGAATGGGGGAATGGATCCCTATGATAGTCGCTATACAATCCCCAATAGTAGTCCCAATAACCCACTCCCCCGCCATTCCCTACTAAGAACCAGACGCAGATAAAGCTATCCGGAGGGAGGTCTCATTCCCAACGCCTGTGCCCAGGCTAGGCTTGTTCTTACGCACATTTGCACTCAGAGTATGTGCTTGTTTCTCAGCATGTGAACAAACCAGCATTCCCATACCTCGGTCTGTGGAAAAGCCTGGAAAAGCAGACTTCAAGACTAGACCGATGCTGCTGTCAACACAAACTTTTGCACGTTTATCCTCCTCGTGCATTAATCTTATTGCTTTGTTTCTATTATTATTCCTCTCATTTCATTTATGTTCTTGTTGCTTTCTAGAGGTATGATGTTCTCAGCATTCACTATCAGTCTTGTCACGTAGAGCCATAGTCTTACGATGGTAAGGATTATTGCTCTGGTTATTATGTGGTTTTGGGATGAAAACGCGTCTGTAGCTGAACAACTTCCGACCACTTGTCTGAGTCTGGTGACGACAGGTCCTCAACTCTAGACATGCGGGCTTTTGGGGTTTAGGGTTTTTGGAGCCACTTCTTTAGCGGATCTTTCTAATGAAGGGTTTCTCAGTTCTCTTGCGTGAGTCCTATGTTAGAGTTTCTGAGACCGCCATGTGGTGCCTATGCAAGTCAAGTGTGACAGCGCTGCAGTCAGTTCCAGTAGCTTGTATGGTTCACCGAGGCTGATGCTTGCAACGCCGACCCAGCCTGCCAATTCCGACCAATTTTTCACACAGGCACCTGGGCAGCACGGTTTGTGGGCTGAGCTCAAGATGTTAACGTCGCACGAGGGCAGTGGCCATGAGCATTGATTCGGGACCGATGCTTGCTGTCAGTTGCCCGGACCCGCGGGAGGATCTCGAAAGTTGATCCCCTAACTTGGGGCCCTGTACTACTAAGGGTACTTTATAGGAACTCCCCTTATATAAGGGGTTCTACTTTTTGGATCCTCCCGAGGGTCTGGGTGAAGATTTTGGGACTTCGTTCTAGAAACGGCAGCGAGACATAGGGCACACCCGCACCTACAGAACATTTGCAGTGGGAAAGCATCAATCCAAGGGTAAAAGGAGGGACCCTTAATAAGGACCCCTAGGTATATACCCTTAATAAAGCTATTATATACCCATCATATAGCCCATTATAGGGTAGGGGTCCCCATTAAGGGTCCCTCCTTTTCCCCTTTGAATCAAGAAATGTAAGGATAGCAAAAGGATAAGACGATAATTGCTAGTTTTCGCAGTTCTAGCAGCAGCAAGGAGTCTGGAAGAGAACATGTGACATTCTATTAAGTTCAGCATAGATACAGTTTCTACTGTGTCGCTTCGCGTTTTCCTCGAACCTTCAGCCCTACATTATCTGGCACAGTTGCTCTGCGGCCCCTTCCGGGCCATTTGATAAGTTTCAGTGCTGAACACTTGGAGTTGGCGATTATGGATTCAGGAAAACATAGAAGCCTGAATAGGTAAATGTATTATTCCCCCTCCAAATGTCAGGGCCTTTGCTTTTTTGCAATAGGGCCTGGAGACACATTTTGGTGTGGTTTTACAGCGATTCTGAGGGGATCTCAGTACGAGTTATTCCGATGTCTAGAGCGATCATGAGCTGAGGCAAGTGCATGGTGGCGCCCGTGCACGAATTCAACTGGGTGCCGCAGATCATCTACACAACTAGCACTACATCCGTCGTGACTGCGACCATGACAAACACATCCACAACATCTGCAAGCTCAACGACCACGATTACCGGCTCTTACACAGCCACGTCCACGACCTCCGCAACGACGCAGACCTCCACCTCAAGCTTTACAGAAACGACCACAACGACTGTAAGCATGACGACCCAGACAGCCACATCTTCTACCAGTCTTACTTCCTCTGTAAGCTCCACAGCAACAAGCACCACTAGCAAAAGCAAGACGACCACAACTTCCAGAACTGATTCAACAACGAGCTCCTTCACGGCGACGTCTACGAGCAGTTCTACGGCCAGCACGACGACAACTCACAGCATCACGACTACGACAACGTCCACCAAGACTGTCACGACTACTACTTCCCTGACAACCACAATGACGACCTCCACTACAATCACTGGCACCACCACTTCCTCCGTCACAGCTACAACTACGACAAGTGCCACAACAACCACCTCTGTCACGCGCACATCAACTACTTCTACATCTACCACTTTCACCTCGAGCTCCACTACAACAGTGACAGAAACAACCACATCGATCACCATGACGTCGACTTCCACTTCAACCTTGACGACCAGCGTTTCGTCAACCACTAGCAAAACAGCGACCAGCACGAGCACGACGTCCTTCACAAGCACGACTTCCTCAACCTCTCACACCTCGACCTCAACAGTCACCGCGACAACCACATCAGTCACAAGCACTTCTTCGAGTACCACCGAGACATCCACGACGACTCACACGTCGAGCTCAACGAGCACGTCCAAGACCATGACATTCACATCATCCGTCACGACGACATCGTCCACTGCGACCACCGCTACTTCAACGAGTACATCTGCTACCAGCACTTCGTCTTCCACATCCTCCACCACCACCACAACTGAGACCCACACCAGCACAACACGCACGATGCCGGGCAGCAAGTGCTGGGCTTCTGGTTCTATCGTTAGTACTGCGACTTTTCAGCTTGAATGACATGTCACCTGCACATGCATTTCACAAACATGGAGAGTTATACTACGATTTTCACCATGATGGCTGTTCGATTCCTCCACGATTACCACTCCGTATTAGCTAAAACTATTATAACCCTTAGCTTCACCCCTATCCGAAATCCAAACTAAGATCCACTGATTACTAGCTAGTCGCTACGAGCGACTTGGCAGTTGTTACCAAAACGCGCAACACAACAAAGTGCCTCACAACTTCTTCACGTTGGCAACTGGCTACTGCTTACTCCTTTATACTACATGTGACTTACGTCACCTTTTGTTGTTCTGTAAATCCACAACGTCAGCAAGAACAGCAACAAGAACAAACATAGAAGCAGCAGCAACAACAACAACAACAACAGCAACCCCGACACCAAAAGCAACACCAACACCGGGAGCAACAACAGTTGTAACGGCTACTACGACGACCGCTACTACTACTGCTACGACTGCTGCTGCTACTACTTTTATTGCTACTTCTAGTGCTACTACTACTACTACTACTACTACTACTACTACTACTACTACTACTACTACTACTACTACTACGACTACCATTACTACTGTGTCTACTGCTACTTCTTCTACTTGCACTCTCCAGAACACAAACTACTACTACTACTACTACTACTACTGCTGCTGCTGCTGCTGCTGCTGCTGCTGCTGCTGCTACTGCTACTGCTACTACTGCTACACCTACAGCTACTACTACTACTACTACCACTACTACTACCACTTCTACTACCACTACTACTACTACTACTACTACTACTACTACTACTACTACTACTACTACTACCACTACCACTACCACTACCACTACCACTACCACTACCACTACTACTACTACTACTACTACTACTACTACTACTACTACTACTACTACTACTACTACTACTACTGCTAATACTGCCGCTGCAGCTGCTGCTGCTGCTGCCGCCGCTAGCGTTACAGTGTCCTTGCTACTAGTATGACGACGACGACAACCCTTGTTGAGTAGTACTTGTAGTAGTGGCAGCAGCAGCAGCAGCAGGAGCAGTAGTAGTAGCAGTGGCAGTAGCAGTAGTACTAGTAGTAGTAGTAGTAGTAGCAGTCGTCGTCGTAGTATTGGTAGTGGTAGTAGTAGGAGGAGGAGGAGGAGGAGTAGTACACAGTGAAGTCGAGTAGAATAGCTTGAAAGTACACTGCGGATGTTATCAGCAGCTTCTCCTTGTAGCAGTCGCTTCGCCACCAGTACCACATCCTAATTATTATTTTTTTACACCACTGAGCCCAGGATGACATCCACCTCATTCACCTCTTCGTCCACCATGTCAACCTCCTCGACCAGCTCCTCGACCACGTCCTCCTCTTCCACCACGGCAACCAGCTCAAGCACTTCAGCCACGACACGCTGCTGCAAAGTGCTTTCGGGGTGTAGGGCTTCACGGTCAAGGATGTACCTACGCTATAGCTGCTGGATCCGATGTTGAACCTACGTCATGTCAGTCTGGTTCCAGAAAACCAAATAATTAGTGGCCTTGAAGCCTGACCGAGTCCCAAACCATGAGCCAAATAAAACACATTACAAACTCAATCTCGGAGTCACCCTGCCGAAATGGGGGCAGGCCGGACGTGTCAGACAATAGTCAGGAAAGTCGAGAAGAAGTCAGGCAAGCGGTCAGGATAAAAACAGTCAGCGCATCTATGTTTGGTCGACTTTGGTTTCCGACGTCGTTGCTTTTGGGTTTTTGTGAGGGTCGCTAGGTCTATTGAATGGGTAACCAAGGAGCTCATCCAGTACTACCACCAGCACGTCCTCAACCTCGACATCCACGACGAGCTCGACGACTTCATCGACCACTGTCGCTTGGTATTGAAGAGAAACGACACAGGGCATCATCCACAACAGCCTGGTTACTTTATCCCTAACAAGCCGCTGGAATGCGATCGTGGTGATACGCCATAGGCCCGAAAATTAGACCTTGCCCGAAATTACAGCGCTTCAGTACCATGCCTTTTTGCTTGAAGAGCCCTGAACCCTAAAATGCTTTACGATTCTCCCATGGATTGCCCATTGACTTTAGACCCTGAAACGCCTGACATCCTCAGTCTTGGCGCATGGAGTTGCCTGAGTGTGCGGACTTCTTGAAATTGGATGTTCAGCATGACTGAGAAGTTCGTGCAAGTGGCAAGGCTTTTAGCAACCACACGGGGGTCCCCTGTTTCGGAGGCTTCCTTTTGGGTTCAAGTTTCGCGTAGGAGCTGGACCAACCCCTCAAGGGGAGCGCAGGAAAGCAGCCATGTTCGGCCTTCTAGCGCGAGTGTCTGCCAGGCGCCAGAACCCTAAAGTCTCTGTGAGAGCGTCAACCAGGGGGCTTTGAACAAATGCACACAAGCGGCCATCACCCTGAACCCCATAAATCCCTGGCAGTCGTCGGGAGTGTATTGAAGCTTATTGTTTTGCTAGGCTATCCACCGCTTCGGGGTGCAGGAAATCCCAAGCCGGAACCCCGAACCCTGAACCCCAGGCCCTAAGCCTATGCAGGGGAGGGTGCATGCCTGTCGGAGCATGGAGCATGCAGCATACAACTTAGAATTTGTGCTGACCTTGCCGAAATGAGGTGGTTGGGGTTTATTGCGAGCGCCTCAGGAATCAGAACTTGTTGGATCCTGGATGTAGAGCATGTATACCACCCTTGACAGATTAGTCACCCGAGTGCCGTTCCAGAAACTCACTCTAAACCCTAAACTCTAAGCCCTAGTCTTCCAAACCCCAAAGTCCCCCCCCTCAACGACAAGATGCAAAGCTGGGTTGAGGGCTCAGCTCAATTCGCGTCTATGTGCCGAGATCTCTTCAACGACCACGCAGTCTTCCACGACCTTCACAAGAACGACCACAAGCGCAACATGTTTTCGCTTGTGTTTCAGTCATGTTTCCTTGCGAGGCTTCCAATGTAAAAAGAAACGCGCAGCTAGCAATCCTAAATGGCGAATCGCCGTCCGCAGAACTCGAGTCGCTATCCCTGTCCAGATGACCCCAAAAAGCCACCCGGAAAGCAACCCTAAACCCGAGCATTATCGAATCTTGCCGGACTCCCGAAGTATGGGCTCTCATCCACCACTGTTCTGTATTGGGGCTTGTTGCACAGTACACGTTTCCAATATCAGAATTCTTGTTGGGTGAGCTCACCGGCACCATCCATTGAACGTCGTTTGCTTCCATGGCAGGCCTTGTTGGTTAATTACTAGAAAGGATTCAGCGGGTTAACTGCCGGCATGAAGTCCACGTGATGTCCTGCACCGGTAGGTGTTCGTCACTTTGTGTCACAGATGTGGCGCTGGATTTCAGGTCAAAGCTGGTGCTAGTACGGAGGTTGCAGCAGAATAGGCAACAGTCGGAGCAATTGCTCATTCTGTTCATCCTCTCCTGCCGGCTCTGGCTAGCAGAGCGTTGAAAGTGTACGTCTTTGTATTCTTTGTGCTACTACCAATGACCTCAAAAGGCAGGAAGAATATTGGTTTCAAGTCTGTTGAAGTCTTTCTTGGGATCATCCCACCTACCTTCATCCTACCCTTGGGGTCCTGTGATACTGCCGTTTTTCGTTCTGTGGGTGCGCCCGTCGGCCTTTGAAGTTTGCAGGCCAAGGCCTGGCCTGAGCTGTTAACCTCACGGTTTAGGGTTTAGAGGGTTCAGGGTTTAGGCGGTTCAGGGGTTTGGGTTTTGGGGGTTCAAGGGGTTTTGGGGCTTAGAGCTCAAGGGTTAGGTATTATAGGGTGTTGGGGCCTGTTAGCTGAGGCAACCACGACCCTAACAACATCCACAAGCTCAAGCGTCATCTTGGCTGCATGAGTTCGGTTCTTAGGCCCGCACGGCAGCTTCAGGGTGTGGATGGATGTGGTACTCGAGTTGAGGAGAACAGCTTTGTTTCCGACTTATGGCTGCCTGTGTCTCATGCTGGAAACAAAACGATGCCCCCTTGGTATCTGTAAACATGGTATCCTCCCATGACTTCCAATGCTCCTGTGTTTCGGCCTCGCAGATTTACAGTCACAAGCCCCGGTGCCTTTGAGCGAGTCGCAATAGCAGAGCGCAGCCTTGAGTTTTGTTTGGGAGGTAGTAACAACGTGATCCCTATGCAAACCCTACAAAGATTAACTTTTACATAGCTCCTCTACAGGACTTTGGACAAGTAAGACTCCCTTCGGCCTGGAGAGTCTGCTCGCATCAAACGGTTTGGGTTGGTGAAGCCGTCTGCAGTTTTCTTCTGGCATGGATACATCAAGAAGGCATCACTGGGTCAGGATCATGAAGGCTCATGTGATCCGATGTTGTGTTTGTTTAGGCTTCTAGCTGCTTCTAGCTTCACACTGGCATTTCATAGCAGCCGCCCGACCTCCTGCCGTGATGATTGTTGCCAAGCTTACTCCCTGCTTGGGTGGTAGTATTGGTCTTAAATTCAAAGACTCTTGGAAGAGTGTCCAGAGAGCCCAATACGAACTTGCATAAACTAAGCCATCATACTAAGGCCTCACAATTCAAGGGATGATCCTTAATCAAGGGATATTGGGCTTTCCGGGTAAATCAACCCCACTCAAGCCACAAACCCTGGACGACAAACCTCAAGTCCAAAACCACAATCCCAAAAGGAATCCTAAACCTTAGAGAAACCCGAAGAAAGCCCTAGTCGAAGGATGTAAGATATGGCCTCCATAAATGCCAGTACGATTTTCGGGCTCCTTATTTCCAAGTATAGTATAAGTTATGGTATGGTATTTTACCCCGCCCAAAACCCTGTTCTAAGCATTCAGGCCCCCATACTAGCCGAAGAGAAGCTGCAAATCGAAGGCCACAACTACCGTGACTACGCAGACTGTAACGTCCACCTCGCAGACATCCACATCTTCGACGACATCTACCTTTACAACCACCTCAACCAGCAGCCAGGGCTAAAATGCTTGGAGCCTGCACACGCATGCGGTCTCGACGCATCCTGGAGTTGTCCGAAGGGACGTCGGGGGTTCAATTGAAGGAAGCCTGCCGTCACAGACACAGAGGCCCTCAAGCAAGGCTGGACGGATACCCTGATCTGCAGGCACCACGACATTCACGAACACAACGACTTCCACCCAAACGACGACAACCTCCACGTCCTCCAGCAGGCCACTATGCTGCAATTCTAGGTGTGTCTCAATTCCTATTTTCTCTTGTGTGAAGTCGCTTTTCTTGTTTTGTGAAGTCCTCTTACAAGGTGAAGGCCACATTAGAGTTGATATTGAAGACGAAGGGGGAAGCGTCGCCGTTGGGAATTCAAGGCTGATAGACTTGCTTAATCACTTAATCTGGAGGAAGGCGTAGAGGATTTCGAAATTGACGAAACGGAGCTGTAATCTGTTACATGCTTCCGAGTATATTACGAACAGGATGTGGCATTCTCGCTCTATCAGGGCAGCACCTCTTGTTTCTGCAGTTATTGACTCCAAAACGGTGTGAATGAATAGCTGGGATGCATCGATGATGATGTCCATTGTGATGTCATTCTAGTTGTTATTGTCCCGAGTCCATCTGCCAGCACTGTCTAGTAGCACTCCCACTGCTTCTAGCATGCTGTGGATGCCACCACGCCACCACCATCACAACCACCACTACCACAACCAGCAGCAACACCACCAGCAGCACACCACGCACACCACCAGCACCAGCAGTACCAGCAGCAGTAGCGTCATTCCTCATCTTAAGATGCTGAAGCCAAGTGTGTGGGCGATAGATGTGCGTGCACAGCCTTTGTACATTGACTGTATCTTGAGTCACATTCGCGAGACTTGTGGAAGACGCAGAGTGTACTTATCAGTTTCTCCGCTTTTGAAACTAAAGAGGTGGAGTGGCTGCGACGGTTTGCTGACATGCAGTAGTCATGTTGGCTGTCGATTCCCAGCTGATGATGGAACAGAGCCTGGGTTCAAAAGTAGCGTCACCACCACCACTACCGTCACCAGCGCCACCACGCGACGACAACGATCACAGCAAACCTGGCAACAAAAAACCGGCACGAACGCCGCCGCCGCCACCACCACCAACCGCAGCCACGGCTGCGGCCATGGCCACAGTACCAGCAGCATCAGCAGCAGCTGCAGCCGGAGCAGCAAGAGGCAAGCAAGCACGATGTTGAACTGAGCTGCTTGAGAGCTGCGGAGCATAATGTAGTTGTGTATTGCTCGTACTGTCTCAATTTGTTTCACTCCCGTCCCAAGGTATCGAACGTCCGGGCTCGTTTCTTTTACTCCCGTCCCAGGTGATGTGGGCAATCCGCCGACTTAGTAAGGGTCTACTTGGAGGTTCATGGGTAGCTCCCATGAACTAAGGAATATACCTTAAATCATATAAGGGATCCTACTATAATTTAAGGTATATTCCCTAATTAAGGGATATTGGAGTCTCGGGGTTTTAAGTGGGGTTATAAGTAGGGTAGCTATGATCATGACCCACATCAGTGGACTTATGACCCCACTGATAACTACCCATGAACGTCCAAGATAGGCCCTAAACTCTAAACCCTATACCCTTATAGAATCCCTATAGTTGCCTCTAACCCTTAACGGAACCCTTATAAGAACCTCCAAGTACATGCTCCCAGACCGGGAGCTCAGCTTCAATGTGCTGCCAAGAAGCCCAGAGGATCCAAAACACCTTAATTAAGGAATATACCTTACATTATATTAGGAACCGCAATAGGATGTAAGGTAAATTCCTGAATTCGGGAACATACTTGGGTTATATTAGGACCCCTAATATGATTTAAGGTATACTTCTTAATTGCGGGGCTTTGGAGCCTTTGGGAACCCCCGCAGGACAAGCACTTCGTCCACAGTTTCAACGACGACCTCCACCGTGAGGCCTGCAACGATCTGCTGATCTTCGAGTGTTGAAGGTTTCGGGTAATTCTGGGTTCTATAGTGTCGAGGGTGACAGTGATTCTGCATTTATCAAATGATGGTTTAGGGTGGCAGGATTTTTTGCCATTTGGCAGTAGTCACGCAAACCACGACCGTTGCAGCTGTTCCACTATGGCACAGTGGATATTATCAGAAGGGCTCCACACGGCTCTAATATCCCATCGCATCACCAAAGCCTCAACAGGAGACTGCCCATAGGCCCCATAGTCATTCCTTTTGGGATTACCTTATAGAATTCTACATATGAACCCCAAAAAGGAGCTACTATGGAGCCTCTAGGCCTAAACCACCAAAACCCCTGCACCGTCATCCCTCAAAGCCCCAAACCCCTAAAGCCTTAAAGAACTACCCATAGTTCCTTTTTGGAACTACCTTATAGACTTCTACAGCTGAACCCCCAATCGGAACTACTACTTGGAAGGTCGGGGGACTTAGTAACTAGGTAGTAAGTAGACTTATAAGTACCCTAAAATAACCAGTTACTAAGTCCCCCGACCCTCCAAGTATGGGGCCTTAGGGTAATCTGAGGGTCCGATCCGAAGCGCCAAATTGCTGCATGTGTGGCTCGGGAGTAGCAGAGCGCAGCCGACGGACAACGAAGTATGGTCCTTTTAAAGGGATCCTCAAAAGGGGTACATAAGGGATTTCTTTCATTGGGTTCTATAGTAGGGGCCTTCATAATTAGAACAGGGTTTTGGGGCCCATTGTACTATCCCAAAATAATGTTGGTAATTATTTGGGCGTCTATAAGTGCCTATGAGCCTTGACAGCGCAAGATCAAGAAACTGCGAAAGCGTGCAGCCAACAATTGAGAAGAAGCCTTAAGCGTGGCTTCAGTTCCACTTCCTCCACTACTTCGACAACGACATTGTCAAGCACCACCAGCACAACGTCCTCGAGGCCGTTGTCCGCTTTTCGGCAGTTTCAGGCAAAAGCCTGTTCTTTTACATTCTCGCCATTAAAACCAAAGAACTAAGCCGAAAACCTTGGATTCCGGAAGGAAGCCTTAAAACCCCAAACTCCCAAAGCCTGCACACTAACCCCTATAAACTCATATAAACTCCGAGTTGCTAGAGTCCAAGCTTACTCAACCTCAAACCCTAAACTTTAGGACCCTCGCGAAACCCTTGCGCGACCCTGACTCCACGTGTACCGCTGCAGCGTGGGTTCCACCTGCAGTCTGTTTGGGGCGTGGGGTTTGGGTTTTAGGATTTAGGGTTTCCGTGTTTCGGGTTCTAGTCTAGGGTTGCTTACAGGGTGTTTGGGGTTTGAAGGGTCTAGCAAAGTAGTACTGTGAGAAGAGGTCTCGGAGACAAGGCGATCGCGTTCTAAGCCAGACTTGTGATGAACCCGAAATCCTAAACCCCTAAACCCAGCCTGAACCGCATGCCTCGCTTGGACTGCCCGAGTGTGAGCGCCGAAATCCTTCCTGGCTTGTCCGGCTTGTCCGAGGATTCTGAGAGCTAAAACCCTTAAACCCTAAACCCTCCCAAGTCGGGTTGCTTGGTAAGGGTTTCGGACGTCGAGCCTTTATCCAGAAACCCTCGACACAGATGTCAAATCCCGTGCATGGACCCTCGATCCACACAGCCACGGTAGAGCCCACAGCGAAGCATGCATCTCGAAGTACGTTCTTTTTTGCACTGAAGTTAACCCTGAACCTTAAGCCCAACTGAGACATCAAGGATCCCTCCAGCGTCTCTGCGCAGTCTTAAGTACTGCATGGTGGGCTAAGCTGGAGTCCCTTGTCAGACAAAAGTGAGCCCTTGAGTGTGAGAGTCGAACCCAATAAAAGCTTCCCTAAACCATTCAAAAGCCCTAAACCTCTAAACTGTAAACCGTAAGCCTGTTCATCACAGAGCCGTAAGCCGTTCGGCATTGCTCCTTCTGGAGCCTGGTAGTTCGACTACGTCGGGCACGTCGACCAGCAGCACTTCCAGCACCAGCACCTCAAGTTCTTCAACCTCGAGTGCCCTGGATTGGATTCAGGGGTTCTGTTTTCAGCTTTAAGATATGGGTTTGCAGGGTTCAGGCTTGGGGATTCGGCGCTGTCGGCGGCAGGTGCGAGACTTATAGATAGGGAGCGCTACAAGATTCGGAGGATTTTCCGAGACACAGCGACAAAATGTGTAGCAAATCGTTCTAGGAGCATACTTCGCAAAGCCCCAAGCGGCCTATGGCGTGACAGCAGGGCTATGGATACTATATGCGATAAGTATGACGCCCCGAGACCTTGAACAGCCCCCGGCATGTTCCGGGGTTTGGGGACATTTTAAAGGCAAGTTCGGACCCGGAGCATCAAGGGACAACAAGAGCAGTACCACTATGACGACTACTACCACTACTACTACTACTACTACTACTACTACTACTACTACTACTGCTACTGCTACTGCTACTGCTACTGCTACTGCTACTGCTACTACTACTACTACTACTACTACCCTAAGGTCTAAACGTGCAACCCTAGACTACTACTTCTTCTACTCGTGCAGGCAGCACGAGCTCAAGTAGCTCGACTTCAACCTCCAGCACCACGAGCCGCTCGTCGGATGAGGGTTAGGGGTCCGATTCTCTTTGGATTCCAAACCCCAGGCTTTAAGGTTCAAGACCATCAAGGGAGGTAGTAGGGTGTGACTATTACTGCAAGATAGTTATTCTACAGCCACATGCGGATTCGGTTTCTAGCGAGATTAGTAGAGTTTGTTTATGTCGGATAGCCCTGCTGTGGTTGTCGTGAATTTTAGCCTGCGTAACGCCTAAAGCCTCTTCTAGGACTGAGCCCTGGAGGAACTGAAAAATAGTCAATCCATCAAGCGGAGGAGAGATAAAAGAGTACGTGTTGGGCTATGTAACAAATGCAATCGTTGAGCATGCACCTCCAGCATGATTCGATCCTCCTTGGATGTTCTGTCTCGCTCTTTCGTCACGCGTGCGAGCAGTGGGTGGAAGCGTGAGAGCAAGCGTGGGGGCAGATCAGAAGAGGAAGCAAAATCGGAATACATGTTTCGATGTTTATGAAGAGTGAGGCGTGTCATGGGCTGTCATGTCGGCGCAAGTACATTTCTTGAGGCTGAACCTATGCTCGTGCTGCATCCAGGAGCAGAAGCTAGCAACAGGTACATGCCACGCCGACCTTGCTCGCAGAGGCAAAGAGAGTGACGAGAGAGAGAGAGAGAGCGAGACAGAGAGTGAAGAGAAAGAGAGAGAGAGAGAGAGAGAGAGCGAGACAGAGAGAGAAAGAGAGAGTCCGTGTAGATATTCATTTGCAACCGAGGCAGCACCACATCTGAAACACGAACAAGCTCGACAGTGACGATGTCGTCGACAAGCATCTTGGATCCAAATTGTCACTTCCCCAAAAGCACGGCTCTCAGCCAGCAGAAGTGTCCTTCGGCCAGTCACGGTGCGATTGAAAGTTTCACCTGCTCCCCTGTAACATAGGGGCCCAAACAATTACCTAAACTATTTTGGGGGCTCCTTATAATAACAGTCATGGTATATTCTAGCCCAAGACCATATTCTAAGGCTTCTACAGTACTGCATGCAGTGATCAAAGGTACATTCACACACACTACCACCAGCGCGACTTTGACTACTACGTCGACGTCGCTGGGCAGCTTTTGTTGGCCGATCTCCCAAGGTGTTTGTTTGCCTGGTGACTTGGTAACTTGTCGTCTTTGCGCTCTCTGGTTCAGGCTTACAGTTTTAGATGTACTACTGTGTCAGTGTTGTTGTGCCTGTTGCCCGGTTGCAAACCCCTGCAAGCTTGAAGTCTTCTATGCCACGGCTCTTCGCAGACGTGGGGGTTTCCTATTATGATTAGTGCATAGTAGAATGGACTCCAAATATTCTAGCTATTAAGGTCCCTATATTAAATTCCTTCCTGCCCGAGGCTCTAAGTCCCCAACCCTGAATCTGAAAGCCTTAAAGGGAACTCCAGAAAGTTGGAATATGGTTTCAGGGTAGGATACCTTATAATATACCATAGAGGGTTTAGGATAACCATATTCCAACTTTCTGGCTTTTACTGTACGCCCAAGTCTCCTTGTCAAGCTTTGACGAGAGGGACCCGGATCTGAAACAACCGTCCACGCTCAGCGGAACATCGCGGAGTGAGTTGCGGTTGGGGTTGCATTACGCCTGATGATCCAAATCCCGCATTAGCCAGAATGAGGAACAAACCATATTTCCCATGGTTTAAGGTCATGCCGATTTATATCATCAACCGTATTTGGGGTGCTCGGAGGAAGGGCTCCACATGAACTAGACTATTGAGGGTGGGCACTAGGGTCCTTCATTTTCGGGATCTCCGAAACAAGCTTGTACCGTGGCCTTCTCAAGGAGAGGCGGGAACCCTGAAACCTTAAGCCTTAAACCCGAAACCTTCCTTGCGCAAGATCTCTTTCCAACCAGCAAGATCCCGTGCAATCTCGATGTGCGCCCACCCTTGTGGGTACCCGGAGAGCCCAATACCCCTTAATTAAGCAATATGGCTTAATTATATAGGGCTTCATATTATGATTTAAGCTATATTGGGCTCTCTGGGTATTCATGCAGCTGTTCCTGTGCTCGCCTTGCACACCCAAGCCCGACAGTAGCTCGTAATCGAAAAACGTGCTGAAAATCATGAACCAACAGCCCTCTAAACCCCTAAACCCCAAACCCTACAACCCCTAAACCCTCAACCCCTAAACCCCTAAACCCCAAACCCTATATGTAACCCCCTAGACCCTAAGCTCTGGCCTTTAAAGGGAATCCGCTTTCGGAATGCTTGCCAGACGGAAAAGGGGCGTCTAAAAAACAAAAAAAAGAACCTTAAAGGCCCAAACACCCTGAAGCCCTGAGCCCGAGGATGACGATTACGAGCACCATCCTTCCTGGCACCTGCCCGCCCCCGTCGCTCAACAAAGACATCTTCGAGCCCTGGCTGGATGAATGTAGTTTTCTAGAGCTTGAAATGGGTTTATAGGGTTTTATATGGTTTTCGAGGGTCTTACATTGTTCTCATAGGGTTTATATAGGTCCATGTACCCAAAGGCCAACGTATATAATCTTTGGGTACATGGACCCTTCGGGGAAGCTTGAATTATTTCCAATACCATTCCTTAGGGTTGGTTCCCTAACATGAGCATGCTATGCTGCACCCAAAAAGGCGGATTCTAATCATCAAGCGCCCCGTTGAGGGTTTTGGGATGCTTTGGGTCCCCCCTTAGGAGAACGGTAGGGCTTCCCAGTTGTGGGAATAAAGGGGGCTCGGGGGTCTTCGGGTTTAGGGTTTAGGGTTTCTACTTGGAGGTTGTACAGGGTGTTATACGTGGGGTTATATGTCGGGCTCCTTTAAGGGTTGTATAGACTCTATAGGATTTAGGGTTCAAGGTTTAGGCTAAGTCTTTTGGGGGGGTAGTTAAAATGTTATATTAGTTTTATGTGGCGTTATGCAATGGTAGCTAGAATTATGCCCTATAGTCGGCGGCTCGTAACCCCACTGAAATCTTGCCGTGAACCAAGTATGTAAGCCTTAGGGTTCAAGGGCTGTGAGGCTTCAGGTTTTGTTTTTCGTTTCTGGCGGTTGAGTGCTGTAGGGATTCCGAGTACAGGCTCGGGGGGGTTAGGTTCGGGGGCTTATTTCAGTTTCAGCAACGTTTGTGGCGGTGCGGGCTTTCTGCTCGTAATTTGTATTTGGCGAGAGGTTGTGGGCATGGGATGGGTTGAAGCACTTGATGAGGGTCCACGGCCTCAAACCCAGAGCCCTGAACCCTAAAACCCAAACCCTCAACCCTGTAAGCCCTAAAGGTCTAAACCCTTAACCCTGATACCCTAAACCCTGACACCCAAACCCTACACCCTAAACCGGAATCTGACAAGCACCTAAGCCCTAAACAGAAAGCGTCTCTGCATCGGCCGGGAACCTAGTACTTCAACCTTGAAGTGTTGGAAGTTCTCAGAGTTTAGTGTTTAGGGTGCGCTAAGCCCGATAGCGGCTTGAGGGTTTAGGTAAAAGGGTGCCTGTAAACAAAAAGCATGAGAACAGTATCACTAGTATAACCGCAGACTGAAAAGTAATGATCACAAGCATGATCCTGATCTTAGCAACCACAAACATGGGATTGCAGGAACAAGTAAGTACGTAGGTTAATACCTGAGACTGTTTGGTAGGATGCATGGTATTTACTGTGTTGGGTTGACGGGCTCTTTCGTACTAAGACCGGTTCCCCTTACAGTCCGTAGTCGATTACATATCTGAACTACTGAAAGGTAGAATGAACACGTTGCGCAGAAGCAGAGGCTCGGGGCTCCAGCTACGAAGCGAATCTCTCCCGCATCCTACTTGCTTCTCCAGTGCATCTTTCCGCCTTGCTAGATGGGCGGTGAAAGCCTCTATCAGAAAGGTCATGGTCGGACTATCTAGCTTAGGAAGCAGATATCCAGAACCCTAAACCCTAATACCCCAAACCTAAGCAGGCATCAAGGGATGCTTCGGCAGGAACCTTAAGCCTGCTTTCTGGCCGAAACCTCTGACCCCAGTATTGGTGTCGGAATACGGTCCCTTCTCAGAATTACGCGAAGGCCCCAAAGTAGATCCTTTTTAAGGGGGTTCATGTATAGAATCCTATTAAGGTAGTCCCTAAAAGGAACTACTGTGGGGCCTTTGGGTCCTTATGCTAGAACATACCCACAGGTCCCCTTATGCGTTTTAGCGAAAAGCAACCAACACTGCCCAGAATGTGTCGGAGTGCATCGACCAGTTTCCGGGATCCAGGCCATAGGGCTGTTGAACGGAACTTTTGGGTCCAGTGGATGTGGTAGTTTCCGAAAATAGGGGACCCTAATATAGTACCCTAAATAGTAGGATCCTCATTATACTGACCCCAAAAGAAGGGACCCCTAATTTTCGGAAACTCCCATGTGATTGAGTTCCTATTGCTGGGGGGTTATATAGCCGCATTGCGTGGAATTAGAGTGAAAAGCTCCCGCTCAATCCGATCTTCAGCACTTATCGCGTATACACAGTTTACGCTGAAGACTTACATGATCGAAAACTACCGAACACCAGGGCTCCTTGTATGATACTGCCACAAGGCCGCTCGCAAGCAGTGCAGCATCTACAACAGTATCATCATCAGCAGCAGCTGCAGCACCACCACCACCACCACGACCAGCACGAGCAGGGACAGCAACGGTAACAACCACGACAACTTGCAATAGCTACGATATCGTCAGCAGGAACGACAGTAGAGGCGACGCCTACGACGACGGCATCCAAGAGGACGACAGCTGTATCTACAGCAGCGACGAAAACCACAACACAAAGAACAATGCAACACCTGCCTCAGCCTGAAAGAGACTAGCATCTAGCATCGCTATCACCGACAGCAAGGAAACCCAAACAGGAACCCGACGATGACGCCATCCACAACAACGACAAGCAACGACCAACAGGCGACAAGAAACACCCACAGCAAGCAGCCTGTGGACAACACCGACGACGGCAACCAACAACTCCACTATAGTATAATATATATATATATATAGTATGTTTTAGTATAGTGTATATAGTCTAGTATAGTGTAGCATATTTGTATATGTATTATCTTACCACCACAACCACCTCCGGCACCACCGTCACGGCCATGGCCACCACGTCGTCACGGCCCACCGCCGCTTCCAACACCATCGCCGATGCGACTGCCACTTCCATTCCGCCTGCAAAAAAAACGCCACCAAGATAATAAATATGCAAATATGCTCTACTATACTAGACTATACACTATACTAAAACATACTATATATATATAATTACATCAGTCACCCGCATCTACAAGTCGAAGAAATCAGCCACCGACAACATCAAAAGATACCAAAGCCACGACACCACAACCAGCAGCAAGAGCAGAGGGCACAGCCCCAACAGCCGTACTAAGAACAAAGCATCATCAGCACTGTCGGAGTTAATCGTTGCAAGCGCTCCTTGCGAACAGGCTTCTGCCTGTTATATGGGCGGTCAGGGCAGAGGAATCCCCCCTTAGCAGAATCGAGACGGTTGCCTTGTGGAACATTGAACTTTGACCCTCGTCGCAGTTGCCGTAATTGTAGTACTCGACATGACAGCAGTGCACGCAAGTAGTTTGATGGCGAGTTTAAAATGTAAAGCTTCAGGAACTTACATTTGGGCAAGCTTATGGCCCAATGTTCCACCAGGCTCTAGCTCGCAGGCCCTCTCAGGATCGTGCATCTCCAACCAAGTAATTACATCATTCTCCAATGCTACACCTGCGCGCAAACGCTCACACGAGCATTCGGGAACGATGATCTGGTTGCTCCGGGGTGGTGGGACGTCTTTATACGAGCCAGCATTCTGACAGTCCTAATGTTACCCGAATCCCCAAGAAGTTCTCAACTTAACACTGACCAAAGCAGAGCTCTGGTTGCTGCCACCACACCTGGGCGCGCTGGTCGCGGTTGAGCGCCCTTAGTCTAAGGCTTCTGTCAGAAGCTCGTCTGTATGTGGGCGTGATACCGAGACTTCGGGGACGCGACATAATTTATATAGGGTTCAGGCTGTCTTTACTTTCCCACTGGCTGATCTCTGGACCTACTTGGAGGGCCGGGCTTTAGTACTGGTTATGTTAGGGACTTATAAGTACTATAACCCCAATTAGGGTCCCTTTTAGGGTACTTATAAGTCTACTTACTACCTACTTACTAAGTCCCCCGACCCTCCAAGTACACCCTTAGAAGCCCATCCAACCTGCTCTGCAGTTGCTTCGTGACGTGCGCTGCTGGATGGTTCGGGCCAGCCGAGGAGCAGCTCGTCACCGATTTTCCCAAATACCATAAGAGTATGTACCTAGTAGGTATTTGGCCAAAGTATATACTATACTATTACTTGGACCCTTGGGGGTTTACTTTGGGCGCTTAAGTATTTTGACATGATATGCAGATGATCTTCCTGTGGCGACTGCCACACATAGATACTTGCGAGCATAGTCAGACCGGCCACTGCATTCCTAATCCTTCCTGTATATGAATGTACAATATTGCACATATCACTATCGTCTTTCGTTTAAGTTGTATGTTCGAGACAGATAGACGGATACATTGACACATTACGTGCATACATGCATGCATGCATGCATGCATACGCAAGCACACACATGCAGTTGCATGCACTTGCATGCATGGCATATATAGCTTTCTGTACATGCGTACATACACACGTACATACACATATATACATCCGTGCAAAAACATACACACATACCTTTTGTGTATACGGGCATAAACATGTTTTACGTGTGCTTTCGCACTTAGAAGTCACTTGTACGTTACATGATGTTAATGATGTTACTATTCTGACACATACATGTGGTTTGAATCAGGCGTAGAATGTGCCAGTGATTTCGGGTCTTTTGGGAGAGGCAAGTCGACAGTCAGCATGGGACGTACATGTGTTGTCATGCAGTCGTCGACATTCCTCGCGGAGGTTTGAGTTTGAGGGATGGGGTGGTCTATCTGAAGATTTCTGTTTTGTTATCATACCCGGAGGACACGTCTGCGGGGCGTAAACAGCCGAATTGCAAGCACAGCAATATTCATGGGATTGCTAACCTGAAGACAGCCACAGAAGCGTCCGCAAAGCGCAAAACTCGGCTTTTGGGCAATCGACACGTGATGCATGTACTCGGAGATCCCCTCAGTTCCTGAGCGACTCGTCTGTCGGTCATGACTTGTGCACGAAACGTGTTGTAAAAAGACGAGCAGAGAGCAAGTGACAGAGCCAGGATTCTGCTGAGGTGTGTCACTGTCCTACCTCCGTGACGGCATCTGACTGCTAATTGCAAGCAGGCTCTCGTCACAACCTGCCTCCACCGCAGCAGCAGCCGTCACACATACCACAATCCGCACCGGCAGCACCGAAAGACGCGCTTCGAAACACGGTGACTGCTCCACTCTGACCTCTTGGAAGGCTGAAGGCAGCAAATCCCGAGGCTGAAGCTAGCAGCTGCCTTCGAGTCGAAGCGGCGAAGAGAGGCTAAGAAGTGCGAGGCCGTGCGCTTCATGCCTGGCTTCGCATGAAATGATTACCCAGACTCCCGGGAGCATCTAGAAAGTAGATCCCCTAATTTGGGGCCCTATACTATTAAGGTTACTTTATAAGAACCCCCTTTAAGGGATCTACTGGATCCTCCCAGGGGTTTGGGTAATCACATGAAAAATTCGCTAGATTTGCGCACTGGGTGTGGACATCGATGGTGGGGATGTCGTTTCCCAACGCTTACTGCAACTATCCTTTACCCGAAGCACGTCCTGCCTAGGTACCAGTGCACCGTGGAGGACAGGGCCAATGTTTCGTGCCTCTTGCTCAGACTCCCTTAAATACGAAACCCTGAGCCCCACTATGCCTTATTAGCTTCGCTGCTGTCCCAGAAGCCATGAGCTAGAGAGCAGGGCATGGAAAGCCGACACCGCTGACCCTTTCTTCAGCTTTAATATGACGACAGGAATCTGTATAGTGTAGGACTTCTTCAGGGCCATCATGCAGCCCCAAACTCACCAAACCCCAATCCTAAACCAACCCTGCCTTGACCCTCAAAACCTGCCCTCTTAAGGACACAGAAATCACAACAAAGAGCCTGAACAGAACAGGTTTCATAAGGTTCACGTAGACGTAGACCCTGCAGTGCCTACAGCCCCCTCTGGTCCCAGAGGTGGCGTACCACGTAGGTTTAGGTGTTTAGGCATTAGGGTTGGAGTTCACTGTGGCCCAGCAGTAGAGTCAGTAATGTTGACTTTGCAGGTCTAGAATGCTTCTATGCAATCCGAACCGCTTAATCTTAGCCTTCGAAATTGGGCAAGTAAGATGGTCGGCCACTCTTGCTGGTAGCTCGTCTGATGCTTGGATGTTTCAGAACATGGGCACCTTCGGCAGAGGTCCTTAAATCAGGGTCCTTGCAGTATTTTACAAGGGTTCCGGGTACCTTGATTTCTGAAACTCCCGTATGGATATGCAACTTGGAGCCCCGGGCGCATTGACGCTAGAAGCTAGAAGCCGTAAACCCTAAACCTTAGAGCCCGATAAACCTTAGACCCCAATAAGCCCCAAATCCTGCACTCTCCGCCGGAGAGATGGAGGAGATCTATGTCGGGACTGCACCCATCTGCGTGCGGTGCACAGCAAGTTTCTGCACTCGTAAGACTGTAAGACTGGAAGAGTGCGGTTTTGGGGGCTTTAGGTTTTAGGGTTTAGGATGTAAGACTGTGAGCGTGGCTGTGGGGTGACAAAAGTTTCCTGAGAGTTTGAAATAGGCGTCTTGACCAGATGTCAAGTTCAATCCTGCATGCAACCTCGACATGCTTTGGGATCTTAAAGTAGAAGTCAGAAAGTTGGAATGTCATTATCGTAACCCCTCTAAGGTAAATTATAGGGGATCATACCATTAATCCATATTCCAACTTTCTGGAGTTCCCTTTAGGGCTAGCTTGAGCTGTGACTCCAGCATTCGAAGGTCACCACCACCTCCACAACGACGGTCACTACGACGAGAACCGAAACGTGCCTGCAGGTATTTTGAGACCCTAAGGGCCCGTACGTCGTAGATGAACAGGGGAATCAAAATGGTCAGGATTTATCTTCCGGGAAGGACCTGCTCAGGATGTCTCCAAAACCTGACCCTCAACCCGCACCCTGAACCTCACAGGGTACTTGGAGGGCCGGGCTTTAGTACTGGTTATTTTAGGGACTTATAAGTACCATAACCCCAATTAGGGTCCCTTTTAGGGTACTTATAAGTCTATTTACTACCTACTTACTAAGTCCCCCGACCCTCCAAGCAGGGTGTAGTGAGTGTGGTGTATGGTGTAATTACGAGGAAGGCATCTCCAGGAAGCCCATCAGCAGATCCGAGGATCATGTTATACTTGGCTGGTTGGATGCACTTTACGTACATTTTTGGGGATAATATACTATAAAGCTGAAAGTGTACACTTTTTGGGGCTTATGAACTCAGCAAGTATAAGACTTCGCCCCGAATCCTGACCCCGACAAGTTCAAGTTCTCGAACGAGGGAGCCACTGGGCACGTGGGGACATGTGTGGCGGGGATCATACGGGGAGTCGTCGGATTCTTTGGGGTTTCCTAAGGCCCCATAGTGGTTCATATTTGGGGTTCAAATTTAAAGTTGTAGAAGGTAATCCCAAAAAGGAACTACAATGGGGCCTATGGGTTGCTTAGACAAAAGCTTCCCTGTAAACCGGACAGTACGGTCTCCGCTCATCCTCGCAGCGGCTCGCGACATCTTCATCCATAGCAGCGTGGGCATCGCAGTGGTGAAGTATAGTAAGTATAAGGCACGTAGCATTTTTTCCTTGAGTTGCACATTCGGACAATTTCGCCTTAGGCCTTACCCCGAACCACCCCCTAAACCTGAAAATGGGGCACGGAAGCAGCCAGCCATGCTGCTCCAATTCGAAGACTCCGACTGTGGTGGAGAATGTTCTTGCGGAAGTGCTCCCCAAAGAGCCTTGTGACAAGGCGCCGAGTGTGACTCAAGTCCAGCTGGAAGCAGCAACTTATCAACTTTGCAGAAGAACTTTGAGCCTTTCGATCTTCTTTATTTGGCTTCTAATTCTCCTAAAGTTTAAATCCCTTAAACCCTAAGCCCTAAACCCTAGACCCTGGGGCATGGTCTTTTCAGCGGGTGGGCCCGTGGGCCCGTTGGTGGGCCCGTGGCGGGCCCGTGGGCCCGTTGAGCCCGTGAGCCCGTGGACCCGTTTGGGCCCGCGGGCACGTTCCTACAAACACATATAGGTGTATGTATATGTATATATACACACGCACATATACGTGTACATATAGACAACAAATCTACTACGTGTGTTCCCGTGAGCCCGTGGGATACACATAAACATCTGCAGATATGCACATACATATACTTACTCATATACATGTGTACATACAAATATGCACGTATACAAATGCAAGCATGCATGCGCACAAATATATTTACACATAAGCATATATGCATATACATATAGTAATATATACATATACATATACATATACACTAAAACAAATACACATATACATATACACAAATACAAAAAGGCAGATACATCTAGACATTTGTATATGCACATATGCATATAGACACATACGCATGTATGCATATAGACTTATAGACATACATGCAAATACACACATACATGTGCATGTACACGCATATACATACATACATACTTATGTACATACATACGTACATATATACATACATCCCTACATACATATATACATACATACATGTATACATACACACGCATACAAACACATGCACGCATACATATATGCATACATGCCTACATACATACATACATACATACATACATACATGTATACATATACATATACATGCATACGTACATACACACACATGTATATATATATATATATATACATGTATGTGTATTTACGTATGCATGTACATGTAACAAACCTACATATACAGACGCCGATGTGTGTGCCCGTGGGCCCGCGTGCCCGTGGGCCCGCGTGCCCGTGGGCCCGTGGGCCCGTGCATGTTCCCATGCGGGCCCGTGCATGGGCCCGTGAACCCGTGGGCCGTTGGGCCGCTGGTCTTGTTTTGACTTGGCTGGCAGTGGGAAGGGCTGTTCTCGAACCCTGAACCCCTGAACCCAAAATCCGGCTTGGCCCAGTTGTGAGTGCTGAAGACCCAAACCCGCCGGGTGGTTGTCAAAATTATGTTCCCTTTTTGGGTCCCTAATATGTTCCCTTATGTAGGGTACCCTAAACCCGAAACCCTAAACCTTTATAAACCCCAAATCAATAATTCGTGTACCCAAAAAGGGACCATAATTTTGACAACCGCCCAAGCAAGTGAGGCAGCAGGCAGCCCAAGAGCTGAGTCTGATCCGCTCCCTTCGCCGGAACTTTCGAAAACAGATCCTAGGTTTAGGAGTTTAGGTTTTAGGGCTTTATTCTTGAGGGTTTAGGTTTTAGGGCTTAGAGTTTAGGGTTTAGGGTTCAGGTTTAGCTTTGGGGCTTTATTGTTGAGGGTTTAAGGTTTAGAGTTTAGGTTTAGTTTTGGGGCTTTAGTGTTTAAGGTTTAGGGTTTAGGGTTTAGCTTTAGCTCTGGGCCTTTATCCTTGGGGGTTTAGGGTTTAGGTTTAGCTTTGGGGCTTTAGTGTTCAGGGTTTAGGCCCTAGATCCTAAACCCTAAACCCTAAACCCTAAACCCGCCCATGCTGAAAGGCCCTAGATCTAATTAGTTAGGGCTTTAGGGCTTTGAGGTTTCGGGCTCGGGTTTGGGGGTTAGGTCCCTGAGTCAGTGCTTGCTACCTGTGGACGCCTATCCATAAACAAGCACTATGGGGTCTGAACAATCAGCAAAATATGTTTCCTGCAGTATACCTCGAAACCGTATCTCAATGATTAATGCCCCATAAACCTAAGCCCTCATACTGGTTAGCCGATATAAGAGCCTCGTGCATTTTGGGCGCCTTGCACAGTGCAACCCAGGAGCTTGTGCGACTCAACAAAGACTTGCTGCGTGGGGTCGACTTGCACCAGACTCTCAGGCAGTGCGGATGGATGTGGCGGCAAAAGCCATCAGGTTTGGGAAGCAAAAATGGGGCTCTGGTCTACGCTTGCTCCTATAAGACCCAGACGCTTGACATGTTCATCTCCCATGCTTGGCAGACTGACAGCTGGCAGAAGATCCTATCCTTATTGATCCACTCCGGCTGGCGCTTTACGCTCGCCTCTTGGGCAGCGTCTGTCAGCCTGTCTATTCTTCTCTGCTGGCTAGACATCTTGCCGAGCTTCTACAGCACGTGGAGCGTTGTCCTCGAGTTCGAGGCTACAATCCCTTTGGGTATATGGGCCGAACTGACCGGTCTGATCTCGGTTGTGGCAGGTCTTCTGGCCTCCCCATATTTTGCCCGCAGGAATGGCACAACATGCTTCCTGGATATTGCATGTATCCATCAGACAGATGAAGCCTTGATGCAGCAAGGCATCAACAACCTGGCTGGTTTTCTGTCGGTGTCGGCAAATTTGCATGTGCTTTGGAGCGCACCAGTTTTTTCAAGGTTGTGGTGTGTTTTCGAGCTCGCGGCATACCGAAAGCTGAACCCGACCGGACGGATCACGATCGCGCCAATGCATCTCGATGTCTTCTGCAGCGAGATATTGCTCTGGTCGCATGCAGCTGGATCTGCATGGGTGTTTGTCCGGTTGGTCAGTTCCTATCTGTTGGCGCTGCCAGTTGTGGCCTTGGCAGGCGTGTGCTTGCTTCCACTTGCGCATTCCTACAGACAAAACAGTTTGCACAGACGCCGGCTGATATCATCGCTGGATACCTTTTGATGTAAGGGGTGTGGAATGTCTGAATGAATTTGACAGAGAATACATCCACACAGCCATCGTCGAGTTGTACGGGAGCTTGGATGAATTTTCAGCTTACATGAGGGGGCCCTTCCGTCAAGAGGTCCATGTTCCCGTACTCCCGCCATTGGGCAGCATGCTTTTGATTGCGACCGCTTTACTTTCCATTTCCTTAGATTACTTGGTCGGTCTCCTGAAGGCAGGCGCACCCACACAGAGCATCATGGCTGTCATTGTAGCATTCTTGGTTGGCTTCGATCTCATTTGGTTGTCAGCAACTGCTCGATTCCTGCTTTTTGCCTGCGAGCGGATGCCGGAACCACCTGCTTTCAGAGGCAGTCAGTACTTGCAGAGCTTGTTTCTATGGTTCTGGTTATGTTTGAGCCTTGTAGTTGGGCTTGTATGTAGCATTGCCAGCTATGCCTTGAGTCGCAGCTGGTGGTCCATACTCGTGTGGATGTGCTTCGCACTTCTGTATGCTGGAGTCGCATGGCGCTGTTGCGGATTGCAAGGTACTGTGAGTTGCTGCAGGTGAGAGCAAGCTTGCAGTGGAGAAGTTAAAGACACGAATTGTCCTGACCTTTCACCACAAATATTGACGTTGGAACGTCTCGCAAGATTCAAGATGACTCTCATGCAATCCACCATCTTACGCTGAAGCTGTTTGAGTCCCGGAGGCCGCCCGCACGCCCCCATTTTGAGAAGCCTGATCTTGATGTTAATATTGTTTCACGGCTTCAGATGAAAGCCAAAGCTCGGGAGCCTTTAGATAAACTGCGGTGGCCTGAGTCCGGCATGGTGAACGGGACTTTCACCGGCGCAAATAACCCGATCTTAGGGCTTTTTGCTTTGGTGTTCACAGTATGGGGTCAGGACCTTGAACCAACAATTGCTTCAGCATTTACCATGCTTGAAGCCTGGAGCTTCATGACCACATGAAGTTCCGAGCAGACCAATTACACGGTGGCAGGGAAAGAAACTCGGACATGATATAGGTTCCTTAACAACAACGCAGGCTGAGCACCACCTGCGTTGAATCACCGTTCACCCCAGTTTTCTTTCCTTGCTCTACCTGGAGGCTCGTCAGTTTTCAATCAATCCCAACAGATCTCTTGAGACCCCAAAACCCCTTAATTAAGGAATATACCTTCAATTATACTAGGAACCCTGATCTGATTTAAGGTATACTCCTTAACTAAGGGGTATTGGAGTCTCTAGGTCCACGAAAGCGACATGCAGCAGCATCCTACCCCGAAGGTTGCACAAACCGCAGTTGATGCCGATCCCAGTGGAACCCTGCAAGTTCCGTTAATGTTGCCCATAAAGACCCACAACAGGTAAACAATGCCCTGAATGCAAAGATCTGCTACTCTAAACACTGAACTCTACAAAGCTAAGCCCTGCACGCCTTGAACATTATGAATACACCCCGCATCCCTTAACCCTAAACCCCTAAACCCTACCTTATGCGTATAAACCTACCCTACACCCCTAACCCCTTAACCCTATACCTACCCTAAACCCTAAACCCTTACTCCCTAAATATTCACCAAGGAGCTGGTCATTTGCACGGACGGTTTGCCCTTGGGTGTGGGTTTGGATACCTCCGGCTGCTCTGGGCAGGTCGGCTGAGACGAAAACAAAGGGGAAAAGGAGGGACCCTTAATGGGGACCCCTACCCTGCAATGGGGCTATATAATGGGTTTATAATGGCTATATTAAGAGTATATACCCAGGGGTCCTTATGAAGGGTCCCTCCTTTTCCCCTTTGACGAAAACTTGGACACCAAGACGTTACAGTTATAGGTTTGTGGGGCTTTTAGATAGGGGTTTAGGGGCTTATGGTTAGGGGTTTAGGATTTTAGGATTTAGGGTTTAAGGGGTTTAGGGACTTAGGGTTAGGGATTTAGGATTTTAGGATTTAGGGTTTAAGGGTTTAGGGTTGTAATGTAATGACCAATTTATTATGGTTATAGTATAATATACCCCAAAACCCTATTCTAGTTTACTTTGACCGCTTCGCATCGCCCGCCTTGGCCCGCTGCACACAAATGTGCCGAACCGAATGAGTGGGAGGTGTTTGTCAAAGGTATGCATCCGGAGCCTGCATCGCTACCCGGTGAAAAGTTGAGCCGAGATCTTGCAGGCGTCCAAACCCAGCAGTCTGAGTGTACAGGGGGTTGCTTCTGCGCAAGTAGAAGCGCGGTGCTTCGTAACTTTCAGTAACTTTGGCCTAGACGCAAACCCCTAACCTGAATTTCTCATAAGTAAACCCTCAATAGACGGGGCGTGCGCGCAGGGGGTGGCCAGGGGTGGGGTATGGTGGGGTGCTGGGAGGGGGGGTGGCTACAGCGAGCTCAAATCCTTTGGAGGAGATTTCACCGCGGGACCTGCAAGCAAAGTCATGGGTTCACAGAGACGAGGGTTGGGGGCGGATCAGGTGGCAGTTTGTCGGGTGCGGTCACCGGGGAATAGAGGGAACAGGAACCTCTGACCGCTTCGGGGGGGGGCCGAGGCGAATTAAGGCTCCTGCGGTAGGGCTTTTAGATCTGGTTTTCGGTCATTGGGGATTATGAGGGCTTTAGGGTGTTGTTTTTTTTTTAGTTTGTTGTGATTGTTATGATTGTGTGAGCAAGGCAGGGTTTAGCGATGCTAGTTTTGAGGAGTCTTGAAATGGTATGCTACTCTTTACATAAAAAGAAGAGGCCATGAGGATCATGTTGTAGATCCATAACAAGCATGCTGAGTGGTTATGCAGATCCCTGACTCGAAGTAGTGGGTGCGTTGGGTGCGTGTTGAAAACTCATCAAGCCCCCAATGCAACCATGACCGAACGTTTGAAACTTCAGAACACCCCTTCAACTGTAATTGCAGTCCGCAACTCCTAATCCCTCAACTCCCCATACCCTAAACTCTTACACCCCGAACCTGAACCCTAAACTCCTAAACCCTATAAACTCTGTTCGCAGGTCGTGAGTGGGGAGATCTGTGAGGTGACCTGCGCCAGCGGCTACAGAGGAACTTCGTCGACGTATCTCTGCAACCCTTTTACTGGCAGGCCATTGGGTCTGAGGGTTTAGGGGTTTAGGGTTTAGGGGTTTAGGGTTTAGGGGTTTAGGGTTTAGGGTTTCCTGGTATGTCGAGTTTAGGGAGGAGTAGGGGTTGAGTTTAGGGTACTTAGCTCCGAGGGTAGGGTTTAGGGTGCAGGAACTAGGGTTTTGCAAGTTTATGGTTTAGGGTGGGGTTGGTCGGACAGAATTTACATTTCAGGGTTTAGGGTTGAAGGCTTAGGCGGTTAATGATTATTGATAGGCTTAGGGTGCCTGTCTGTTATAGTGCTTTCCATCATGAGTACGACTCATGCATGCTGGCACATTGCAATGTTTGTGTGTACTATGAGTGGTGCTTTAGCTGCTATTCTCATTCTAAGTAGACTCTGTTGCTTGGCGATGCAATCCTGCATCCATGTTTTTGCTGCTTGGAGGGTCGCGGGAATTAGTAAGTGGGTATTAAGTAGACTTACAAGCACCCCAAAATGGACCCTAATTGGGGAAAATAACCAGTTACCAAGTCCCCCGACCCTCCAAATACACTTCCTAATGAAAGAACCTGCTGCGCCTAGAGTCCCGGAGTGCTCAATATAGGGGCCTTAATACAAACCCATACTATTCTGGGGGGGTCCTTTATTGTATTGTAACTCTGTAATTAGAGTATAATGGGCCCCCAAACCCTGTTCGGCCCTATTGTAATTATTAAGGCCCCGATATTAAACATGAAGAACGTGCCAGCGACTGCATTTCTGCAGGTTCGACGGTACCCCGCCCACTTGCGAACAGCGTCCCAGCTTGGTTAGGATTTTAGGCTTGTTAGACATGTTTTGATTCCTTCGGAGTGGGCTTATATTCCTTTGCTCTGCTGGCCCTGGCGGGCAGAGGACGTTTTGTAACATCTGGTAACCATTGCAGTTGGCAGTTACTTATATCTATACTATTTATACCAAACAGTGAAGCCAACATGCGGTGCTGCATGTCACTATGAACAAGTGGCAACAACAAATGAAAGATACCTTCCAAGTTTGCAAATCCCTCACCGTCCGCCCTACCTTCTAGGTCCGTCCTCGGCGGGAGGCAAAAACAACTTCGTGGCAGTGTGGCAATGCCGGATGCAGCACACCGTGACTCAAAATCTAAAACTTCTAAAACCCATGTAAAGCCTTGTAGAAGCCGTTAAAGCCCCTACAAAAGCTCTTGAACAGAAGGGCCCCGACAACCCCAACAGCCCATAACCTCCCTAGCCCTACCTTTCCAACAAGCAAGAACAGGCGTTTAGGATTAGGCTTAAAAATGGCGTAGGTCCTAAAATCCGCAAATCCTATATTCCCGAAAACGAAAACCCTAAACTCTGGTTGAAACATGGACCCTTCTATTTTGAAATGCAGCCCATCCACTCCGGTTCTTTTCAAATAAACCCCAAACCCTTGAGAACCTAAACCCAAGGGTCGTCTAAAGAAAAGAGACCCAACAAGAGCTGTGCAGGTGGGAACAACAAGCCAACAAAAACCCAGACCCTAAACCCTAAACCCCTAAACCCTGGTTTGAGAAAAACCTGCGCCGAGGCTCCGATGTGAGACCCGTGGGCTCCCCAACGCAGGGCTCTACGACGTCACCGGCTGCACCGTTCGCGGGCCAAGAGTGAGGGCGGTTTAGGGTTTATAAGGTCTAGGGGCGGGCACATGGGTGTTTCCGGAAATAGGGGGCCCTAATATAGTACCCAAATCAATGTTTAGTAGGATCCTTCTTATAGGGACCCAAAATAAGGTACCCCGTATTTTCGAAAACTCCCATATACAAGTCTTTGCAAAAGGGTTTAGGGGCCGAAAGTCTGAGTTTAGCGTGCCCTAAGAGTTCGGGCTTTAAGGTATTCGAGGGGTTTTGGAGCTTAGGGTTTAGGGTGCTGGAAGGGTTTATAGCCCAAGTTTTAGGGTAATAGCAGGGTTAAGAGCTTAGGGCTTTTAGTGGTAAAGAGTTTTAGAATTTGGGGTTAGGTTACTAGAAGGGTTTAGTTAATTGTGTACTACAATTTTTATGGCGAATGATTGAGGATGTTTCTTGATCGAAGTTTGTTAGGTTACGCGATTGAGATATCTTCGTAGTCGAGTAATCTCGAGTACTTTAGAGCAGGGCAGATAACGCGTCGGATGCACTCGGACTACTTAATCGTAGCGGAGATCCCAAATCCCGAGCCAGAACAAGCTTTGGGCCTGGGTTGGTGTTGCACTTGCACAAGGACCTGAAACAAGAGCATGGGTATGGTGCCGGGATCGTGGCACAATGGGGTCGGAATCATGTTATCCCGTTAACGTCCCCTTACATATTTTATTCTACACCCCAACACCCCAATTGAATTTGTTAAGGCCCGATTGTTATGGGCTGAGTTCATTGCCGTGACCCGAAGCTATGTCCTCAAGTCATACACGCATGCTGCCTTCAACTCTCCCCCCCCGGTCCCTTCACCGCCATCACAAAGCTTTTACTCCCCCCGCACATCCCTACACCATAAACCCTAACCCTAGAAACCTAAACCGCCTAGATGCCTAAATCCTTCGACAAAAACTGAGGATCCACCGCCCTTGCTCGGGGCCTTCTGTGTGATCTCCTGCCCTGCGGGCCCTCCTCTCAGATAGCTTTGGGTTTGGGGTTCAGAGAAGACCCTGCCGTTGAGGAGTGTTCGCTGGCACACAATCCAAGCATGCTGAAAAGGGTTGGTTTTGCCTTAAAAACCCCAGCCCCGAATAGTCCCAAAGAGCGAAGGTCTGTCACAATGTCCCATTCTCGTCCTTGGTGCCTGCAGAATTCTAGCTATATTTTGCACCCAAAGCACAAAAAAGTATTAAGGCCGTAGTTTAACCGCTGAGTGCTCCAAGCTTCTGGTTCAATGGCAGTCGAAGCTTGCGGGCTTTCAGCTGCAGGGTGTCGAGTTTGAGGGTTTGGGGGGTTGAAGGTTTAGAGTTGTAGGCTAGTAGGGAAAGGCTGTCTGGAGTCGGATTCAGGGTAGAGCCCGCTTGTGTCGGGATTCTTGCGAACCATGTTTTGTAGCAAGAGTTCATGCTGCTTCGGGCTCGTGGTTCAGGGGCAGTCTCTACGAAGGAGTATATGCCTCAATATAGCTGTACAACTTACATTGCTCAATCCCTCGTTCTTAGTCGTGGACTAAATCCTTGAGCCGCCAGTGAACCCAGGCTACATTCCTGCAGAGTCATCGTACGAGTGCCTGAGTCTCTCCGGCACGTGTTGAGAAGTCTTTCATAGGAGGCCAAAAGGGGTTTTAGCCCATGGGGGTTTAGTAGGGATTAGGGTTGCCATAATCATTAATAGGGTTCATATTAAGGAATCCCTACCCCAGGAATCTTAAACCTCCCTTTTGGCCTGCCATCAGTCTTACTTGACTTGGAGGTTCATGGGTAGTTGTAAGTGGGGTTTATCGGTTGAAAGAAAGGCAACAAAGATATTCATAGCATATTCTAACCCAATAATGAGTCGTATAACCCCACTTGTATCTATCACATGCTGGGGCATTTCCCGGTTCTCAGGCACGTTGATTTCTAGCATGTTCGTTGCAGGAATGATGCTCAGAAGAACGGTGTAACAAGCACCGTTTTAGGGGTGGTGCCAATGGTGGCCGTCATGATGAAAGCGGAGCTAGGGATGTCTGGTTTCTATGGGCTAACGGCTAACGACCACATCAGTCATCCCTTCCGTGGTAAGATGAAACGGCACCGCACCCCCCACCTCCGTGTCGTGTCCCAGTTTGCATTTCTACTGTCAAGTATGAGGATCTTGATCTTGGTCCTGCGCTGGCTTTTGCTCCTTCTCCTGCTGCGTCTTCTGCGCCTGCTGCTCTTGCTGTTGCTCTTGTTCTTGCTTCTGCTCTTGCTCTTGCTCCCCCCGCTGCAAATTAGGTTTTGAAGCCCGGGGACGATTTCGGGAGGATTGGTCCAAAAGAATTTTTGTTACAAGGGTGGGTGTTTCATAAATGGGGCAAGGGATTACAGGACCTGCGGTTCAAACGACCTGTACCTGTACCGCTGGAACGATCCAACCGAAGACTTCGAGGGGTAATTACAGGTTTCAACTCTGAACCGTCTAGATCTAGAGCCTATCCGCACCTAACTTTCTTCACACAAACCCTAAACCCTAAACCAAAACCCTAAACCCTAAACCCTGCCAGGCAACCAGCGCATGGTCGGTACGCCGCCGACCTGCAACAGGCGCCGTCCGGTTTAGAGGGAACTCCAGAAAGTTGGAATATGGTTTCAGGGTAGGATACCTTACAATTTACCATAAAGGGTTTAGGACAATCATATTCCAACTTTCTGGCTTTTACTTTAGGGTTTGGAGTTTGGAGGTTTAGGTTTTTGGACTTGCCTGGTTCAGCTTCGGGGTTGCAACTTGTGTGATAGAAAATTTGTAACATGAGTCCTCAAAACCCCTTATCATACTTACAGGGTAGCACATTTCAAAGCTATGATGATGATGACTAGTATTATTGTTATTGTTGAACTCATGAGTCACAGAGGTCGGTAGTTCAATCCAGCGGCTTGGATCGATTTTGAACTCTGCAGGGGAATGGGGGGAGGGGGGCATGCACTGTGACACTGTGACAGGATCATGCATTCAGGATTCTTTAGCAGACTCTGCTACTCGACAAGTACAAGGAGCCTTTAGGAGCGCTTATAAAGAGCTCCATGCATAGCCCAACTCGTAAACTCTTGCGGCACCCCTGTGTCGCCGAAGCAGTAGCATCTGTCCGGTCGGTTGGCATAGAGGCACTTGCATTTTAATGGGCTCTTAGAATCTACCCAGGTTTAGGGGCTTGGGACCAAGATCTGCGGTGTGATAGTCAGAGCATTGTCGATTGTTACATTTCCGATCTGTAGAGAGCCTTCGGTTTACAGTTCGGGTTTGAGCAGGCAATGCACACAAACAGGCAAGATAGCATCCTGCGCGTAATGGTACCCCTGTAGCAACAGGACTACTAGCAGGGTCTTCATATACCTAAAGACTTTCTACAATACTAGACGTAGTATTGTGAATCATATTCGAAAATCACTATGCATTACAATACTAGACGTAGTATTGTGATTCATATTCGAAAATCGTTATACATAACCAGCGTGGCTTGGCAAAGCCTCCCTGGAAGGCTTCCTTGCGACACGGCCACCCTGCCCAACTCGGCAGGCAGACCTTGCTTTTGCCTTTACTAACCGTTGATATTGGAGGAGCTAAGGAGCCAGGGATGATGATAATCCCTATCAAACAAGGAGCTAAAGATCCAAGGGAACCCCAAAACCACTGGTTAGTTTACCTAGCAAAACCTAGATTTGTGTGGGGTCTTACCGTGATTCTAAAATAGTTAAGTTTCTCTCTAAGGCTTCTGCATTTAACATAGCAAAACTTCTTTTGTAGTGTACCTATTATCGGTTCTATATTAGCTAATTAGTGTTCATAATCAGAATACGAACCTCCTTATAAAAAAGTCTGCGGCACGCCGTGGTTCGGCCGTCCTAAATCGGTGTTTGTTCCAAAAATTGCAGTATGTTGTGACCTCCACTTCGCATGCTGCGTAGCAAAACCTTTATTTTCGAAGGGTTCGTATAGATTCTATACTAGTTAATTAGGGCTCAAAATGACCTACAAAAAAGTTGGTTCTGGTAGGTTAAGGTAGGCTTTTGGCTTTGGGTTTGGAGGATGTACGACAACTCTAGCATCGATTATCGGCCCCCTTAGCCTTCTGAATCTGTCATGCCGGTGATGTACTTGCCTTTCAATTTGTAACTATACTTGCAAGTCTGCAAGGTGTTTGCAGTTCCCTATCTGGCGGTCGGACCACGCAATGCAGAAGGCTACCAACCCTGCGCCCCCTGAACGGTTAAAGTCTATAACTATAGACGCTAAAGGCCCCGCAAAGCCCTTCAAGACCCTCAGGAACATAGGGCTTTCATAATTACCTATACTATTCTGGGGGGTCCTTATTATAATTACAGTATAATAGACCCAAAACCGCATGCTACTTATCACGACCCTCATTACACCTTCGGCTTCTGGCAGGGCTGGATGTATCCAACTGCTTGGACAAATTCGCTGGAGAGTCCTGCGACATCGGCTGCCTTTCAGGTCGCTAACTTAGATCGTGAACAGGGGAACTTTAAACTTTTTGGCCTTATATTATATATATGGCTCTATTTTCGCAAGATGAACTTTTTGGGGGCCCGGTTGTTGAAGAAGAGAGCTTCTGCACAGTTTGGAACCCCTTGGGGTGCAGGATTCCAGGTTGACAGTTTTGGAGTTTAGGGTTGGACCTCTAACGTTAAGGAGCCGAGCAAGCCCCACACTACAGAATCCCTGTCAGGCTACGCCGGGGCGGCGGACACGTTTCAATGCGACCTCTCCGGACAGTTTGTTGGGACAGAACCCTTCTGTATTCTCAAGGAGCCGATGGTTTAGGCGTGACGTTGCAAGCCAGTTGCAAAAGGGTTTAATATGGGGGCCTTAATAATTGCCTGTATTATTTTGAGGGTTCCTTGTTATCAGTATAGTAATAATGGGCCCCAAAACCCCGTTCGAATTTTTTAAGGCCCCCATATTGCGGTCTTGGGCTTTTATGAGGCTTCTTTTTAGGGGCTTGTAGGGCTAGAGGGTCTCGTGAGGCTTTTACAAGCGTTTCAGGCTCAGGGTCTTAGAAAGCTTGTGTAGCTAAGGGTTCTTATTCTTATAATATGGCCCCTGAACAGCCCTCTATACCCTAAACCCTTAGGGGTTCCTTTAAAGGTTCCTTCAAGGGTTCCTTTGAAGGCTCCTTTAAGGGATCCTTTAAGGGGCCGTTCCTGAAGGAGCCGAGGTTGTCCGCCTGGGGAGCTGCGGGGTTTCGAAGGCTTTGAGGGTGGCGAAGGCTCAGGCTTGTGAGACCGTTTGTGCTCTGCGGGTGCATGATATTATATAGGGTTTAGGATTTGGCCTGGTTTGACGTTTAGAACGCCTGAGAGAGAGCGAGAGACAGAGAGAAAGAGGGAGGGAGAAAGATACAGAGAGAGAGACAGAGAAAGAGACAGAGAGAGGGTTTACCCAGAGGCCCCGTAGTAGTTCCTTATTGGGATTACCTCATAGGATTCTATATATGAACCCCAAAAGGAACTACTTTGGGGCCTTTGGGTAGGGAGCAAGGATGAATGTCAGATCTCGGGCTTAGGAGTGCGCGGGCAGAAGGCCCCGAGCCCTGGTTCAGATCTGAACTTCAGAGCTCGGCTTAGGCTTTAGGGTCTAGGGTTTATAGGGTTTAGGGTCTGGGTTTATAGGGTTTAGCTTCTTGGGTAAATAGGGTCTAGGGTCTGGGGTTTAGGGTCTAGGGTTTACAGGGTCTAGGGTTTAGAGTCTAGGGTGTAGGGTTTAGGGGTTAGAGTTTAGGGTTCGCCCAGACCCTGCAAGGTACTGTAGTATTTTTTGTTACTCACCTCAGTTTCCATAGGGTCCGAACCGAAAAGGTGCAACATTATTAAATTATAGGGTCTAGGTATGGGTTCAGAACCAATCACAACCTCCTCCAGGAGTGCTTGATTCCCACCTTCTGGGCTGAAGACCCGTCCTTCAACACGACGTGCGCTCGTCTGGATGGATGTTTGTTTTTAAGCATAGAGACTGTCTTCTGGTAATGGGCATGTAGGCGTTTTCGAACACCTTCATAGCCAGCAAATCTTCTGGCAAGCATCGCAAGACAAGAATCAACAAGTACTTGTAGATTGTAGCTTATCGGTCTAGTCGTGCAAAGGGGCTGGTGCAATGCATTAGGTGTATGAGCTGTCATCAACCGACATCTTTACAGCCGCCGTCGCCTGTGAAGCGAGAGATGCCATGCTAGTTGTGTAATGTTGGACGAGAAACAGACACAGGTGTGCCGGAACGCAGCACGGAGACAACTGCATCGCGCAGTGCCAGCAAGGCTACACAGGCGCGGTGGTCCTAAAATGCCTTTTTTTTCAGTGCAGTGGAAACGACATTCATGGGTGCTTGTCACGGCACTTGGAAGGCCTAACAGTACCGGACTTCGAAGCCGTTCATAGAAGTGCGATGATTTTGACATGCCCTGTCATGCATACAACCCTTCTTACCGCTTCCTCGTGCAAATCCATGCAACGCCGCATTTTCGTCACTGACATGCGGTGTTTCGTCACTAGACGATAGCCCCGAACCCAAGCGCACTGTCCCCTCCTAATCTTCCAAACCATCGTGTATCCCGGCATATGACTCCCATGCAAATATCGAGCCTTTTCGTGACAGGCATGCCGACCAGCATCCTCTGTCAGAGCGGGCAGTTGCGCGGAAACCTTCCGCAATGCCCCACATCAGCAGTCATCGCCAGCAGTCCTGATCGTCAAAGCTTGCGAGCGCGCGTGGTTGATACCTTGTTTTCCTGAGGGTCTGTGTGCCCAGATCGTACGTACATTGGTACTGACAACCTATAACGGGACTACTTTAAGCCCAAAGGATGGTTATGCTGTTTGGGCACATGAACCCTTAGGGCTTAGACCTGTGGCAGATTCAAGGTACAGGCCGACGATCAAACACACGACACTCCAAATCCTGAAGCCTGCAGCTGACAAGGTGTGGGCCTTCCCTGCTCCTTCGAGGGATTCCAGCATCGCTGGCTGCAGATGGACTAGGGGTGTAGAGCTTAGAGTTGAGGCTCAGGTTTTCGGATGTTAGGGTCCTAACTGGCGGAAGAGCGGCAGGCTACCCGGTGTCATGGTGTGCAAGCCTGCAGCAAAAAAAGGATGTGGGAGTTTGCGAAAATTGGGGGGGTCTAAACCCGATTGCAAGAAGGCCGCTCGGTTTGGCAGGTGAGGCATTACCCACAGGCCCCATAGTAGTTCCTTTTTCGGACTACCTTATAGGATTCTATAGATAAACCCCAAAAAGGAGCTCCCTTGCTGTGCGCGCTGAGGTTTGGGACGGGAGAAGTGGCGACGGACTGTTCCTTGGATTAGCCGCTTCAGAGGGACAGAGTCCCTCATAGCTAGGATTCAGAAAAGGGTCCTCAGAAGGCCGCTAGACTAAGCAAGCGTTACTATGTGGGCTCTACTTGGAGGGTCGGGGGACTTAGTAAGTAGGTAGTAGGGAGACTTCTAAGTACCCTAAAAGGGACCCTAATTGGGGTTATGGTACTTATAAGTCCCTAAAATAACTAGTTACTAAGTCCCCCGACCCTCCAAGTAGAGGACACCAGTCGCAATCCTGAATATGGGATCAGGTTTCGGGATTTACCGAAAGGGTTTACGAAGTGCATGCCCTCCATTAGGGCCCCACAAGGCTTATGCAGGATGCTGCATTTCCGAATTTGAAGACGCATAATTGACGAGGCGGGCCAGGACTTCAGAATTCGGGGTTGGAAGATGAAAAAAACACATGACCTACACCTAAATCCTAAACCCTGTGAGCTAAGTTGGCATGACTGGAACTGCGTCAACCCTATACCCTGAACCCAGTAGCTGTTTCTGCTGCAGCTCGTACCCTCAGAGCCACGCAGCTGCACTAAACTTTGGGGTGCATGCTTTAGGTGTTTTCAGAATGTGCATCCAAAACTCTCTTCTTTGATTTAGGGTGTCCTCAGCTGGAAGGTGGTTCAGAACACCCTAAACCCTGACACCTAACCGCTAGAAGGAAGACCGTATATCAGCATACTGGCTCGCTATTAAGAACCGCCACCAGAAGCACAGCATTCTTGAAGAGATTCCTAGACTGTCAACTTTGTAGAACCTTTTTGACCCTCCTTAACGAACCTGTACAACTCATCAATGCCGTATCGGCCCAATACAAAACCACATAGGAGCGGACAAAGCCCCTGCACAACGCGGTCACAACAGTGTATCCTATATCAGAAGGTTCCTGGGGAAGGTGTCTTCTCAGCTTCTCCAAGCCTGAAGCCAGCCATTCCTTATTTGAGGCTTCGACACAACGACCGGGCAGAGCTGCCAAGTGTCCTGCACCCGCGGCTATGATCTTGTAGGCCCCTTGCAGAGATTTTTGGCTTAGGGCCTCGTAGCTCCATGCCACGGGGTTTAGGGTGTAGAGTGTAGAGTGTGGGGTGTATAGGGTTTAGGGTGTAGGGCTTATAGGGTTTAGGGTGTAGGGTTTATAGGGTTTAGGGTGTAGGGTATATAGGGTTTAGGGTTTAGGGTGTGTGTGTGTGTATGTTAGGCATTTGCGATTTCAGGGATCTGAGATGTCTCGGAGGTGACCCCACCATCTACTGCCAACCAGATGGAAGCTTCTCCGCATCCACATCGGTGCTGCTGCCGTGACTTGTGATTTCTGTGACGCATCACCCAGAGAGTCCAATATCCCTTAATTCAGGCATATACCTTAACTCATATAAGGGGTCCTACTCTAATTTAATGTATATTCCTTATTTAAGGGATATTGGAGTCTCTGGGCACTGTTGAGTTCGTATCCCCTAAAAGCCCCGAGGCTCTAAACCCTGAGCTGTGTGTTTTCGGTGATGGCGAGCCGATGCGCAAAATCCGGGAGGATATTGTCGCTGGCTGACCAGCTGCTTTCAGAAAGCGACTCGGGTCCGTGCGCGGCTTCGCGCCAAGTGCAAGGCTTTAAGTTAAGACTCTAAGCCCTCTAGACTACACGTTGTGTGGGAAAAAGGCCTTGACAAAACAGTAACTGTCGGATATACAGTATAACTGTATAAGCTTATGTGTAGAGTCATGCATGCATATATGCATGTGCAAGTATCTGAAGCCAAACTGCGCTGAAGCGAGAGGACATCACTTCTCAGCTCGCAAAACTTCAGTCCCAAAGTCCCCCTAAATACGTAAAGTAAAAGCCACAAAGTTGGAATATGATTATCCTAAACCCTTTATGGTAAATTATAAGGTATCCTACCCTGAAACCATATTCCAACTTTCTGGAGTTCCCTTTAAAGCCACAAAGCTGTAAACCCCCAGAAGCCGGTGTGGCCAGGTGTGCAACCCCACGACCTGCGGGAACCTGGGGGCGGTGTCGCCCTTCTCGCCGCTTTGGGTGGGCGACTCCTGTGACGTCATGTCTTTCGGACAAGCGACTTGACGGATGAGCTAGGGCTCTACCAGGGTTCTAGGCGGACTCTGCAAGCTCTCTAGCAGTAGGGTTCAGAGGTTTTGGGGAAAACGCTTCAGGCTTTAGTTTGAGCTTAGAAAGCACTAATACACGTTGCCAATCTTGAGCAAATATGTCAGAAACTGGGCAAACAAAAATCCAAATCATACGCGACCGAATCTGAAACTCCTCGCTCGGAATTGCTAGAGTGACCTCTACCCTTCCTGGCTTCGTGTCCTGATCATCACATTATGAAGTTTTTAGTATGGAAGCATCCGGCTCACCTGCATGGTGTCTCCTTCTTCTGCGCCTGCTCATGCTGTGAGGTGTGCACAGCCTTTTGTGAGATGGGATACGACATCGTTGGGAATGCAACGGTGCTTCTTTGCGATGATGCACCTGCCAGCAGTGCATCTTGGAGCAGAGACACGCTCAGAATCACTCAACGTCCAGTCCTGTCATAAGTAAGGGCCATGGTGACAGGATCCCTGCCAGCACCCTTATAACTAGTATTCATTCTACTGGAGATATTGGGTAAGCAGGATCCAATATGTATGAGCTGTGTATGGATGAGTCGGGGTGTCGGGGTGGAAGCACAATCGGTTTTCAGGATGTAGCCGTGCATTGAGTCAGTAAAGCGAAAGTGCCAGACAGCGAGTCTTTAAGTCTTTCGTCTGCAAAAGATCACGCCAGTCGTGAGCTCCAAGAAATGTGACGGCTATCCATGCGCAAACAGTAATCAGTCTGGCGGCTACCGCAGTTCACGCAATGCCTTGAGACCTCCAAACCAAAGAACCACCATAATCACCAGCTACTCTTGTCAACACGCCTATAGCTTTTGAAATAGCTTCTCGACTAACGCTGATGATCACGATCCACATTCACATGCCGATGACTCTTCTAAGATATGGCAGGGCCACAGGGCGAAGAGAAGAGAACAACTACAAACATACTGTTCATTATGCCCTTCATGAACCTACTTATCATCATTGAGGACATTATCTTCGACTGTAAAGCCCTAATCAAGCCCGTGTGAATCCCTGTAGAAGCGTGGACAACGCACTCATACAAAAAAACCAAGAAGCCCTAAACCCCCAAACCCTTTCCCACCACCCTGCATCGTAGGTTCGTCCTAGCCAGGCGGGAGGCAAAAAACTCTTTCCCAGGCAGGCTTCACCGAGTTTGTTCCGGGAACAGCGCAGAGCTTCCCTGCGGTGGAGTCCACCGGGCCGACCTGCGTGGCTCGCTGAAAAGCTGGGGCCGACCTACTTATAGGGGACTTAGTAACTATAAGGGGTTCCTTTAGGGACTTTAGGGTTCCTTTAAAGGGACCTACAGGGATTCTATAAGGGTATAGGGTTTAGGTTTAGGGTTTAGAGTGCTTGGAGGGTCTTTAGGGGACTTAGTAAGTAGGTAGTAAGTAGACTTATAAGTACCCTACAAGGGACCCTAAGTGGGGGTATGGTACTTATAAGTCCCTGGAATAGCCAGTTACTAAGTCTCACGACCCTCCAAGTAGCAGTACGTGGAGGTTCATGGGCAGTTATAAGTGGAGTTATAAGTAGGTAGCTATACTGATACTACCCATGAACCTCCAAGTAGAGTAGGGAACCTTTAACTCTTTTGGGGTATTATAATCCTTATAGTCGGCTCGCTACAAAAAGCCGGGTGTTTTTGAGGTGGAGGGTTTAGGCTTTTGGGGTGTTGCTAGTTTGCCTCTTGTTCCAAAAGGTCTTGGTTTTTGTTTCGCTTTTTGGCTTTAGTCGGGGGGGTTTGGGCTTGGGTCTCGGGTTTCAGTGCCTTGCAGGCCCACTCTCTATGACGCTTTTACTGCGGATGTATCACGAGGTGCTATGCATGGTTTCTGGGTTCGTGTCGAAAGGCTGGAATGGAACAAGCTGATAAGGGTAATCGTTCCCCCTTAAATTTTCTGCAATACAGCAGGGACCGCACCTTCCAACAGGCAATCGAACAGTGGTTTTATTTCTAGGGGATGAACCCTAAACCCTTTAACTCCTAAACCCTAAACCTCCAGGCATGTCCGACAGTGAGTGCTGAAATCCTGAAACCCCGAACCCCTAAACCCTAAACTTGAACCCTAAGCCCCTGAAGGCCTTCAACCCTAAACACCCCACGCACTCAAGCTTGGACTACGAGGATCCCCGGCCGTGCACCATTGGCATCCCGAACGTCTTGGGCGCCACGACCGACTGCCCGGGCAAGGTGGCCTTGAGCGATTTGGGAGTTTCCGAAAATAGGGGACCCTAATATAGTACCCTAAATAGTAGGATCCTTATTATAAGGTGCCCCTATTTTCGGAAACGACCATTTTTAGGGTTTAGGATTTAGGGAGCTGGTAGTCCGAAGTTTCGGGTTTGGGTTGAGGGGTTGGGGACTTTTTTGGGAGCTTGAAATCCTGTAGGTGTATGACAGGCTGAGGGTCCTTTGTGTTTTTGGTTGTGCCGGGAGGTTTGGCTGAGCAATAGGGTGCCGCATGGTGTCGGGCGGTGGATTACTAGCAGTTTAGGGCTTGGGGATGAGAGTCAGCTTTGTGGCTTTGGTCGTACCAGCACGGTGACTCCATCGTGTCTTCGGGCGAACATTGTCTTACCAGGTGTTCTTCTTCTGCGTGTTTGAAATCAGTCCAGAAAACTTCAACATGTCTCGACTCTGAGGCCTTAAACCCAAAGCCACTGCGAGCGAGGTACCTTACGGAAAGCCTGCAGCATCATATCTATCCGTCAAGTCTGTCCGAATCCCAAAGCCTCAAACCCTGAATCTTGAACCCACAAACCCTAAACATAAATCTGGATTGAAACATAAATCTGGATTCAAGCCAGGTGACGAGAGAGACCTGCTCAGTGTCGCCGCTCCTAGGCTATGCGCCGCTTGCCTTTACTGTCTTCGCCCTCGGTCCAGGGAACCCGGGATTCCTTCAGGGTTCATGGTTTTCAGGTTTCTCAGTCGCATGCTCAGAAGCGAGGGGCGCTGTCACGAGCACAGTCGTAACTGGCGGAAGAGCGGCAAACTACCAGGCGTCCTTGCGTGGAAGCCTGCAGAACAAAGGGTTTTCGGGTTTGGGGTTCAGGGGTTCATGAAGCTACTTGCGGCTTTTCTTGCTCCGGTGAGGGGTGAACTGCCGGAGTCGTGCTGACTCATGGCAGGGCTTGTTCACGCCCTTCATGGCTATCGCTAACCATTCTTACTATTATTCATTATTTAGTTTCAGTACTATTAGCACTAGAGGTATGATTCGTGTTATTATTGGTAATATTAGTATTCGTGTTCGCACAAACGCGCCAGGAAGCTGCCATCTTCGTGTATCTGTTTCTCTCTTCGCATACCTCCTTTCTGAGCTTTACAAGCCTGACACTAAGTGTCTGCCACCGAGAACGCTTTAAACAGTGCATGTGGCTCGTTGCAAGTGTGAGGCCTACAATACACACCGGCCCAAGCAAGGGGTTTCATTCTCCACCCAGGATTGCGCCGGGCAATTCCAGCACATTGCTTTGTCAGCCAGTCGCGGTCTCAGTTGCGACTGCCAATTACCCAGCAGGGTCCATGTACACGACTATTAAGATTATGGAATTAGGTCCCCAAAACCACACTAGGAATGGTCTTTTCGGACCTACCTGTAGTCTCCATTGTAGTTCCTTTTTGGGGTTACCTGATTATAGGATCCTTCACCCCTAAAGCCCAAAATCCCCTTTGAGACTTTACCCCAAACCCCTAAACCCAAAATCCCAAAAGCACTTTAAATCACTACCCCCAAACCCCTAAACCATAAGCTCTTCAGCACACTACCCCGAACCCCTAAACCCAAACCGTGAAAGCCCCGTAGGACAATACCCTAAGGCCTATGCATACACTGTAAAGAAATTAAATGACAGCATCTTGCCCCCACTCTCAATCCCTAAAAATCAAGATTGGAAGAGAGCGGAAACCTCATTGTAGATGAGATCACTGATGAATCTGAACCGAAAGGGTTCTTGGCATGAATCTCACTTGCCTCCCAGTAACCTCGTCTGTGGACATTGCCTCCAGCCATGCGAGAGGGGAAAACATCTCTCAGAGCCCGAGCCTGGCAAAGTATATAAAAAATACACTAAAACAGAGCAGGTTTAAGAGCCCTAGAGCCCTTCATAACAAGTGCTCACATGGCCGAAATGGGGGGAAATCATGTCAGGACATGGCTCTTGAAAGCAGTCCTTGGTTGGTTTAAGAGTCTTATGTTGTAGGGATCTTACTGATTGGTCTATGGCCGATAAGAGTCTACGCAGCACGAAATGTAACTTTGTGCTTCAAGCTTTCTGTCAACATGAGCTGCCGCTCCCCGGGTTCATTCGGCGAGTTTCATCTTCAGCCACCCTACCCTAACCCTAAATGCCTCGTCTGGCTGTGTCAGAGTTGCGAGAGTGTAAACCCTAAACCGTGTGTCACCCCTCCGCCCCCCTCCGCCCCCCTCTCGCCCCCCCCCTCGCCGGTGTAGTCGTTGCCTTTCTGAGTCCCTCTGCGAAGCTGAGGGTTTCCCTAGACTCCCCCTGCAAGCTAGCCGTCCTCACTGAGCTATACCATCCCACTAATAATAATAGGCCTCGTCTGTTGTGGCTGTTATGGCTACCTTACGGTTTAGGGTGGGGGGGGAGATCCGACTTACCGCCCTTTGCGATGCCGGCTGGCAGGATGGTGCCTTCAATCAGTCAGCTCCAGACATCGTCATCGCCACCTGCCCCGAACCCTCCTTCAGCACGGGCATCGGTGCGGGCCTTAAAGTTGATTCTCTGGGGGTGTTACTTCTGTTTCGCGTGCAGCTGGTTTTGGGGTGCGAAAGAGAGAGATGTATCATGGCGCACAGATCCGTGCCAAATTGTGTTGATCAGCTTTTCCATTGATGTATGCATGTACACAACTAAGAGGCTGGCTCGATTGCGACAGCATGCCACGTGACGGTCTTGTTCTGGCTGACACGTCCCAGAGAAGCTAAGCTCTTCTCAGCGGGCGGGTAATTTTGGACCGAATCTTGAGTAAGAGCCCAAGTATTGGCGAGAGTTGGATACTCAAACTCGCTACGAGGCTAGACTTGCAGTGCCTTGCGACTTCTAGTGGAACCCCGACTCTCTGATACCTACCCAGACCCCCTGGAGGATTTAGAAAGTAAACCCCCGAATTTGGGGCCCTATACTACTAAGGGTACTTTATTGTAGGAACCCCCATTAAGGGATCTACTTTTTGGATCCTCCCGAGGGTCTGGGTAGCATGGCATCCACAACTTGCAACCAGGAATGCGGCTCAACGGTAACCCCAATGGTCAAAACCTCAGTCTACCTGGCATCATCAACCCACGTACACAGTTCGAGGGTAACTTAGCTTACACCTCTGGAAGGCTTCATAGGAGAGAACCCGGAACCCTCAACGCCACCCATCCCGAAAGCTGGCAGGGAGCACTTGCCAGAACAAGTTGGTTGGCGCAGAGTGCTGGGCCTATTGCCAGCTGGATTGGCGCCTGAGACCGGTTGGAACAGTTCCGTTTAGGGTTTAGGGTTTAAGGGTTTAGGGTTCCCGTTGTATAGGATTTGTTGTCTTTCGTGTTGCCGGGACTGCCAGAGTCGATCTGCATTTGTTCGAATTTACGCCGCATTGAGTGGGAAGTATTTCAGGGATGATTCATTAAGTGAAGCCAGTGTGCAGCCTGACCTGTTGGTTTTCAGGTGGATACAAGGCCTTAAGACCCTAGCCTAGACTACTATTCTAGAGCAGATTCGGTGCGATCACAGGTTTGGGGAGCCAGGTTATGGGCCATTGAACTACTTGGGACTCCTTAAGAGTGAGACATAAAGCTAAAACGGCTTCGGGTTTGGGATCTAATTCCTTGAGCCCTCATTTAGATAACAGGCTCTTGGAGGGTAATTGAAGCGAAGAAACAGATCGGGACACATCTCAACACGCTCTCCTGGAGTAAAACTCGCTTCTGTCCTGTGATTACTGTGCAGCACCAGCCCAGTTTGAGGGGATTCGTCATGATTTCGGAGGATCGGAGGATGCAAGCAATATCCCCTGACTGTTCCCGTTCCCATGCAGCTCTCCTATATCAATATACCGCAACCCCTATAAGAAGTGGTAAGGCCCGTGTATGAGGGCTTTAGGGGTTTTGGGTGGTTGAAGGCAGCCCTTAGCTTTGATTCCTTACACATGCCTGCAGCCGAAAAGACCTACCTTTTCAAGGAATTATATATAGAAACCATAATAAGGAACCCTAAAAAGGTAGGTTCCTTAGGGTCCAGGTGAAGCCTAAGGGTCCCTGTTTAACCTTGCCGCATCTTTTCTGAACCCGCACGGTTTAGGGGTTTGGGGTTTATAGGGTTTCCAAAAAGGCCCCAAGAACACAGGCTTTGCAAGGGTTGAAGGGTTTCAGGCTTGGGACATTTTAGGGAGACGTGTCAGCAGACTGCACCGGCTGAGGGTTGGCACTCCGAAGAGATACGAATGCCTGGCCAACACAACCTTGCTCCTTCGCCTGATTCAGAGTATTTTGGTTCAACGGAGCTGTCCAAAGATCGATCGTGTAAATGTTATGCTCTGCCCATCCCAACCTTGTGTTGCAGCACCGCAGCACCATCACTCCGGATAGCCGCCCTGTTTGCATTCAATCTCTTGACAGTCCCTATGGTGCACCGGGACGCTAATCTAATTTTCAGACTACTGTACGCAGCGTTGCGGGCTTGTAACAAATCCTAAACCCACGAAGCTCATGCGAGGTTCAGGGTGGCCGAAATATAGGTTGAGGACAGCGTTGACTTTGTGCGTCCAGTATCGGGTTTCCAGTTTCTTGGTCCTATCGAATTTCTAAGGTATTCAGGGTTTAGGGATTATTGGGTAGTGGGTAGTTTCTTCCTCATGAGATGATTTGTATTCTTGAGGTTGCACTAGGTTAGTTCGGGTGTCGCTGCGGAAGCCGTGCCTCAAGGCCCAGGGGCGCCCAGAGGGCAGTAATAAGTAGCCAGAGACTCCAATATCTCTTAATTAAGGAATATACCATAAATCATATAAGGGGGTCCTACTATAATTTAAGGTACATTCCGTAATTAAGGGATGTTGGAGTCTCGCGGTAGGGGTGCGTATGCGACTTTGCAAAGGACTGAGCGCAGGTCTAATTGAAGGAGTTCCCGGTTCATGTGTGTGGCCCGGGCACAAGCACTTTGATCCAGCCGACAATGACTACCCTATACTTACCATGCTTCTGACCCTAAACATGTACGTGCTAAGTCTCTTGATCCGGGAAGTGAGAGCCGAAAGCCCATACAGCAGCCTTTGCCACGGCACTGGAGTCTTGCACAACTCAGGAATGCCGTTCAGGTTGAGCAACTTGTCTGCTGCAGAACTCGTGGGCATGAGTTTCGACGTTGATTTTCTGGAGTGCATGTAGTCTTCCATTTTCCAAGAGCGATCGAATCGTTTCGCTATGGACGATCCGGCATAGTCGTGTAAAAGGTAGGGCCTCTGTTGGCCCTGAATCTAGCTGTTGTCCCTACAGGCTGGATGATTCAAGGTCTATCTCTTTACCCTACACCTACATGCTCCTGCCGTTTGCCCAATCACGTTGGTTTAGACTTGCTCCTGGCATGTTCTGTGCATCGCTCTCATTCTCCCTTGACTTCGTAAGCCCAGATCCGGAGCACCAAGCTCGTAACATGGTAGGTTCCGACTTCTGACCCCTGAGTCAAGTTCTACTTAAAAGCCTAAACTGCCTGAACCCGCTGTTTGCCCCGGCTGCCTGCGTATGGCGATCTGAAGTTAGATGCGACCGTGGCCCTAAGGGCAATGGGTGCCGAGATGCAGTGCGACTGGAATGGTGTCGTCGCCGCAATGGCTTTCAAGAGTAGAAGTGCTGGAATCAAGCTCCTGTAAATGTGCCAGAGCCCCGCCAGCTATCAAATTGTGTATATAATTACAGAACAACCATCCATTTACAAGAGAGGAGGTCTTAGTATGTCTCAACTTGCCGATGAGGGAGAGCCCCCATGCAAAGCAAGTAGTCACATGTCAATTATACTTAGGCCCCTCACAGGGGCAATTCATACTAGAATCATGAAGCCCAGACATTCTCTAGTACGTAGCCCTTATGGAGACCCCTACACCCTAAACCCTGAACCCTTCTGGAGACCCTTAAAGAGACCTGTGTAAGCGACCCCGACCCTGATCCCTCAAAGAAACCCTAAACCGAGTAGTAGAGTAGGTAACCTTTCACCTTTTTCGGGTAGCATAGTCCCTATATAATCCCTATATAACCAAAAAGGTTAACCTTTAGTTCCCCATGAGGCCCCTAAACCCTAAACCCTGACCCCCAAACCCTAAACCCCTAACCCCTAAACCCCTAAACCCTAAACCCCAAACCCCAAAACCCTAAACCCGACAAGTAGGTAGAAAGCCCTCCCAGGGACCGGCCCCGCACCCGCCCGTCGACTGCAAGCGCTGAGCCCTTGCAACGCTGCCTCAGCAACCCGCGCAGCAACTCATGTTCGTTTTTAAAGGGTCTACTATAAGGGATCTATAAGAGTACCATAGTATGCTCGTTTTCAAAGGGTCTACCGTAAGTTATAGACTATGCGGGATCTATAAGGGCACCATAGCATAGGGGCCCTGCACTATCAGAATAGGGTTTGGGGGTACTTTACTATAATGATAATAGTAAGGAGCCCCCAGAGCAGCGATTAGCTGAAGCCCTGAATGAGAAGGGGTCCGTAGTAATTGAGATGGGTGTGGGGTAAAGTTCTTGTACACCTAGGAAGGGACACAAAACAAAGTTCGATTGGTTTAGCTTACCTTTGGTTAGTAGGGAATGGAGGAATGGGGTACTATTATAGCTACTATTACTACCATTCTTCCATTCCCTACTAACCAAAGGTAAGTTAGAGGACGTTTGGGTGAGTTGGGTGTTGTTTAGGACTGCGGGCTTTCGAGGTTTGAGGTTCTTCGATTGCGGTACAGGGTTTGGGTTTAGGGTTTCGGGCTTTAGGGGTTTAGGGTTTAGGTGGTTTACTTGGAGGGTCGGGGGACTTAGTAAGTAGGTAGTAAGTAGACTTATAAGTACCCTAAAAGGTACCGTAATTGGGGTTATGGTACTTATAAGTCCCTAAAATAACCAGTTACTATGTCCCCCGACCCTCCAAGTAGGGGTTTAGGAAAAAGGGGGTTGAGGCAGCTTGGGGTTTCACGTTCGGCACTGCTTCTTCAGTCCCGACCTCGAAATCTCTTCGAGGTGGCACTTTGGGAAACTTTTAATTTCCCTTATGGTTCCGATAGAGGTACCGATTTACATATACTTTTCAGAGCCCCGAAACTACAACCCAGTCTTTATGGTTGAACAGCTTGGCCATAGCCCAGGAAAGTTGCTGAATTCCAGCATATTTTAACATGCTTCTAGGGTTTAGGGTTGAGGGGGTTGTTACATGGTTTATGGAACCCGAAAGACTTAACTTGTCAACATGGAAGACGCTTCCCGGATCACAGAACATAACTCCTCGAGCCCGAAATCAAACGCAGCATGCATCTACAATGTTTAAATCCTATAAACCCAAGCTCCCTTTGAGGCTTTTACAAGAGCCTGTCGAACCCACCCTTGAAAGAACCCTAAACACTGAACCCCACTGTTGTCAGGTCACCTCTGTGGGGCTCGGGAACCAGCAGTTCTTCAATGACTGCGATGGCAAGGCATGGCCCTAAACCCTAAACCCTGACTTGCTTTCTTGGGCTGCCGAAGATGTATCCGTTTGTACCGGAGTCCAGTCAAGTCTTTCCGTAAACAAGCGACTGCATACGACATGCAATAGTTGGCTCTTGTGGCATGTAGCAAAGCACCAAGCGATCAACTTCGCTCCCTAAACTCTAAACCCTTAGCGAAGTTGTATTTTCAGCCACTCCCACTAGATCGTCTCACTCACCAGGCCTCGAACCACATGCCTCGCCTGTGCGAGCGCCGAAACCCTAGCCATAGCCATGCGAAACCACAAAAAACCGTTGGATCCCTAGGGCCTCTTGTTACGGCTCGCACACTGGCTCCTACTCTTGATGGTCTAAATCCTGCAATTCCCATAATATGGAACATACCATAATTCCCAAAGTCTAGGGTCCTTAAGGGTAATGCAGGATTTATATCATCAACCGTAGGGTAGGCTGGGTAGGGCGCTTGTGAGGCTCTCGCCGATATCTAGTATGTTGATGTATTTAGGTTTCAGGGTGGTTCCTGTGGTTGTTCGAGGGCTCTCGTGGGGATCCGGTAGGTATCCTATAGAGTTCTCATATGTATTGTCATAGGGCTGTTTGCGGCCAGTTCGCGGCAACTGTTTATTTGTGGGGGGCTTGGGCTGGGGGTTTGCAGGTTGGCAGGCAGTCTGCCTTATTTGCCACTGCTTTGGATTGTGTTGTCGTTTGGTCTTCAGCTACGTATGCTTGGAGATGATGTGTAAACTTTAACGCGCAGTCTTGTTTTTCGTATGCTACCCCCATAATGTTCAATACGAGTTTTGAAGCCTTTGGACCCTTGACAGCCAGGCTCACGACGATGTCTGCATCGCCCACTGCAACTTTGGGTGGACCATGTTGGAAACTGCCCCATCCATCTTCGTTTGCAAGAGCGGCAACCTCGTAGGCGCGCATTGGTGGGAGCAGAGCACCTGTTGTGGGTCTAGCTGGACTGTCAGTTGCAGTAGATTTTGCTCGCGATGAATAAATGATATAATAGATATTTATGGAAGTCCAGTCTGTAGCCGGCAAAGATTGTCATAAAGCTATCTCTGTAACATGTCGGGTTTTGAGAAAAGCAGCCTAGACCCTAAACGACCCTTCGCCCTAAGTAGGCACCCCACCAAAGTTATTCATCCGGAAACTCTCGAGCGATCATTCCAAAAAACTACTGATACGAAGGGGCTTTTCTCGCACCGTTAGGGGTCTATGGCTTTTTCGTTTTAGCTTGTATCGTTTACAGCCGCGCCCCGAGTTTTTTGGACTTTGGGTATCGAAGAGCTCGAGGCGTTTAGGGGTATATTTTTTTTGTTCCTAACGTGGGGTACCGGGATCCCAAACCCAACAATCCCAACCCTGAAAGAAACCCTAGCTGAACCGTGAAGACTTTAGACTGCAATCGCTTCGATCCCCGAAAACAGAAGGATTGTATGAGCTACGTAGGTGTTTGCAGGCTTTCCAGCAATTGATCCTTCCAAAAGCTCGGTCTATACTATTTGTGACATGTTGCAACTCTGCTTGCCAAGAACCCTTGAACCTGTGAATGACTGGAGCTTGAGAACAACCATGCTTCGACCTGTTAGTGTGCCACGGCTCCCGCAGTGGCTTGAGATCCATCCACGGTCAAGTTAAAGGGATGCCAAGACCTACGCCCGACACAGCGAACCGTTTCGCAAGCCTATGGGCATCTCAAAATTTAGGAGCTTGTCAACAAATGTCTTGAAACAACAGCGGATTGAGGGTTGTCCAAAACTGGGGGTGACTTGATGATGATCCCTTCTTTCAGGATCCTACTATTCAGGGTTTGAATTACAGCCCTTGGGGTCCTGTCCATTCTGAAACTCCCACAGGAATGTTCTTGAAGCTCGTGAGAAAGCGAGAAACCATACCTGTGAAATTGCCAGGCTTGGGTTATGGATTCGCCACCCACTCCCTAAACCCAATTTCTCGGTTTGCAGGCTCCTCTCTGCCCACTTGCACGCCTTTGCCATGCACCTTGGTGTTTTTTCGTTTTGGACCGCGGTTCACGTATCTCACGTATCTCATCGGTATGTAGCTGGGCACCTTATGAGTGATCATTGTTTTAGAGCTCTTGTTTGGAATAGGGCTGTCAATGAGCCCAAAGTCTGTGCCTTCAGTGGCCGAAACCCTCCAAACTGCTGTAAGCCGTAATGTGGGAGCCTGATCAAGAATCCTTGGGCCTGTATTGGGGTTCCGTATATGAATCCTACTGTTTTGGGGTTATAGGCCCCGGGTTTCTTAGTCAGGTTCTTACATCAATGCCTGAACACTTTCAGCTCGAGGTCTGTACGGCTTCCCGGATGCTCTGGGAGTGCAGCATGCGCCTTCCATGCATGAGATGTCGGAACGAGCCCTGTGCCACTGTCGGATTCAGAGGGTGTGTTAGATGATTGTTGTTGCTACCACCGCTGCAGTCTGATGTTGTCACTTGGCGATGCGTTGTTGCATTCACAGGTCACCAAATCGCCAGTATCTGCCTTGCATTATTTTTCCGTTCGCTCTTGTCCAGGACTGCGACGGCATCCGCACCGCGGAGACATGTACTGCATCCTGCGCTGTTCCAGGCCCCGACCGCTAGCGGAGCGTTGTCGACCCCTAAACCCCGGAACCCAAAACCCTTCAAGCCTAAAGACTCTCTGCGGTTGATGGACCATCGAACCAAGCTTTTCATGCACACAGGTACGCGTTTCTGCTTGCGGAGTATGTGTACTGCATATCTTCTGGACGTCTTCTTCCTAAACCCTTCGCTGCAGCTTCTAACATCTCTCTCTCTCTCTCTCTCGCTCTCGCTGTCTTCCTCTTTCCCTCTCTGTATTTGTCTCACTCATCTCTCTCTTGCTCTCTCTCTCTCTCTCTCTGTCTCGCTTGCTCTTTCTCTCTCGGGATGCCACAGGCCTGATTTGAAGCGTTCGCCCTCGACCCTTCATGCCAATTCGTCGCCAGTACTTTGCTATGTCTCGCACCATCTTACAGCATTGTCGGTTGCCACCAGACAGATCTACATATCACATTTTTCAGAATCTTTGTTAGACCGATGCCGCGAACCAATGGACCCTGCCAACATTCCCAAGTCCTTAGCCTTCTTCCACCTTTAACACCTCCACTTTCTAATCGCAAGCCCTATCCTCTACGGTCCTACACCCCTAACCACGAAAACCCAAACCATAAAGTCTAACCTCCTCTCCTACACCCCATAGACAGACTAAGGTTAGGGACCTTGCTTGTAGCATAATTGATTGGGGTTGAGGGGTCTAGGGGCTTCATTAGACTGTTTCTTGCTGCTTTTAGGTCCATGTTCTAGGCATTCGAAAAAGACCTTGCCTGGCTTGCCGCGTATTGCAACGAAGGTTTCTGCAGTTTCCTACGGGCAGCAGTAACTTTAACTGGGGCTCCTGCAATATAATGTAGAAGCCTGAATAATTACCAATATGAGCCAGATTATCACTTATTATTCCGTACAGTTCCGTAGTGTAGCAACTACACTGTAGTTAGACTTGAATTTACCCCACAACTCTATCCTACGTGTTCAGGCCCCTTTACTCAACCCCTGCTATAGCCCGTACAGCAACCTTTATTGACACCTGTTTCCGAACTCTTTACTGTAACAGGAACCCTATCTATTAAGGCCCCTATTATAAGCGCCCTGCAATCCCACACTTAAACCACCCTATATGTCCACTCCGCACTGGGCGAGGCTACACGTATTCTGCAGGAAATGCGGCACAGGCACCTCGTTCTGAAGCTTTCAGAAGTTGTTCGCCGTTGCCCTTCTCACTTCAAAGTCATAGATAGTGAACAGGGGAACTTTAAACTTGTTGGCCTTAAATTTTATCTCTGTTTTCGAAAGTTAGAACTTTTTGGGGCCCGGTTGTTCAACAAGAGAGAAGCAGTTTGCTTACGCAATTCCTTGAATGCGGTTATCAGACGTCACGGACGTCATGCCTCGATGGTTTTCTTGTTTTGACCCTATAAACCTGAAACCAAGCTGCGAAGCGGGTGGGGATCAAAAGGCCCCTGGTTTAGTGAAGCATGCGATGCCCGAGACTACCTGGGTCAGATGTGGTTTGCATATCTTACCCAGACTTGTCATGATTCCTTGTCGGTACTGTGCGAGTGTAAAAAGTCGAAACCCCAAAAACAACTCAGGGCATGGCACTTCTATAAGCTTTTGTATGACGGTTGGAATATCGAGTAGTTGTATCCCGCTAAGTTGAGTGTCAGTGCAACCCCTAAGCTCCCCTTCTCCGGAATAACGCCCCCATGCTGAACCCGTATGGTGTCTTAAAGTAACACGACCAATAGCCCTTATTATGGTAACCTTTCCGAGAAACCCTAACAACCCAACGTAGTCTGATTATTAAGGCTTCCGGGTTTTACACCTGGATCCGCGATGTTGCTCCCTGGGGAAGTTTTGTGTTCATCGTCGAGTGCTGAGGCTCTCGTACATAAGCGTCTGTTAGGGTTCCTTCTTCGAATAAAGTAATGAAATTACTCAGGGTTGCTGCATATAGCCTTTACTATAACCTCCAAGCCAGTTCTCCAAGCCCTGTTCGAATTACTCAGGGTCGTGTAGTAGTTCTTTAGTAGGTGCTGCTTCTCACTCGCACAACTGACAGGCCAACCCCTACTTGGAGGGTCTTTAGGGGACTTAGTAGGTAGTAAGTAGACATGTAAGGACTAGACATGTAAGGACCCTAATTTGGGTTATGGTACTTATAAAAATAACTAGTAAGTAGACATGTAAGGACCCTAATTTGGGTTATGGTGCTTATAAAAATAACCAGTTGCTAAGTCCCCCGACCCTCCAAGTATGGCCTTTGTTCTTGCCTGGGTACCCGTCACTCCTCTGGAAGAAGCTGGCGGGGATCATGGGTGTGCGGCATCAGGATTTAGAAGTGGGCTCACGCACAAACCCCATAAACTCTAAACCTTCCTAAGCCCTGAAAATACCATAGATAAACCCGAAGGACTTGCCCCACCGCCGGAAAGCCAGGTCTTCACATGTCAGCCGGGCGGCACGGTTCAGGGCACCACTCCCACTTGTGAGCGAACCTCGGTCGAAGATTTGTTTATGCACCATAACTTGGCTTACAAATCCTGTTCCCGGGTTAAGGCATTCATGTTGCATGTTCCCATTGTTTGCGTAAGCCCAGTCTTGTTTTATGTTTTCTTCTTCAGATTTATGAACACTGATGCGTGGATGTTTGAAGGGCTCTGGGGGCTGCACCGGATTGGACATGCTGCTTCGAATCCCTTTTCCGGGCCTTACAACTTAGGGTTTCTAAGTCGGGTTGAGAAAGGGTTTAGAGTTGAGGGTGTAGGGTTTCAGGGTATCTGCCTCAGGCCATTCCCTAGCTGTGAACAACTTTTGAGCCAGGTGTTGTTTTGTCGTAGGCTCCTCGGTATACTGCCCCACGAAATTTTTTATGGGAGAAAAGTACGTGGGTGACGATCCTCAATACTTACGTACATACATACATGCCTACATACATCTGCAGTCAATATCCAAGATCCGACAGAGATGCTATGCTGCTCCAAAAATTAAAATCCGTAGGCTCAATTCGTATAATTAATTAGTACCAGTCTGGTGACCAACTATTTGCCAATGTTTTATCCGATGGTATCAGAATTCAATTTTCCGGCAATAGTTATTCGCCTGTTGTCCTCGCATGTCAGGTATCTCCTGCGCCGACTTGTCCCTTTCTTCGATGTTCTCACACAACTGCATTGGCAAGCGCTACCAGGAGGGTCCGAAGTCCCATGTTACAGCATGTCGCCTTCAACACTACTTGGAGGGTCGGGGGACTTAGTAAGTAGGTAGTAAGTAGACTTATAAGTACACTAAAAGGGACCCTAGTTGGGGTTATGGTACTTATAAGCCCCTAAAATAACCAGTTACTAAGTCCCCCGACCCTCCAAGTAGTCGCTCGAACATGGAAGCAGTGAAGAGATGCTGATACCGTTGAATGTGGTGTACTTCACCATGCCCGCTCCGCTTCAAAGATAAAGAACCCCAAGTGGTACAGAACTCCGAATTCAGACCTCCAGCCCCAGAAGTTCCGACCGTCCTGGCCAGTTTGCTCCGTGTCGAATTATGGCTCTCGTGCATCGTGGCCCGGTTATTACAGACGGGTATAGAGCTGGAACTGCTTTGTGTTCAGGCTGTTGGGTGCGGATCCCCGCCAAGTACAATCCAGCCTGGTCATTAGTTCATTGTTTATGAGAGACGTTCGCCCAGCTCGTCTAATTCGTGCACCCGAACTCTAGATGCCCTCAGCTCCCCCAGCGCAGGACACGTGCGGCGTCAGCTGTTCAACCGGCTATCATCTGACAGGCGAACCTTGTATTCCGTACAGCTGCGTATTGCAATTGACATGTAACGGAACTGCTATGCCCCAAGGCCTGTCCCCTAAAGCCCCCAAAACCCCAAACCCAACATGAAACCCTAAACCCTGAAAATCCTGAACCCTAAACCCTAAACCCCGAAACCCTAAACCCTAAACCCTAACCCTAACCCTTTGATCAAGGCCCTCTGGGCTCCTCCCTTTTTTTCTGCCGAGCCATCGAAAGCCCGAGGTGCCAAAATCCCCCCAAAACGGTCGGGACCTGGCCGTGCGGTTGTAAATGCTGACATCGACAGGCCTCAACCTGAAACGAACTTAAGATCGGTTTGGGTTTAATTTGGGTTTCTGGCCGTTTAGGGTTTAGGATTGGGTTTAGATCCTTCAAGCCTAAGTTTGTCTAAACCCTTTAGCCGCGAAAACTTGAAATTTCTATCGCTTCGTCCCGATGCCAAAGTCCCCAACTCACTGGCTCTAGCAGCCCGGAGTTCTAGAAAGCCGAAGACGAAGCCGACAATTTTAAATCGGGCACCCGAAATTTCCTGGATCCAAGCGCTGACGCCCTCAAGGCAGACCTGGCCCTAAAGCCTCAAAGCCTGCACTCTTGCACCCTTGAGCACTCAAACTTAAAAGCCAAGCATCTTTGCCCTACACCCCTAAACCTCTCAACCCAAAACCCCTAAACCCTTGAACTTGTAAGAGGTTGGGGCTCCCAGTTCATCTGCCAAGCGGACGGAACCTACTCGGGATCCCTTCCGGCGCCTCGGTTTGTGTGGTTTCTCGAGGTTTTGTTTTGCGCTGAAGTGCCGTGATTAGCTTACTGCTCTCTTTCTCTCTATTCCTGTCTATCTCTCTCGATGGTGATGAGCGCCTTGCCTAAATGGTAGGGTCGGCATTCTAAAGACTCCTACCTGTGTAGTAGAGTAGGTAATTTGTATCACAGGTTGTTAGAGAGGGCGGGAAGATAACTGATATAGTCCTAAACGTTAAACATGGGTGCCCCTAGGATACGGGACCAGTAAGTCTAGGTAAGGACCCAGTAGCCAGTAGTATTGAAGCGCTCAGGCCTGTTCGGGCAACCCATGCACCGCTGACCTCCCGCCGTCAAGTCGAAGTTGGAGCGCCGATGGCTGCGATACCCTGACCACAGGTGCAGGGACATGCAAATTGGAAACCGAGTGTGTGTGTGTGTACCGATACAATCGCACCCGTATGTATGTATGTATGACTGTATGCATGCTTGGATGTATGGATGGATGGGTGGGTGAGCGGATGGATGGATGCATGCACGCATGCGTGCATGCATCCGCGCATGTATGTCTATGTCGGTCGTTACATGTATGTATACGTATGTATATATATATATACACACATACTTATGTATATAATTATATAATGCATTTTTTGTTTGCATAACTTTGGCATCCATACCGAAGTGTTACATCATCTTTGAGGCTCTTGAAGCTTGGCTGGTTTGGCAGCTCTCAAAGGTGCAAACACATGGATGTCATCTCGCAGATATTGGATGAAGCTTGAGAGCAGACAGAGGCTAAACGGCTCATGACGGTTTCCCTTGTAATTCCACTCTTCGGATGATGTCGTTCCTGATGGCGAAGCTTAAGCTGTTGCAGCAACGGATGCATGCGAAGTCAAATCCTCGAGACCCTGAACCCCAAACCTTTAAAGATCCGCCCATCAAGCTGCGAACAGACAATCGCCCGAGTCCTCCGTAAAGGAATTCTTGGGTTAGGCGTAATTCCCGTCTCTGGCTACAAGGGATTTACGTCGCATATTGACAGGAGGTGCAAGAAGAGCCGTCAACAAACACAGAACATTGAAAGAAAGGCACGCATCATTTTCGCTCACACCCGCTCTCCGAATCATAAGACATGGGACTTCAAGAACCATCGGCACAAGAGGTGTGCAAGGCCGGAATTTGCACCCGATTCTAACCCCCTGTAAAGCCCCTTGTAATTAGCCTCCTGATGTCGGTAGACCCATGTTGAACCCGACACAAGTTGGCACCTATATTATCGAAGCTGCAACTTTGCCGCTAGTGAAAGGGGAAAAGGAGGGACCCTTAATGGGGACCCCTACCCTATAATGGGCTATATAATGGGTATATTATAGCTATGTTAAGGGTATATACCTAGGGGTCCTTAATAAGGGTCCCTCCTTTTACCCTTGGAGCTAGGCCAGAGCTGCAGTGTGAGTTGCCTTCCGGGATTCAACCCATCGACGACCACCCTCAGCTGCCCTTCGGCCCGGTGTCAAAGGGGTTTAGGGTAGAGGGTTTAGGGTTTACAGGGTTTAAGGGCTTACGGGCTTCGGCAGGGGTTCTACAAGGCCTCCATCAGGTTTTGCTCCATTTAAGGGCTTGCAGGGCAATCGGTTGCGGGACGAGGGCTGAGTATAAATGATTGGTTTGCGACAGCTGTTTCTTATTCGTTGCGTCTAGATCAACAGACGGTATTGTAGCATATTGTTGTTGGTTGCTCTGTTTTTCCAATCCTGTGCTTTCGAACAGGGCCCAGATACATTTGGGGTGCTGGCTTGGGGCAATTCTTCGATGCTGGTGGATTGTAGCTCTCCTTCTGCTGCTCATGTTCAGTCATGTCAAAGATGCTATGTTGATTACCTCAGTCACGGCTCCGCTGACTGTCTTTCAACTTGTTGCTGCTGCTGAGCCGGTTCTAAGCTTAGGCCGCAGTCGTCTGGTTAAGCATGTTGTCCGTTGAAGCTGGTACTGTTTTGAACTGCTTCCATGAGTACGATGGTGATCAGCATCATCGCTGCACGGGGAGACAGACACGCTAGAGCAGCAAACCAAGTTAGCACCGTGCAACCCCTCTAAAGTTTCAGCATCCAAGCAGATGCATGGCATTGTCGAGTTTGTTTAACAATCGGTTGTGCTTCTCGATATGACTACCAACCGTATCCTTCAGCAAGCACCTGTATCACTCGTACTAGTAATATTCGGCCCCACTCCTGACAATATCTTCAAGTCCAGTGGCCAAGCCTCCAGGTGCTACCTCAGGCGCGCATTGTTTGCTGGCTTCCTTGTCCCACAGGTTAGCTTTGCATTGCGGCTTAATTTTGATGGAAGCTTTCATGGATGAAGGTTCGGAAAAGCGTTGCTTCTGGTGAATGTGAGTGGCAACATGTGTTCGACTATGCGAAGCTTTGGCTTGATGCACTGTGTCACGTCATGTCAACAGTCGTTTCTGCTGACGCTGGGATTGTTCGAGTGTCTTGGTCCATAAAAAGTTGATGTATTTGATCTTTCTTTGTCGACAGAGTTGGTCGTGATGAACATTTAAGTTGAGCTTCTGTTGCAGGGCCCACCATGAATGCCCACCCCCGAGCGACAGAAGAGCAAACCGGGCAAACAGGAACCCCTTCTTGGGTGGTCCTCATGTTCAGGATCTTGCTATTTGCGCTCTATAATACTCGGGACTCGATACTTTCTCTGACACTCCTAGATAGTTTCGTTTCTGATGTAACCCTTCAACCTGCAAAAGCTAAGCCCTACACGTGGTGCCAGGCCGGCTTGAAGGAGTTCTTCCGGTATGCATCTTGATCTGGGATTAGGTTGGCCTTTTTAGAGTTCTACCAGGGTAGTTCTCGCATCTTTATCTGGAAATAGGTTTGTGGGGGCTCGCAGGGTTTACAGACGGCTTCAGGATTTGATCTGGGTCTAGGGTTGTAGATGCTGGTTTAAATTTGCTCGCACCTCTGGTGTGGTTGAGGGGGATTAATGTGTTCCATGTCGAGACTGCAGACTTCGGCATAAAGCGGCAGCTCGGATGACCTTGCCGGAATGCAGCTTCTCAATTTCAAACCAAGTCACCGAGCGAAGTCCGTCCCAGGAAGGGTTCAGCAGAGCGTGCAATGCACCTGCCGCACGGGAACTTGTAGACAGCGCTTGCACGCTTGGAGATGATGATGCATCTAGCTTCGGCGCGACAGAGGTGTAAGCGAACGAACTGAGCCGGGAATAACCTTTTTCCGTCAATCGCAAGGACTTTGCAGCACGAGAACACTAAATTTTGAGCCCTAAACCCGAGTTGGTGTGTGTCTCCCTCCAGGGTGGCCGTTATCTGTCGTTGACTTGTATTTCACCTTTGTGTGGTTGCCTGTGCAGGCAGCGGGAGTCCTCATACTTAGATAAACCTAGTTTCTAAGACTTTTGCGACACGGGAGCCAAAACTCGCCTGAATAATTACCAATACTATGTTCGGTGCTCCTTATTATGCCTATAGTATTTTGGGCCCCAAAACCCTATTCTAATCGTTAAGGCCCTATATGAATTCTAGTGCAGATCCTCCAAAAAGGAGCCACTATTCTATTTATGAAAGCCCCTATATGAAACCCAAATCCAAATCCTCAACAGTTGCCCTGCCGAGGTCGACCAAGCCCCTGTCCTGCCAGCGCAACGCTTCAGCAGACGCAGTTGGCGCACACTTGCGCGGCCGAGAGCTTAGAGTTTAAGGTTTCGGGTTTAGGGTTTTTTTGTTCTAGGTTCCCCCATAGTGCCATTTTGCCTTCTGCTTTGTTTTAGGATTCCCGTGTCAAAACTAGCGAAAACCAGGAACAAGGGTAATTAGCCGTACTAGTAAGGGGACAATGGGGGACCTAGCTCGTTTATATCACTTACTACTTAGAAGCTGTTTGCTATTTCACATACATGCATATTTCACACACGCATACATACGTATATACACACATACACACGCACACACATACACAAAGTCACACACACACACGCGCGTATACACGCATACCTGCAAGCATGCGTACATACAAACATATTACATACATGTGTATTAATATGTATATGAATATATGTATATATGCACACATGTATGTGTATGTATATACTATGTATGTATGTATACATATATATATATATATGTATATATATATACATATACATATGTCAAACGGGTACAGTATGACAAAACAAATACCTTTATGGCATATAGCAGAATACCGTATTGCATATCAGACTATACGATACCATCATACAGTATAACAGATCTAACATATGATTTGATGTATTTTCTCTGCAGCACCAGCGGCCAACGCTCACTTGCCAATCTAAAAGTTGACCGTCGAGGGTTCAGAATGTCTAGTTCAAGAAGAACCAGATCTTGGCTGTGGGGGGGATACTGTTGATGGACAAAATCCTGCATGAATCTAAGGACTCTGAACTATGGGAATTATGGTATATTCCTTATAATCTATGGGAATTATGGTATATTCCTTATAAACTATGGGAATTAGGGTATATTCCTTATAATGGGTGATGCAGGATTTTGTCCATCAGCCGTAGCATGTGAAGTTCCTGTGCCGGCCTCCGCTCCCATCCTTGGTTTTGCGCTCTGTCACTCGGGTTTAGGGGTTTAGGGTTTAGGTAAAAGGGTTCAGGGTTTAGCTTAACTCTTCATTCTGTCACTCGTCATTTATTTCTGAGTCGCTTAGGCTTTAGAGGTTGGGGCTGTGACAGAGGCCATCCAATCGCTCAAACGCTGCACCATAAGCCCTGAACTGTGCCCTCGGTTTGGCGATGTCTGGTCGAGTTTGCGACCCTGCCCTGAGCCGAGGATATTACGTTTGGCGGCACCTGCACGGTGTTCTGTGCTACAGGGCCACTCGTCCACAGCAGTTCTGCCTTGTTTGCGCGGGGGATTTGTGGCTTCAGAAATGAGGAGACATGGATTGTTTCCAATGCACAGAGGAGATCTAACTCTCAGGCGTTTCCAGTTGTGCACCTATCACCTGCAAAGCTTTGGATGCCATGCTCCGCCGAACCAAGGCTGAGGTATTATTAGGGTTTATAGCATTCAAGATTGAGGGTCATATAGGGTTTAGGGTTGCTTCTTGTTTGAATCTATCTTCCGAGCCTGCAGAGCTGTTGTTCCATGCGGTGTTTCTGGCTTACATTGCAAGAAAGTTAGGGCTGGGCCGTAATAGGCTTGATATGCTCCACCGTGTTCTGCGCCTGCTGCTGTTCTCTACTTGGAGGTTCAGGGGAAGTTATGAGCAGGGTCATTGGGTAAATATACACTAAATGCAATCCATTTTGGGGGACTTATACCCCTGCACTTATAACTACCCTAAACCTTATAGAATCCTTTTCGGAACCCCACTTGTAGCTACCCATGAATCGAACCTCCAAGTACTTGAGGTACGGCCTCGTGGGAGACGTGCCGCAGGAAAGCTGTCATAGGGATCCTTAGGGGTGTAGGGGGAGGGGTGGTAGGGGGCCTTACGTTCATCCCAAACCCTAATTCCTTGAGTTCCTCAGTTCTAGACTTGAGCTTTGAAGCATGAACCTCAGTCCCAAGCCTTACGTGAGCACCCCTCGAAGGACAGTGCCACAGCAAGACAAGCATCACCATTTCATTGCAAGGTCGCCGAGGGCTTTTGCCACGGAGGCTTTCTGTTTGAAGCATTGCCAGGGGGCCGTCCAGCTTAGTGTGCTGCAGTGCCAGCAGGGTAGTTGTCAAAATTCTGGTCCCTTTTCGGGGTACCCTAAATATTAGGTGCCGTATTATACTAAGGACCCAAAAAGGGACCATAATTTTGACAACCACCCAGCAGGAAGCTTTGCTGTTGCGCCTATGGCAGCTCCAGGTAGTTGCCTCAGGTTGCGCATGTTGCATCAGGATGTCCCACAGGAGGTCGACATGTCATTTGCTGCTGATCCATGACTTTGTGCTGGATCCTTTGGCCCGCGAGCAGCATAAGTAGCAAGGGTTTCAGAACTCTCCAGCCTAAAGCCATGGTAATGAATTGGCTGCTTCCTTGCATTCACGCATGCATTGAGTCACAATTCCAGCTGTGGAAAGCGGAGTGCCGCCGCAGCGGACGGAAGGTGGGTCACATGCACACCAGGGACTCCTGGTAGCATTGACCTGCTGGCTTGCCACACAGCACGTGAGCAGCCGTCGTTCTTTTATGACGCCTCTTTCCACGGCGTCGCAACAGCACTCGACATGATTCTTAGTGGGCGGTCCGACTTTGCTACAGCGGCCGCTGTCCACGACGAGTGGATGACACTGAACCCAAATGCCCCGGGGGCGCAGCTGTTGCCGTGGCGCGATTTGGAACTTTCCGACCAGAGGAAGGACATCCATTTCGCTGTCACAGTGCGTAAGTGGCTTCTGGACAACATACAGTTGATCCCGGAGGATGGGTTCGAAGCATAGGAAGGGGCAAGCTAGATTTCAACAGACACCATAAGTAGCAGACTTGTTTGTTTAATATTATGGGGTGTAACTGCTTTTGTTATTGTCTTGGGGTCATTGGCAAAGAGCATGCGCACAAGCCATTCTCAGGCATGGCCACGCTCACTGTGAAACCAACTGACAAGGTAGGATTTTTCTTGGAGAAGTATGAAGGAGAACACAGAAAGAACAAGCCGCCAAGTTTTAGTTGCGGGAGACCTGCTAAGCAAAGAGCGGTTCCGTCAGTAGACGCGGCGGGATGGCACCACTCTCGATTTTGTCCATGAAGTCTAAGTCACAAATTCCAGGAACTCTGCGCTTGACTGCAACAAAAACGGCGTGAATTAACATTTTCCTGCATCCAGGACCACCTGAGCCAAGATGCGCTACAGATCATCGAAGAGAACGGCGTCTTGACGCAGGGAGACTTGGACGATGGTCTCCTGCCACATCGCATGACAGCAGACCCCGAAATGATGCGTGACCTTGCCCAAAGGGTGCCAATCACTGTTGAGCAGTTCTTCAGTTAAAGCTTCTGCTCAAGTCGCAAGCTTGATGCTTATGGTTTTTGAAGGGGGTGCACGTGCAGCAAGGATGGCGGATTTTTGATGCAAAAAGCTGGTGCGCATCAGTGTATGTGCTTGCCGGCCAGCAGCTTCCCGCGGAGCTGCAGCTGACGTATCCATAGTTTGTTTGGCTGCCGAGGCTGATGCAAGGGGAAGACCGGACAAGGACCATCGGGCAGTGATGGAACGGACATGAAGTTATGTCTTGGATTTCTGTAATTGCAGTCGGGATACCTCCGTATGTTCACCCTTAGTTGGCTAGGTATCATGAGGTTTCCTGCTGTAATATCATGATCCCACATTTGCCAGGGGCGCTACTGGCCAAATACCTCTCGTGCTGTGACTAATTACTCTTTTTGCTGTTCGTATTCTTCGAACTACTATGGCTTTGGCTTTGTGAACTTGGATCCATTGTATGACTTCGTCCATCATCACAGAATTCTCTCTGTGCTCCTTCACGGAACCTTCGGCATATCTCTTGCTTCGGCTCACGGAGTATGGATGGCATGGCGAGCCAACTATGGCAAAGTCCGGACACACTGGCGCAGACACGCATGGGCATGCAGCAAACTCGTGCAGCAAACAGGGCTCGTTGGCGGCTTGCGCCCGCAAGGTCGAGAAGAAGTGGGTTGGCTTCTTGTCTGGGAATTTCGCAAGGACGAACTCAGCACAGTGTGGATTGATGTCGCTGGCGGACATCAGCACCTGCGGTATGCCCAATGCCTGCATGTACAGTACTAGGCCAAGCGTTGAATGCTACCTAACTAATGCTGCCTAATATAACTAGCTGCAGCTGCTACCTGAATCAAGCTCGGGGGTGCTAGTTGTTGCTACGTCCACCGCGAAGTGTAAAACAAACATTAGCAAAAAACTTGGGAATATGCCTGCCTCAAAAACGGCAGATTCTGAACTGGTGCCAGTGCTCACCAGTCAAGAGGCATCTGCACTCCTCCTTGCTCTTTGCCTCCGGCATTAGAGCACAGACTACGGCAAGGGCAACCTCCAGAAGCACCGGTTTCATTCCTAGAGATCTCAAAAGAGGGCGTTTCGCGGCCGTTGCAAAGGCTGCTCGCAGACAACCCGGAAAATCCACAATTCACCGTGGAATTCAGCCTCCCCCCCTAAAACATACATAGCCATTCGGGTGGAAATTGATCTGAAGGAGCAGGATCACTGCCAGCTTGCCACGGTTCCCATGCGTCATCGAGTGCTGCAGGCTTTCGGTGCTGCAAAAAAGCACCCGCAGCGCTGCGGCCGAGCAAAGACGGCCGCTCCTTCGTTTCTGGCCTTCAACTGATGTAACAGCGAGCTTGTTGATGCTGCTTGCTGCTCTGGGTGAGGTTGTCATGGGAGCAGACGGTCCATATGACATGTCTTATGACGAAGCCACTTGGCATGCAAGTGCGCTGGCCATGCTCATGGCATGTGCTGTGCCATTGTATCTAGTACTGGCTCTCCATCTTGCTAGCTTTGTGTGGTTTGCATTTGCTGGTTTTCCCAACTTCTTGGCTTTTTTTTTATCATGTTTCTCCTCCCATTGTTCTAATTCTAGCCTTGGTGCAGGACTTCCCTTGCAGTACGCATATCATCTGTTGACAATTGTTTGTTAAGTCGTGTCTTCCTGGCAGTTGTTTTCAAGCACCTTCCAAACGAGTGCCTGTAAGACAAAGCCTGGAGGGATCGTTTAGCTGAGGGAA